CAGTGCATTGCTTCCCTCGGCCAGCTTCATTAAATCTACCATGTGATGCTTGGTTGCAAGACGCTCGGAGAATTCGCCTGTTTTGTCCTAAATTCGAGTACGTAAGCATAGTAACTGGTATATTCTTGTTTGGCACCATTGCTTGAGTAACTGAAGCTTCGATTATTACTGGCTGAATTGCACTCTCATCCCTCTCACATATGGCAACATTTCTATACAGCCAATTGTTTTGTTTCAACCATTGCAGGGCTTTCAAAACGGCAGATGGGAGAACTCTGAAGTCATGCTGATTTTGAATTCCTTCAATTTTTTCATGGACGACCACAAACTCTGAACTGGAATTGGGTAGAGGAAGTTCTTGGCATATTTCTTTCAAGGAGTTTGGAAAATGAATGGCTGAACCCTTTATTGCTTGCTGTCCTCGTCCTTTGCTGAGATAAAATATCTTCATAAATGGCCGGACTTGAGAAATGAGTTGAAATTCAGGAGGCGATAGGCACTTAATCACTTCTGGTATTGTTTCCTGTTTCATTCCATTGAAGAAGGCTTGAGGTGGGATATTTTTCTTCTTTGCTGCTCGATGGCATCTTTGGCATAAATGAAGATGTATAGGAATACAATCAAAGTGTTCGTGCAAAAAGTTTAATCCAGCAGTTGAGAGAGCTTTCAATGTATACTGCATGCGGTGGCACAGGTCACAAACTTTCTCTGGATACTGATGAACTGCTGTATGGAATTCTATTGTACAAAATTGCAGCATTGATGAGGAAGGGATATCTTCGATGTCAAGGTGGGGTCGTTTACGTGGAGGGCGTCTTGTAATGGGCTCGTTTCGTCTTCCCTTTCTTTCATTCCCAGTCGTCCCCACAAAATTAGAAAAATGCTTACTCCACCTGGACAGGCTGAAGCGAACTACATCGATGTTAGGAAGGTTTAATCTCAAAGCCACGTCCCCATATAGTGAGGTTCCATGTTTAGCATGTACGTTGTGGTTATCAGACAAGCTAAATGATGTCAGGATTTCTTGATGTGTTTTTCTTTGAAGAAATTCCTGTAGAAGTTTCACAATAACCAAATCTTTAGAATAATACTTGTTTTGTTTTTATAATATTAAATTTTTGTACCAGATATGACGTCTTCACAAATTCACGTAGATATTCTCGGTTTGCTCGAGTGTTTTGCAATCCGAGTTTTGTTACAATATTTCCGTAGAAAGAACTAGGATCCGGTACTACATAATTAGTTGGCTTTTGTTTTAATTCATCCTCAAGTACTGAAATGATCTCCGAGTCTCGCAGTCCAATGAATGGTGTCAACGGTGACAAACACGTGGACTCGGTACAGTTAACTTCCTATTTCGAAAATGAGATCAGTTTTAATTTCATCACTTGAATTTTGTTTGTATATTTTTCTTTACTTACTTCGATACAAAATGATATGACTTCTTTCAAGAATTTTCGTGCGTGGAATGTATTTTCTTCTCCTAATTTGATTAGAGCCATTTCATACACCGATTTTGCTTCGAAATAATTTTCACCTCGCAGATCACCTCCAACGGCATTGCAGAGTATGTGATACGGAATGTTGAACGCCATTTCTTATGCTGGTATATGTATATGAATTGCAATCGTCAGCATGCGACGGTAAAAGTTGGGCGGTTGCATAGGTATAGACTGGCGGGTGGAGCTGTTTTTTTAAATTAAAGAGTGGCGGGTAGTGCTTGTTGCACAAGTAAAGAGTGGCGGGCAGTGCTTGTTGCACAAGTAAAGAGTGGCGGGTAGTGCTTGTTGCACAAATAAAGAATGGCGGGTAGTGCTTGTTGCACAAATCAAGAGTGTCGGGTAGTGCGGGTCGCCTAAGTAAAGAGTGGCGGGTAATGCTGATTGCACAAATCAAGAGTGTCGGGTAGTGCTTGTTGCACAAGTAAAGAGTGGCGGGTAGTGCTTGTTGCACAAATAAAGAATGGTGGGTAGTGCGGGTCGCCTAAGTAAAGAGTGGTGGAGTGGTGGGAGTAAAAGTTGCAAAAGTAACGAAAAACGGGCGGGGCGGTAGCATAAGCAAACAGTAAGTCTTTGATTTGCTACTGTTTCTTATAATGATGTCATTCAAATTACGATTTGGTTGCAACCAGTGGCAGCGGAAGTGTGGGGACGGAGGCTAGTCACTCATTTTGTCATCTTATCTAGCCCTACTCATTTTTATCTCCTTCTTCTCTCCACGAGTGGCCGTGGAAGGGTGTGGACAGAGGGACCTTCCCTCGGTTGTTCGATGTCCCCGTCATCTGCCGCCACAACTTCCGTGGCCACTGCTTGCAACTGCCTTTTGTCGTTTGCTCCACCGCGCCAAGGACTAACGGACCAAAGCCCAGAAAGGCCGAAACCTGACGGACTAAGGCCCAGAAAACCCAAGGTGAGGTGGAGGAAATAGTCGCATGCTGACGACGGGCTAAACTTCGTAAATCCAAAATCCCAGGTGTAAAGGAGTAAGACAATGACCATGTAACGCAGTTTAGCAATACTGTTGCATTTACAATTTGAATGGTTATTTTGTGGGAGTGTTTTCTAATTCTTGTGTTGTTAGTCTTGCGTCGTTGTCAATGACGATTTCTTCAATATCTTACTTTTAATTTCTGAACTTCAAATTGGAATAACTAAGCCAATTCTTAGCGGATTTTGATATATTTATACTTAAAATTTTCGGGATAAACTGCTCTACAATTCGTGGGTATCAAACTGTTGATAAAGTTTGCCAGTAATTAGCAATAATTACAAATGTGTTTCTAAGGCCACATTTTTGCCCATAACTCCGGTCAAAATCACAGAATCGCTTAGTCGGATCAGATCCCTTTTCTAGATTATGTAACAATGACCGGTGCAAAATTTCATCAAAATCGGTTGAGAAACGACTGAGATATCGCAGATGGTCACTTTCTTAGGGTGGGTCAAATGCATACTTAGTAATTTTTTAGTTGCTTGGTATTTGCCTCACTAAGAACAAGTTATTTGCAATATGTATTTAAGCATTGATTGTATGAAATTTTTGGAACGATTAAAAAAATGAGTCATTCGTCCTCATCAAATCCTCACCCATAAAGGGTAAAATGACGAGTCTTATTTCCTTACTATCCTCACGACATTTGCCTTATTTGCACAGCATCTAAATTAATGCTCACATAAATCCGACAGCATTATAATAACCTCTCTTCTCTAGTAAGTGACATACCTACATATGTATGTAAGTAAATATCTAACAATGCGATAGTGTGAAGTGTAACCCTCCGATTTGGTTGAAATTTTGGAACTAACTATGCAGTCCAAGTCAATACAACCAGCGCTTCTTGAGCCAGTTTATGCATTGGTTAGAATTTGCTAAGATATTTGAGGTCAAATTTGAAAAGTGGCCGATTTTTCCCTTTGAAGGGAATGGAAGCGGGGTTTGCTTCCACCGCTTGGTATTTAATAAGAATCGCCAATTTTTTCAACTTTGACTTCTAATAGTTCTATTAATTCCAACCATCGCACAAACTGCCCCAAGAAATTTTGGTTGTATTGCCTTGAACCAAATAATTTTAAATTTTCAACCAAATCGGAGGGTTACACTTCAAACCATCGCACTGCAAGTGATCAAACTTTGACCATATTTTCCAATAGTGTGTACATTCTTCATGTTCGACCCGATACTTCGTCCATATCGAAAAGCGGCCACGACAAATGTGTTGACAATCAAGGAACACCCTAAACACAAAACTTAAATAACACAAAACCTAAATAAATATGCATATATATATATATAAACGTGCCCATATGAAGATTATATGTACCCATAATGTTCATCTTGTCAAATTACTTAAGTTTTGGCTGAGGAGGACGCGGCTTACACCAAAGTTACGGTTGCCGCTCGAGAGAGATTTATCCAAGAGGTCGACGTTGCTGAGAAGAACACAATTATCGAATGGAAATTTAAATTCGAAGGACATGATGTCGATTTTCATGTTTTCTTCAAAGGAGGCTCGTGCCAAGAAGGAACAGTGGGAAGACATCGTGCCCTTGGCACGGGTTGACGCTCACACGCAAGTTCAGGAGGGGTCTCACCTCTGCGAAAAGGAGGGCATCTACTCCCTCGTTTGGGACAATGGGTTCAGTCTCATGAAGGCGAAAACCATCCTGTACCAGATTTCGTTCGTTGATCCAGCCCATCTGGAAAATCCAGATGCTTAATTTGCTTAATGAATGGGTTGATTGGCTAATTTGTAGAATTGAATCTGTGTGAATAAAGTATTACTTGAGGCAATTTTTATTTCCGAAATCTATTTATTGCACTATATACAAGATATAAGTAATAAAATTAAATAAAATTGCATTAAAGTTGGCTAAACAAACTTGACAAATTGTCAACCAATTTTTCCAAAAAGGGGAAAAAAAATATTTGAATCAAGAATCAGTGATTCATGAAAAGTTTAGGAAATGACCTAAATAGTCTTACATATCATAAACGACATTATTTACACTTGTGTTGGTCTCATCGTTGAATATATACTAGATATTATGTATGCATAATGTGTAATGCTGCATGTAAAAATGCATATCTTTTCTCCACCAAGTTCAGCCTCGCACACTTTTATACAAAGCCAGACAGATGAAGTGAATTTTGTACTACATGTTAACTCGGTACGCTTGCATGGACATTTGAGTACAATTAAGTTCATTGAATTGCATTCATCATCTTCAATGTCAAAGCTCATAACTGCAGTCTTTCATATTCAACTAGGGACGCAGAGGAATATTAATTCCTGGAAAATGAGAAAATAAAGCATGCATTTATTAATCTTTCATAACGTTTAATTAACACAGATTCACACTCATCGCATTTATGTAAACTCTTCTTACTCTCTTCCTGTTTCTTGTTTTCTTTATGAGCAACAAATCACAATTGTTTTCTGATCTGACTATGAGTACCACTATGTAATAAATTTGAAATGATTCCTGCATATAAAAGAAGATTCTCAAAACAAACTTCGTAGTATTACAAGAGTTCTAGATCTTTCAAGTTTTGCAGTTTAGAAAATGAAATTAAACGCTTTCGAAGCTTTTCTTCTCGTTGTGGGGGTGGCAGTGTTGGGAGGAGATTTTGCACAATGTGCGAAAAATAAATTTAGGCTGGTAAGTCTTAAAATTATTCACATCAACATTATTTCACACCATTTCAGATTTCCTTATCAAACCTTTTTTTCTTTAATTACACAATTTTGCAGTACGACTCACCCACTTTTGTTGGTGGAGTGCAGCCACGCTATCTCGAAGAACCTAACCTGATACCTGAATGTGCCGTCAACAAGGAGCCAAAAACTGGCGTCCCTGCAGAATTTGATGCTAGGGAATTCTGGAAACAATGTCCTTCTCTGTGGGAAATTCGCGACCAAGGACATTGTCTCAGCTGTTGGGTAACTTGTTAAACAATTGGCGAAGTCACGCCAATATCCCATATATTTAACGTCGAATCGCATTTTGAAAACTCTCAAAACTCAAAAATTAATATCTTGAGGGGATTGGTAAAATATGTATGATTTTGCAAATTTTGCACCAAGATTTAATCAAAAAATTTGGTTTATCTAGTTTCTATTGATTTCTCTAATTTACGAAATTTACAACAAAAATTTACGAAATCATGCAAATTTCGAAACCTCGATTGGCTATGTTGCTACGCTCGAAATGTTACCCAGATGACAATTTGAGATTTCGCTGTGGATTCCCTATCGAATTCGCAGCGAAATGTCCGCCGATTCGCTGGCGAATTCGAAGCGAACTCGTAGCGACTACACGAATTCGCAGCGAAGTAGCAGCGATTCCACGATTTCTCCACGAATTCGCTAGCGAATCGGCGGACATTTCGCTAGCGAATCCACAGCGAAATCTCGAATTGTCATCTGGGTATTTTCGAGAATTACTAATGTTGACTTGAGTACATGCAATGTGCAATTCAACCATTTTATCATTAAATTAGCCCTAATGTGCATAATGTTCAGGCCGTCGCCATCGCCTCGACCCTCACTGACCGACACTGCATCGCTTCCAATGGAACGAGCAACTTCCGCTTCTCTGACCAAGATTTACTCGCTTGCAGTCGCCATTACACGGGTTGGACTTCGAAGATCTGCACTGGACGAGGACAGCGTCGCCTCTGCGCCCCACGTCCACTCTCCGGGTGTGAAGGGGGTAGTATGGGATTGGCCTGGAAATACTTGACCAATTCCAGCAACGGTATCGTCTCCGGGGGTCACTATAAGTCAGACGATGTAATTTTATAAAATTTAAACATGATCCAATGAAATTCTCAGCTTCGTTTTAAGATGTGCATACATAATCCATAAGAATATTAGATGGCGTACCTTCATGCGCTACAGGGTTAAGATTTTTTTACAAATTTTTATGTAATTAGTTTTTTTTTTTACTAAAACTCGTCAAAATCTGGGCAAGTAGACATGGATATAAATAATTTACATGGACTAATAATTGTAAACCTATGTAGCTACTAGCTACCAATTTTGCAGATGGTTTAATTTCGCAAAACCAGTGAATTTTCGACCTCAGTTAACATTTATGAAGTTTAATTAATTTACATTACTTTATTTTATTCGCAGGGCTGCCTTTCTTATGAGTACCCACCATGTGATCATACTAAGAAATCGTGCTACAAAGTAAATGAAGGTGTACGTCAACCCGAGTGCAGTAAAGGCTGTCTAGCCACGTACAACCACACCTACCTCCTCGATAAGCGCCGAATCACTTCCGCCTGCCAATTTAATTATCCTTACAATACAAACGTTACCGTTTTTAACGAGTTTGTGAAAAACGTCCAATTGGAGATTATGCAGAATGGACCGATCATAGGGGTGTTGCGACTTTATCCCAGTTTCGATAAGTTCAATCCGCGCGATGAGAATGGTGGGTGAATAAAATCATAAATAAATATCTATTTACCTACAATTGAAACAAGGGAATTGAAATGAAAGTGTTCGCATCGTAAGCAATGTTAGAAAAAAAAGTTCACAAAAAATTTCGCAAACTTGGAAATCTCCAAGGCTAGACTTTACGTAGTTTACAATTTTTTATAAAATTATGTTACTATATGAACATGCGAACTTGTAATGAATTCTCCTAAAACGTGATGTTTCCTCTGTGCAGAAATTTACAAACCCTCCGGTGACGAGCGATACAACAGTCTCCACGCGGTCAAAATTATTGGTTGGGGGATAGGAAATCAAAACGGGACTGAACTTCCGTACTGGTTGGTGTCCAACTCGTTCAACTACTACTGGGGAAATCGAGGCTTCTTTAAAATATTCAGGGGGAAAGATGTCCACGAATCAGCAGGAATTAATGAACAGCTCTCAGCCGGAATGCCACTAATTGTGTAGTAATTTTCCTACATTATGCAATGTCATAATTTGTTTACTTTGTTCTGTTCGGAAACATCTAAATTAATGTGAAAGACATAAGTTTTAAGAAAGAGAAAATTGTGTCATAGACGAACATGTGAATATTTCGGTGTCTGACAAAAACTAAATTATATATTTATCACCTTGTCATCTAATTAAATCAAATATATAGAACAAGTTATTTGCAATATGTAAATAGTAAGCAGTGATTGTGTAAAATTTTGGGACGATTAAAGTCATGCTTCCTAAACCACTTGTGACTCGTTTCTCATCCTAACCTACCTGCAAATTATGTACATAATTATATTTACTTATGTACCTTGTCCAGGGTAACTAAATCTGCACCATCTTAGTCAATGTCCTCACAAATCCGACATTATAATAAGCTCTCTAGTAACACAAGAAAATAATTGACCAAAACTTCGACCGCATTTAAATTAGTCAAATCAAAATGCATTTTTCATGTACGACCTGATATTTCGTTCAGATCGAAAAGCGGCCATGTGTCGAAAAATGTGCAGATAATCAAGCAAAAACACGTAACACACATACCACAAAACCGCAATAACATGTACAAAGGTGCACCTAAATATGTACGCAAATAAATACCTACATAGATACATATGTGGATATGAAAGAAATATGTATCCATACCTTACGTATCTAACATCGGAGTGCTTGGAAGCGTGATGAAACATCATCAACCACAATTTATTCGTCACGCAATTTTGTTTGCTTCCATAGATCACGGAATCATCAATGGTGTGGCGAAAAAAAATCCACAAAATCAAAATTTCTTTCCAGACAATAAAAAAAATCTTTAATCAATTATCTATTAGCCTCAAACTCTAATACAAATTGATGGACTTTTAGTATGCCACGCTTACAAACAGAGCCGTCGCGAGACATTGTACGGCCTGGATTTCTTGTGCTGTGTACGGCCTATGGTTTTATGGATTATTTTTTGTTTAATTAATCTATAATATTGGGGCAATATACTTCAGTTAACGCTAAATTTGATATGCATCTAAGCGCTTTGCTAAGGGTTAAGAACAATATTTAAACCACGTTTACCGAATCTGCTGATAACCTATGCGTAGCTGAAAATAATTAGCTATCGTAGCTTATTTTCCATCCTTATGTTTTCCTGAGTAGAGGAGTCCGAATTGAAAAAAAACAATGAATTTTAGTAGTTGATTTGAAGCTTTTCAATTTCAAACCTTACAAACCACATAACAATTTTGATAACCATTTTAAGTGCCCACAGGTTTCAAATCAGAAATAGAAATGACCGCCACCTCGCTGGGAAACATTATATAGGATCTCTTTAAGTAGAACAATTGCAATTTCAAATATTTAGAAAACGGCTAACACCGTTATCTTAAGTACTACGCCACCAGGATTTTGCCCAATTTAATCTCATTCGACCGATTTGCAGATTGAAGTTCAAGGGCAATTTTTCAGTTACAAAAAGTGGTACTTCTAGTCTAGTAGTACTTGTAATCCGAAGACGCCAGCGGTCTCGCTCTGATTTTGACGAAACCACGATAATTATGTAGCATCAGATAAATAATTATACGTGTTTCAGGATTTTGCATAATGCTCAGTTTAAACGAAATTATGACGGAATCAGTGGGCGAGAATTTCGATTTTTATCGTGACATTTTTCTCACAAGATTCCTCGCTTACGGATTCCATCAGAATTTCCTTTAACCTTTAACTGCGTGAGCGTGAAATGTTTTTTTTTCGATTTCAAATTGCTCGCCCAAATTTTCAAAAGAGATTTTTCTTACATAAATTACTCAATGAAATTATGTGCAAAAAGGTTCTTTCATATTTGACATCAGGTCAAAATTGGAAGAACATTTTTTTAAATCCTGATTTTGGCCGAAAATGTATTCAAACATTCTGCCACAACTGAAAACGCCCGAATTCAGGAAAATGAAGAAAAAAACGGACCTGTATTTTTGCATTTTTGTATAAGCACAATTTCGAAAGTTTTTGCAAATTAGTTAAAGTCATTATAATTTATAGAGTTTCATTATTCCAAAAAGTTTTTATGATTTCAATTTTTTTAAATCATAATTTTTAAAAAATTGAAGAATAAAAAAATCTTAAAATATGTAATGACAGGATTTCAAAATCAAATTAAAAAATACGTCCTTAACCTCTTTCGGACTATCAATTTTTTAATAAAATTTCCCTTCGGTACGATTTTTTAAAAATAATTATACATGATAGCAACCAATTAAAATTTCCTACCAGTTTGCAATACTCGAGTTTTTGAAGAAAAACACGAAAAGTCCACTTTTTAACATTGGTCGGTATAGGGAAAATTCCAAAATTTTGGGTGAAAAATATCGAAAAAAATCCACTTTTCACCATCGAGTTTTCCAGAAAATACCGAAGAAATATTCTTTTTTTAAAGAAATTTTGGTGCCAAGGAAATTTCTGCAGTACACACATTTGTGCATTTCGTCGTCAACGGAAAATAAAATAACTACACAAATGTGTGTACTTCGTCGTTAAGAGTTTTTTTCCCAAGTTAATCTCATTCTACCGATTTGCATATTAAACTTCAATTTTTCGCAGTTACTAAAACTGGCATATGGTACGTGCAATCCGATGACGCCAGCGGAATCGGTTCGATTTTGAAGAATCCAAGATAATTACGTAGCATCAGATAAATAATTAATAAGGCTCAGTATAAACGAAATTATGACGCGTCATAATTTCGTGTAAACTAATCGAAAATTTCGATTTTTATCGTGACATTTTTCTCACAAGGGAGAACTATGTTTTTCGCTTAAGGATTCCATCAAAATTTGGTTCAACCTTAAACTGCGTGAGCATGAAATGTTTTTATTCGGATTTCAAATTGCTCGCACAAAATTTGAAAATTTTGAAACTTGAAAAATGCAACAAACGAGAAATTTTGATGATTTTTAAGTTTAAGAAAAGCTTGATTTTTCTTAAACTATTCAATGAAATCCTAATTTTCCTGATTGCGGGCGTTTTCAAGTGTGGCAGAATTTTTGAATAAATTTTAGCCAAAATCGGGATTATTTAAAATGCTGTCCCAATTTTGAGCCGATTACAAGTATGAAAGAACCTTTTTGCACTGAATTTAATTGAGGAATTTAAGAAAAATTTACTTCTCAAAAACTTAAAAATTTTCAAAAATTTCTTGTTTGTGGCATTTTTCAAAATTTCTTGTTTGTTGGATTTTTCAAAATTTTTGCGGGCAATTTGAAATCGAAAAAAAAAACATTTCAAGCCCACGCAGTTTAATTGAACATCTGATTAACCCGTAAGCGAAGAATCTGGATTTTTCTCTCTCGTGAGAAAAATGACACGGTGAAAATGGAAATTCTCGCTCACTGATTCCGTCATAATTTCGTTTAAACTGAACATTATGAAAAATCCCGAAACACGTGCTTAATTATTTATGTGCTGCTGCATAATTATCGTGGTTTCGTCAAAGCTGGAGCGAGACCGCTGGGGTCATCGCATTGTTAGTAAGCAAAAATCACAAATTTTTCGATGTATGAACGAGTAATTTGCAGCACATGTTTTCCTCATCTGCTTCACTAACTCGCGATTTTTCAATTTGTAAAACCTTTAAAGTATAAGAACAATTTAGAAAGTTTTTGCAAATTTGGTAAAATAATTATAATTTTAAAAGCTTAATTATTCCAAAAAGTTGTTATTATTTCAAATTTTTTTGAATCATAATTTTTCAAAAGTTCAAGAATAAAAAAATCTTCAAATAATGACGGGATTTCAAAAACTTAAACGAATTTAAAAATGCGTCCTTAAAAAGTCATTTGTTGAATGTGGCGGATTTTTAGTACATAAATAACAAAGTTTTAGTTTCATGAAATTATCGGTCGAGTGAGATTTTGAGAAAAATCCATTTGAGAGAGCTCTCATGGTTCTCTTTTAAACACAGCTTTTGGTTACGTTAAAGTTTAAAAAATTATGGCGAGTTATCACATCTGAAATGTCGCCACCATTCAGTTTCAAAATTTATTTTTCTAAAATTGATTAACGTTGCCCACATATGTTCGTATTACGCAACACGTATTTTTTCATTCTGGGGAATTTTGAATCCGGTGTCCGATTATTTATTCACACACTTGACTGAAAAAGTCCTTGGTAAAGTAGCAATGCATCCTCTTACCATGTAGACTTATTTGACACAATGCTGGCAGCAAATCCACAAAACAAAATCTTACATATTTTATATATGACTGTTTTCTAGCTCAAACTAAAAAATTCAAAAATTTTCAAATTCTGTAAAATTGTCATTTTATCTACTGTTCATCCAATATTAATAGTCGCAATTTCTTGGAAAATTTTCTGAGAGGTTATTTGGTTGCTAATTGAAAAATAAATAATCTGCCAGGTAACCTATCAGAATTTTTTGCGACTAATGATACTGGACGAACAGTAGTGTATAGTTGATCCTCCTGGTACGGCCTATCGGCCGGTACGGCCTGGATTCGACTATCCAGTCGTCTCCACCGTCCGTACGGCTCTGCTTACAAATATTGGATAAAATACGTCATGACCTGTACATACATACTCTTGTGGTTTCTGTTTATGAATGAGGTACATACGAGCCTCCAACTTAATCGCACGGTTTACTGCATGGAACTTTAAAATTTGGACACCATGTATGTTGATCATACTTCTTGCAAATATCCAGAATTTTGCCTTGTCTAAGTCAATTGTTAAAGCAAAATTAAAAATGAAAATGCAGCCTTCAAATAAGGCGCATCAGTTTGACTTCAAAGTAACGGATGGGGTACTTTTGAAAGATTTGAACTTGTGGGAGCAGACCTCGCAGTACTGCATGGACAGCAGTTTACACGGTTTTCGATTTATTGGACAACCAAAGCGACATTTTGTGGAAAGGTGATAAACTCTTAGCTTGCGGTCTTAACGGTCCGGTAATTTTCTGTGGAGAACCAGACCCTTGAGATCACTACATACTCTTAACAATTACCTTCTTTGGGTTTGATCTCTATAATTGTAGTTTTTAAATTTCTAGACTATTGTGGTTCATCGCAGTTATAATTTCCATCTCATCTGCGACAATCTTGATCCTCCAAGTTTGGGACAAGTATCGCCTCACCCCAGTGATCACAGTCTTTCAAGCGACGGACACTAGAATTAACCGCTTGCCCTTTCCTGCAATCACTATCTGCAATACGAACAATGTGCAGAAATCGAAGGCGGAGGAGTATGAGAGGTCATTAATAAGGATCAAACCGTCATGGCATTTTATAACCAACTATGTATGACTCCGAAATTGTGAAAATATATTAATTTGTATCCCCTTACAGACGACTAATTTCAAATCCTACTGACGCTCAGAGTAACAGTAATTTGTACCGTTTGAACCACATTTGTCAGTCGTCCCCATCATTCAAGGATTCCTTCAACTTTTCCCTCGATCGAGGCGCTGTTCGAGAGGATCTCATTGATCAAATCATCAAATTCAGAGCTACTCAAAATTTTTCGCTGTGGACAAATCATCTGTCTTTTGCTGATTTATTGAGAGATGTGATAAAGCTATAAATGCATTTTTATATTTTACCCTTACGTACATATGTACATATGTCTTGAGACCAGTTAAATTTCTTCAGGTGGCCAACAAATGTGACGAAATGATTCTTCTCTGCATGTGGGGAGGTGAAGTTAGGAAATGTAGCGAATTATTTTACGAAATTGAGACTGATTTCGGCTACTGCTGCGTCTTTAATATGGTTCCGATGTCCTTGTTGCTGAATTTAAAGTAAGTTTGTCAAACAGATTTATTGTGTTTTTATTCGCATTTTTTCTACTTTAAAGGAATGATTCACGAGACGACAAGGTCCGAATTGAAGAATGGGAATCTCTCCAATTGGACACAGACAACATTATTCTAGATGAGGAGGGAGTATTTGAACACGAATACAGACATAAGTTCGGAACACTACCGAAATTCCCGCAGAGGCAACGCCGACCTGGGAAAACAACTGGACTGTCGGTTTTACTGAATCCGGACGACGAAAGCTATTTCTGCACGAGTACTGATTCGGTTGGATTTATGGTAAGCTTATTTATTCAATTTTTGACCTAGGAGTTCCTGATAATTAATGGATTTACATATTTTTAGGCATTGGCTCATCTTCCCTTCGATTTTCCGAACGTGGGAGATAAAGGAGTTCCCATTAAACCGAATACGGAAACCTATCTCAAAATCGAACCTGACATTGTCAGGGCCGGAAGTGAAATTCAAGGCTTCCCACTTGTACGACTTAAGAAATAGTTTAATTTTTGAATTCTTAAGACATTTAAAAATTACGCAAGACAAACTTGAGCCCCCTCAACTATGCATTGCGTTGCATAATTTCCGAATTTTCTAAGGAAATTTTAAATAATTATGTAGCAAGCTTCTTCTTACTTAATTATGTACATGCATTTGTAGGAAAAACGGAACTGCTACTTTGGGCAAGAATTCTCCCTCAAGTACTTTAAATACTACACAATGTCCAATTGTGAAAACGAATGCGTTGCAAACCGAACCTACAAAGCGTGTAAATGCGTTCGACACTACATGCCGAGTAAGATCATTTCTACATACGAATAATAAAGATATTTCTCCTGTATATTTTCTACTTGGTAATCAAATAATTAACCTATTTATTTAATTGCGTCCGTATTGTAGGGAGTGAGATTCAGCAAATATGCGGCGTGAAACAATATTTTTGCTCGGAGACAATTCTAAGTATCTAATATTTCTTAAATAAATTTACGGAATCGTTGCAAATAGTAATCAAATTTATGTATGTATAATTAGGACAACTTTTAAAAGAGGGGCTGCAAACAATCTGCGAAATGTGCCTTCCTACGTGCAATGACATTGAGGTGGGTCACTTAACATAAAAAGTATTCCGAAAAAGTAATATTAAGCCGTGCAATGCAAATACAGTTCAAAATGACCACAAGCCTCATGCCGATAAGGACTGACATCCCTCTTTGGACGTATCAGAATAAAACCAATGCTTCATGGTTTGTCAAAAAATTACCAGAATTTAAATTTTTGTATAAAAGATGCTAAATTGTATTGTTCAGGGTAAATCAAAACGTGTCAATCCTTCACGTCCACTATTTATCCGACTCGACGCACCCGAAACAAAGGACCGAGCTTTACGGGTTTATCGATCTACTTTGTAAGTCTAATTGTTAAATAATCGATTAAATTGCTTGATTTATATAGGTGGCCCGACAAATGTGCAAACGACAAATGTGCAAAGACGTTTGTGCAAATGATAAATGTGCAACCTGACAAATGTGCAGCCCGATAAATGTGCAAACGATAAATGTGCAACCGATAAAAATGCAGGAATTTTTCCAATAAATGGTGCAATATATCTTGATGTAATTTAAACATCAAATCAAATTACATCTCCTCAAAAACTAAAATTTGAAACATTAATTTTGTGGTGACATCCCGTATGATGTCTGTTGAAGCTGTAGATCTTATATTGAGCAGTATTAATTTATTGTTAATTAAATATTTTACTAAATTATATTTTTATGGTGCATAAATTTCCTGGTACATACATCTTCGTGAATTCGTGAATTTTAGCCTATCGTATAGGCTGGAATTATGTACATATTAAAATTCTAAATTTCAATTAAATAATTCGGGATTTACTTATTTGCTGTCATTTTAAATTCTGTCCCCGAGGGGTGTCCCTAACTAAAGTTTAATTGTCACTAGCTAAATTTAGCATTACATAAATGTAAGGTTTGATTCGGGACGGGAATTTTATTATAAAATTGACAGGGGTCAACCCCGTTATAATGATGACTAGTAATATTTAATAAGTATAAAATCTGCATTATAAGATCTCCAGCTTCATAAGCTTCACCACAAAATTAATGTTTCAGAATTCTTAGTTTTTTGATAAGATGTAATTTGATTTGAAGTGTAAATTATATCAAGATATATTGCACTATTTGTTGGAAAAATTCCTGCACATTTATCGGTTGCACATTTATCGCTTGCACATTTATCGGGCTGCACATTTGTCAGGTTGCACATTTATCGTTTGCACAAATGTCTTTGCACATTTATCGTTTGCACAAATGTCTTTGCACATTTGTCACCCCATCTTTATATATATGTATCTAAATATGTATTAATTGTTTAGCTAGCACTGGTGGTCTACTCGGGCTATGCATGGGATTCAGTGTTATCAGCATCCTAGAAATAATCTACTTTTTCACTCTCCGACTTTATTGTCAGTCACGATCAGGAAGAAATTGTGGGGATAAAGTGATCAAAATTGGAACAAGATTGAAAAGGTTATTCATAGTTAAGAATACCACAGATGAGTCTACATTAAATTTTCGTAGTGGGGACCAATTTCTTGGTATTCCTCGAGGTCCAACCACGATAGACCAACCTCGCGGCGTGTACGTTACACAACCTCAACAACAAGGGAAAATTGTTGAGCAACGTAGAAATGAAAAATTTGTGTGGTAGGGTTTTGAGGTTATATGGTGTCGTGGAATGTCGTCTACTTATTCATTGGCTTTCCTTAATTAGGCAAGCTTCATACATTTACTCGCGCACCATTCTGTCCTATTGATTAAATCTGTGACATGAGAACTTCGAAACTTTAGTATTTATGTACACCGATAAACCAAAATTAAAACTAAATATAGACCATGTGGAAATGTGTACGTATCTACATATAGCATGGTTAAGCTATTAATATTTTTTTTATATATGTTAATGCAAATGAGGTGACTGAGCTGGCCATAAAAATTGGAGAGTGCTTAACTTATTGATGTGCATAATTATCGATCCCATTTTAATAAATGAAATTATCTTTAACAAAAATGAAGTCATGAATTATTTATTACTATCAATTTTTACTGACGGACAGCTACTTGAACACAATTAAAAATAAGATTCAACCCATTTCCATATTTCTTTCATGTTTCTTCCTGAAATACTGTCTCTCTATTTGCTGTTTCTTAAAGCAATAAATTTTTCATCGGTTTGAAAAATAATCAGGATAAAATCAGCATCATTTCGACTTGTCGAAGTGAGTACGAGGTCAAAACGACTAATTTGTCAAAAAATGCCAACTTTTTGCGATGGTGTCAAATTTATCGCTGATGTAGCATATTCGTTGTGAAATTTGGAGCATTGCATTTCCGCAACTTTGTTACATAATCTTATCCAAATGAAACGGCAAACGATTGATATTTTTCATTAAACTAAATTCTGTCCAATCAAAATAGGCAACCGTCAAGTTGAAGTATCTTGTTATAAAAATTATCTAGTGAATCTAGCACGGAGCTGTCAACTTTGGATATTTAATCATTTCCAATTAATGTCAATCAATTTTATATTAACCTCGACCTAGTTTAATGATTTAAAATACAAAAATTCTTTGTCATGTATGTTCACAGCCGAATTATTGTTCCTGAATCCAGCATAATTCTGTAAACATGGATAATCCAAGTCTCAAATTTACTGTACTGTTGATAATCACCTTTAGTAATTTCGCACTTTCTAGTGTTGTAAGTTATCAACCCAACTTTAAATTATTACAAATCAGACCTACATAAACTAGTATACATATATAAATATCTTGTACTTCCACAGATTGGGGCGTTTAAAATTCAGGAATGTCTCCTTCACGAACTCTATTTCTCACACAAAACACCAAACTTTGACCAATTATATTTAAACCAATTCCCTAATTCACCGAAATTAATCTCCATAATAAATTCCACCTCGAATAAATTGTTCTACTCCACCTCTAAACCTATCAGGGGAAGATGCACCTACACGATCTTGTTCAATCTGACCAGCCACACCCAACTCATCCCACACATCGTCAAGTTTACAAACTCATCCTCCATTACCTTCTTCATACAAGGGTCTCATAATACGCGTCAAATTTTGAACCAGTTACTCCTTAGTACCACATATTTGCAGTCATACAGTAAAATATTCTTTCTAGAAGAGGGTGAACTTCATATAAAGATGCATTTTTTGTGTCCCTATTGCTTCGAATTTTACCAGGAGATTCCATCCCACGTGAGCCTGGATTTCGTCAACGTTGCCATTTACAAAAATAGTTTTAAAAAGAACGAGATTATTTTAATTATGGAATATTTCCGGGAAGTTGATTCCTCGCCAAACTGTGTCCACGCGCCATGGCAAGTGAGCCCACTTTATTTCGAAAGTCCGTGTGATTTCGACCTTCTGATCGCTCAAACGGTCGCAGAAGTTTTGAACATTACCGCCATTCATAGATTAGGGTCGATTGATAGAAGAAAACTTCGCTACGGTTTCCAACTGAGCTCATTTAGCGAGGAAATGGAGCAATGGTCAGGGGCTCTCTTTTTTGTGGGGGGATATGGACAGCGTATCATTTACTGTGTGGATAGTTACACCTCATTTTCATTTAAAGTATGGCTTTCCCCGTATACATTTTCAGCTTGGTTAGTTATCTTCATAGTTTGTCTCACCTTGCCTCCATTTCTATGGAGGAGAGACGCCTCAACTTTCTTGAATGTATGCGAGACCATTTTAAATCTGGTGGCGATCTTACTTCGTCAAACGATAGCAGAAAAGTATTCAAGGTCGGTGATTGTTGTCAGCTATTCGTTAACATTCATTTTGATTTCATCCTTGTATGAAAATTATTTAACAAGTCAACTTATTGTTCCGGATATTTTGGCGCCATTTGCTTCTCTGGGTGAAGTGATACTAGCTGGGTATTGCATTGTAACTTTGCAATGGGGGAATTTTTCCACACCGACGAGACTAATTTATGAAATGGATTATAAAAGGAATGGGATTTTAGAGCTAATTAATTCAACAACTCGGGAATATTTTGGGGCGAGTTGGGAACCTGAAGAAATACGAAGTTTTGTTGCTAGGCAATTTGCAATTCTGGAAATAAGCGTGGATGGATTTTATAGTGATTTAGTGTTGCAGAAAACGAAGGTAGTTTTAGGAAAGAAGGCGGGTAAAGAGTGTCATAAAATTCCTGGGGAGGTGCTAGGGGCAAGCGTATACTTTTCCAAGTATGTTTTCCATATTGGACAAATATTTGCGGATAAGGTGCAGTCCTTGAGGGAATCCGGGCACCTAGGCTGGTTCATGTATGACCTTCGCGGACTAATTGAAACGAAAGGGTTGAGAGATGTGGAAAAAGAGGAAGGGTTTGAGGATGAGGGGAGTTCGGGATTCATTAGCATTAAACATTTGTTGTCATTCTTCTCACTTTCACTTTTTGGTATGGTTGTATCCGGAATTGTTTTTGGGATAGAGAAATACTACGGGATGCGTGATAAGCCTTGTACCGCATAGTCATGTCTGATTTCGAATGCTGGTTTTTCTTAGGGGGCTTATTATATTTGATAAGAAAGATATAGATTAAAATAGATAAATAGGTGATTACATAGTATGCAGTTTTTTTTGCGAAATTTTGCAATTTGTATTTTAGAATCTCTGCTAAGTATACCTTTTCTATTTGTAATGTAATAAATGAATTTAAATCGTTGATTATTGGGTTAGTGCTAATTTATGCCTTAATTGTCGTAGTTAACGATTGCAGTAAATTTACACACTATGATTTACACACATTAATTGAAAACCTGGTAATTTTCACATTGAGCTATAATACAGTACAATTTGACATATACGTACATACATACAAATATGTATACTTCCATGGCGCTTGGAAGTACGTGGGGAAAAAATAGAAAAACCGTTATGTTCAACTCTATTAACATTGAACATTCCCACAAGTAAGAGATAAGACATTTTAAGTGCATATCATCTTGCACAAATAATTATTGTAATTTAAGACATTTGTTTCTAAATATTTAGAAATACATCGTATATCTTTCTCTATGAAGTTAATACTGAGAAAGCAGTACATACATTTAAAACCTTTTGGCACATATGCTTGCTTATATGCATGCATATTTTTAGAAAGCTCTATAAACATTTCATTGCATTAAAAATATAACTTGTGTACCAAATCATTTGATTAATAAATCGATATTCGAAATTGTTAGTCTACCATGATTAATCAATTAGGCGCTTACAATACATCATCATACATATGTACATACAGTACAGTACAATACATGCAATGTACATACATTACAGTTGAAAGGCCTTATTCTTTAATTTTGAAAAATTTCAGATCAAAATGTGAGCAAATTTATTAAAGAAATTATACTATATGCAACACAGCTCGGACAATCAGGAATTATGTATCTGTGTGTTGAAACAATTTCAGAGAAGCAGTATCATTTCTAGCCTATCCATGCAATACTGCCAAATTTTGAGGGATGTGATCTTACCGAAATAGCTTCCATCTCCTAGCGACACTCTAATCGGTGAACAACTCCGTAAATACGCTTGAACCCACTTGTTTCTCATCTGCCCTCCAAACCGCACCAATTCCACCGACTTTACAAACGGATTCGATATTGCCTTGAAATAGACATGAATTGTGAAGAAAAACGATGTCGCTATAATACCAAAGAAACCGAGGGCCGGAAGGGGAAGGATTTGCCACGATCGGAAAACCATGTAAATTGAGACCGTCTCAGTTATGATGATGCCACCGACAAGTACTTGAATTCCGGGCTGCTTTAGGAGCTCGTTCTGCAAAAGTGAGAGGGTTTGGATGTATCGATACTTCCTGATCTCTGTGTAAAGTCCGGAAGTAAGTTTTCTAAAAATTAAGAAGATGTAATTTTCTATTAGTTTTACAGAGATAAAATATGTGCATTTTAAAATAATTTGTAAAAAAAATGGTTTCTAGGAATGCATTTATGTATGCATGCAAGGCTCACAACTTTCGCGTATCTCGCAAATTAAACAAAACGTGCAAAAATTTTCTAGATTTCGTTCGAAGTTTTCATAGAAACTTAATATTACTGGAAGTTTTACTTTACAAGATTATTTCGAAAAATATGTTGTAAACGAGATGAAAATTAGACTTCGACGTAAGTGTAACCAATCAATGTGTTTACATATTTACCTGTGAATTTCTTCCAAAAGAAAGATTTGCACGCACCCAGGATGGATCAAAAAGAAGTAAATGGCAGGAAATCCCATCACCATCTTCATGCACCACGTGTAACTTTCCAATAAGCCGATCACAATTTTTGACACCAGATTTAAACTGCAGGTCGCGTCCTTTGTCCAGTATATCAGTCCCGTAATCAGTGGCGGCATGCAGGGGTATAGCATCGTGAAAGTGAAAATTGCCATTGGCACGGGGCATAATGCAATGTAAGTTGCCATAGCGAACGACACCAAATCCCAGTCGGACAAAGAGACACGCTTATCTGGAATATATGATGAAATTAATTGCGAAATCTCAAAGATCATTGCGAAGGAAATTCATTGAGAATTTTTAACCGGAAAATTGTGGAAGGTTTATCAATCAAATTTTGCAAATTTTGAAAAAATAAGTGTGCAAATATACATACAATTACACGGTTGATTTATGAAATATATAGGTAAATAAGAGTACACAATAGCTACAGTGTATGCGGTACATAATTTTCCTTCCATAATTTGTGTACATTTGCCGCGTAAACGTTTACAAGATTATATTCCCAGTTCCAGCCGTCCTAGAAAAATGCACTGTTATGATTTCCTGACTAATTTCGATACTCAATATTATTTCTAACAGTGCATATGTGCATACCCAGATGGATACAGATATGCAAATGAAGAGTGAATTTGTTGCAACTACACTGGTGCGTAGTACGCATTATGTACATACGTACTATATCTATGTACATACATATGCAGAATATGTGTATAACTGCAACGCCCGTCGGTATGGTATTTCAGTACGGACGTATCAAACATCGCATTGTGAGCCATCCATACTTAAATTTGAAGGCATTGGCACTTGCACGGAGTGCGATTGTACATCGGTTAAGTACGGATGGCTCGCAATGCGATTTTTGATACGTCCGTACTGAAATACCGATGGGCGTTTTTGCAGTGTATGTAATGCAAATGCATAAATATCTGTTCCTCACTTCTAATCTGGCTTTGTCGAAGTTCCTCCTGTAATCCGAAATCCACCAGAGCCATTCCGACATCCAATACGTGCAACATGTGGATTAGTTCATACACGAAGCACCCAAAGGACACGGAAAAATAGACCATCATAAGTCCTTGCCATGTCGGAATATTCCTCGAGCTACCCTCCAAAGAAGGGTCAAAACTGTCCTGGATCATGCCCACATTCTTCCACAACCATTTGACCGTTAGAGCAAAATGTGTAAATAAATTCATGAAATCGAAACAATATTTTGCCCCCGTTTTCCAACTGGAGAAGCCAGACTCGAAGTGTGGGTAGTGTGGTTGAGAAAGGTTCAACTTGGTGGGAAATGGTTTCGTCAATTGACACAATTTCAATAAAATTATGAGAAAGTTGTAGCGAGAATTGAGGAGATTTCTGTGCCAAGAAGTAATTCGTGTAAAGTGGTAACGACTGAGGTACAATTTCTTGATGTTTTGAAATATATTAGGCATTGTTGGGCTTTTTGAAGAATTTAATAGTCTCAATTTTTCTATTTGAATTTGGAGCAAATTCTAATAGTTAACCTGTATACAATAAATACTTGAGAAATATATGAGTTTTTAAATATTTTGACGAAATTAAATGAACTAAAATTATTTTCTTAGAGTTATGTGCATATGTATATAAGCAGAACATGTCAAGAATTATTCAATGTCGAAGAAAATACGTAATGCATCATTGTTTGAGGTTTTTAAATATAACTCTTCTTTGCCCCAAGTTCAGTTAAATTAAATTATTTCAGCCTAAATCGATATTATGGATGCTTTTCTATTTTATGGCTCAATTTGCTGTGGAAATATTGCCCCGCATGTTTTTTAGATGTGAGTGCAATGGGATAAAATATTTATGTATGTAGAAGAGAGAGAGAGAGTCTTACCAATACCGTTTTTGTGGCATCATTTATGGAGCACCCATTAGGTATGTAGATATGTACATATTTATGTAAGGTGAAGTTCAGACCTTGGCATGTTTAATATTTGTGTACCCATTTTTGTATGTATGCATTGTTCCAATGGGTCAAAATAAAACGTATCTACATATATATATATAACTTTAAATATTGAATTTATTGACATTTGGCGCATGCAGTTTGTGAGTTTGGAGTTAAGCCTGCGTAATATTTTTTCTCGTCGCTCTATTGAGCGAGAAGAGCTCTCGCTCTGCATTTCCTCTCCATGTTACGCATGGGTCCAGAAATCTGATGTGATTTTTCACTTTGCGAGTTTCAAAGTGCATGCAAAAGTTTGAAATTTTCACAATATCATTATCAATAGTTTTGCAACAAATTACCTTGGACTGATTAGCAATTTTGATGATAGTTTTATTTATATTAATCAATAATCCCAATATCACAGAAATATTGATTAATATAAATAAAACTATCATCAAAATTGCTAATCAGTCCAAGGTAATTTGTTGCAAAACTATTGATAATTATATTCTGAAAATTTCAAACTTATGCGTGCCCTTTGAAACTCGCAAAGTGAAAACTGAGGTCAAAATTGTACTACTTCTTTTGACTCATCCCCACTCGTCATAGAGTATGTGGCGGAACACATAAAAACATCAACAACCCCAAATGAGATGCGATTGACTTGTGATTGGCATTCCCAGGACTGCGTCCGTCAGTGGATTTTGTGGTACAAATGAAACCCCAAATATTGAAGCTTTGTCTTTTGAGTGGTCCCCAGATCCTCGACAACCGGAAGTGAAACATTCAGTTACGCTCACCTTCCAGAGATATTCCCATTTGAAAAAACCCTCATTTCTCGAACTGTACTATGCGGTGACCACTATTCATGGGAGGATACAAACCAATGAGGTTGATCTTCACGACCCATTTGACCCCGGTGCGTACGAAATAATGAATAATTAAATCATGAATAAATGAAGGATTCAATTGTTGAACTGATAATTTAGAACACATTTACAATCTGACGGCTTCCGACGTGGGAGCTATTTTAAGCGCCCCTGAAAAGTTATCCTTTGTCTGCAAGTCCATCCAATTGATCAAGTTCAATGATGGGAGAAACAGTTTCGCCATGTCCGAGGTCCATGTGGAAGCATTTCATGACAAGATTGCTCTCGGAGATGGCAAAGATTTTGGACCGAGTATGCAGAAATTTTGCACAACGAATCAACGAATAATCAAAATATGACTAACCAGGAATTTGTTTTCTGAATTGCAGAATGATTTTGTGCAAAGGATGGTGTAGAAGTTCTTTTGATGGTATTCACCTACGTAATAATTTTAGCATTATTCGGCTTAGCCGTCTACTACGTTGTGGATAAGAGATCAAAACGGTCATACGTCTATTTGTAGGAATTTCACATTTATTTTTTTATACGATTGTGACGATTATACTAATACGCGTAATTAATTATTATACTATTTATTACACATGAATCGTTTTAATTTGCAAAGGAATAAGTCTTATATCTGTTTGATGACTGTGCTTCAAAATGAGAGAAATAATAAATAATGGTCTCAATAAAACAAACAATTTTGTGGGCAGATGCCCAATTTTTTGAAGATTTTTTTATTTAATTCAAGCCAAGGTCAAATAATTTAGATACATGTGATTTCAAATTGCATAGGTTTAATAACAAAAATCATATATTTAAAAAAAATATCAATGACTTCGCCTCGGGGCGCGTTGTACAGCGGGGGGCATAACTAATGGGGCCCTGGGGCATGGTGGAGGCCCCGGGTCGACTTCGAGGGTAATGGTCTTTCCCGTGAGTGTCTTTACGAAAATCTGCATACCACCACGGAGACGAAGGGGCTTATCGATAGGTCTATAGGTAGGTATTCATTAAAAAACATCATGAGCATCATAAAAAATTATTATTGTAGATCGTCAGTCATCATCATACTAAGTTGTTAAATATTCACCTCGATGGGGGAAGAATAGCGTCGAGAGCTTCAATCAAGCAATTGCCGTCGGCGTTTCCTTCCTTGCGCTCAACCTTCCATCCCTTGAACCAGCCCATCTTGTCGGAAACCTCCATGTTGTCTCCGTTCCATCCGGAAATGGGGATGAAGAGTATGCCAGCTGGATTGTATCCAATCTTCTTAATGTAGCTGCTGACTTTCTTTTTGATCTCCTCGAAACGGGCCTCAGAGTATGGAGGCTCAGTGGAGTCCATCTTGTTGACTCCAACAATAAGCTGTTTATCGCTAAGGGTGTAAGCGAGAAGGGCGTGCTCACGAGTTTGTCTATTCTTGGAAATATCGGCTTCAAACTCTCCAGTTCCGGCAGCCACGATAAGCACAGCGCAATCGGCCTGTAAAATTAATAGGGCCAAAGTTAATTCTTTTAGTGCGTAATGCAAAATATTTCAATGCAATGCATTGCCATGTCCATACTACTCATTCATATTATTCACATTTGAGTTAGAAAGATTTTTTACATACCTGAGAAGTTCCCCTGATCATGTTCTTGATGAAATCTCTGTGTCCGGGAGCGTCGATGATGGTGCCGTAGAACTTTGCGGTCTCGAACTTCCAGAGGGCGATGTCGATGGTGATACCACGTTCTCGCTCCGCCTTGAGTTTGTCCAGCACCCAGGCGTATTTGAAGGCTCCCTTGCCCATCTCCTGGGTCTCCTTCTCGAACTTTTCTATCGTTGTCTTATCGATACCTCCACATTTGTAGATCAAATGACCCGTGGTGGTGGACTTGCCAGAGTTGACGTGGCCAATGACCACGATGTTAATGTGCACCTTTTCCTTTCCCATATTGTGGCGGATGACGAGGAGGAGGATGATAATCGAGTAACTAGCAGAACAGTAGAGCTGCAAAACCATGCACACACAAAAATAACAATTAGTTCAGAGTGAAATTGCATCAGCTTTTCACAGGCAATTTTGTGGGAGACCGAGAGAAACCCCCACCCCGGGGGTATATATTTTCTTACCTGGTGCGCTTCTTTTCACCACACCCTTCGTCGAATATAAAGTTGGGAATTACGCGTGGAAGTGGAGAGAGCACCTGGCAAGGCAATACAAAATTCCCACTGCGAACGGGTGAACTTTTTGCCCCAAAAAGTTCACCCGTTCACCACTACGCGAAATCATGAGATTTCATCAGCATAAAATATTGTCAATCCTTAAATTTTTGGTTCTCATTTGAGTTTTAATATTTTTTACTAAGATTATTAAACATCTGGCACGCGTCTGGTATCGTTTTCTGTTGTATTTTTTGCTGTGGGTTTATAAATACGTGGATTTGTATTTATCTTTGTATTTTAAACATATGTAAGTACAGAACACAAAGAGTACACCTTCCAGATGTTCAGTTTATGTACATTGACAAAACACCAGATTGATACAATTTATGATTTTAGTATACATTTCAAATTAATCTTGGTAATGAGATTTGCCTGGGTTAACAGTAAGTCCGATAGTTTAAATGAAGGATTTTTCTAAAGAGCTAAATAATAACGCGGTCCTTGGTAACACTGTAAAATCTACAAATTCTGGAAGCTTACAAATTTTTACAAAATTTAAGAAATACTACGAAATAAAATTAGCTTACAAATTTTTATAACTTACTCAGATCAAAGACGTGTTTCTATTTTTCAAAAGATTGTAAAATGATTTTGCAAAGCTTACTGATTTTACAAGATATCTATCAATGACTGCATGAACTGGGTAAATACTTGTGTGTTTAATCAGCAACGAATTTTTATGGTGGATCTGGTTATAATTACGTACAACATATTTTTATATGACATGACTAAATATAAATACAGCCAAATGCATATTTATGTACATAAATATATAGAGTACATATGACTGTGTTTGAAATATGCTACATTCGGTATCCTTATTTGCACGTGAGAATTTTAAGGTCATTAGAGCGATGTGTGCATATCGACGTATTCAAGTCAAGGATTTGACAACAACGCGGTCCCATTAATAATACACAAAAATAGTCTAGTGGCTACATAAGATGAACATGTTAAGAACTAAATGTTCGAACTTCAGTGATGCATTACTTCGAACTTCTAAGTTATGCATTACTGGGTAGACTTTAAATATAACCATACCCTTGCTGCAAATTCAGTTATATTCAATTACATAAGCTGGCGACTTTATTATATAACAATTTATTCGAACCCATGGTATGTAGGTCGATGTAATCCACGATATAATCCATATGTACGTGCATGGATGTGAATGAGTTTCAGGTTGTAGAAATTTTGATCATAAGTCCCCACTTAAATTCTTAGAAACCTTCCAGAAGTCAAATTGTCTCGTATCTTTTTCTATGCTACATTTACAATATGATTCATATTGTAAATTCATATTATATGAATTTATGCATGCATTATTATTGCTAAATAAATATTATGGACTTCCCAGGTCGCACGTGTTCATTGTGTTAATTGCATTGGTAAAAAATTAGCTGTGTAAATATAAATCTTGCATACATTTGTTTAACCCATGCATAAATTATTTAACTATGCATTTCAACTAAATTTAGGTATGCAATGTGGCAATTACTTTGCTTGGATTGTTAGAGTCATGGGTATAATAGTTGAAGCCAGCACTTCTCATAAGAGTTTGATCAGCCTGTGGTTAATCAGAATGCACATTTATGCTTAAACTGGTTATGACCTACATAAATATTTTATGCACAGTCCACAATACGTACAACGCAAGTATGCACATATATATGTAAGAATGATAGGGACTTACAAAAAATAGACAAACAAAGCGTCATGATAAGGATATGCTTGCAATATAAATGCCTTCAGACATGTTACGTTCCGCATCCTCATCTGCAGGTAAATACGCATTTTTATTGTAAGGTCATCCCGATAAAGTACACGTGTATCTCAACGATTGGGTAATAATTTCACGGTTCTCTGTGTTGCACCCTATCGTGTATTTATAACAGTACAAATATTGTACACATGTCACTTCAAAGTACAGATTCTGTTTGTTGAGTATATTTAATGTTTAATCAAGAAAGGAAACGTTGGTTTGACACCGCAGATTGGAACTATCAATTATAAATTAAAATATTACTTGAGCTAATTAGTATATCTATCTACATATGGATGCAAATTGTGTCATGTCAATGTAACAAAATTTTAATACTCAAACAACATAATTGCCTTAAAGCTTCTCCAGAACAGCATAGAACATTTTAGAATTGAACAAATAAATCCACATTTAATGTATGAAATATTTATTTTCTAGAATTGACCCCTTTGTCAAAAACTGTGGGAGATTTCGGTATGGAATTACCGAAATCTATTACCAAAATATATTGTTACACCAAAATTAACAGAGGTTTATATATTTACTTATTTACTCGTATGCATGTACATATAGAGTTATTAAAGCTTTACGTGACGTTGTTTTACAAGGTCAAACTATTGGATCATCCATTGATGCCTGCATACATATACATAAAGGTATACGTACATATATACTTGTATAGCGCATGCACGGTCCTCTCATAAATACCTCACCTTTCTGCAATGTGTACCTGTTTAGCTACGTAAATGGCAGAAGGCGAAAGGCCAATTTGGGTTCACCTCAGTCCAAGCCAACAAGGCAAATATATTAACCTGAGCCGTTCGGGGAATTTTGTATGTAAATATGTAAATATGTCTCAACCAAGAAAACCTTACTATTTATGTATGTATTTTTAAGTAGTGTGGAACATCCGCCAGAACAATTATACTATTGAATTCTTAGAATTGTTGTATAGGAAATATTTTTAGAGACCGTTATTTTTCCCTGGTCCACAAATACGTAGAACTGTTTTATAAGCTATTATTTTATAAGCTTAAGCATTTTCAAAATAAATCTTCAATGATTCTCAATAAGAATTTCTCATGATATTCAAATGAAATGCGATTACAGTGCGAAATGAGTTAGTATTGATTTACGTATGCAGAACTAAATCTCATCTCAATGCCACTTACACACTTACGGACTCGTACCTAACTCATCGTAAGACAGCGTTTGTATGGGAGTACAAATTGTATGATAGACATTCTTTTGATGTATGAAGCATCTGACATATATGAATGTCATTCATAAACTTAACGGTTATGCACATTCCAACATGTGTAAATGATCTAACCTATCCAGACAAATATGTTCATACATACATATTTTTACATATTTATTAAGGGCCTGGGGGAAGTTGCTTAGAAATCACGTCAACTTTGACGATAAAATTAAGCAATGCACAAGAGGGCAGATTTTTTAAATTATGTTTTATGCGTTAATCATATCTTTAGATTTTACTTGAGTTTTTTTTGACGATCTGCCCTCTTGTGCAGTGGAGATATTTGGTCGTAAAGTGAGGACAAATTGGCTTAGAATTGCCAAATTAATGGCAGGAATTGCATTTTGAGTATCCATGGAACAAAAGAAACAACTTTTTTCAAAAACTTGAGGGACTTGAGGGAAACTTTTTCAAAAGCAGTGACAAAACCAAAGCTTTTGAACGTGAGTGTCCCATAGAAACGGTGTCAATTAATTGTGGTCGTAACCTAACAGAGCGATAATAATCTTGGGGCCCTGGCAATTATTGTTGCTAACATAAAATCAAGTAAATCTTCCCCCGGGCCCTTAAGGGATTATTAAAAGATGCAACCATCTGAAATATTCTTGTTTGAATTAAACTGATTATTTACCTTGATGTAAAATTGATCAATAAATGAACAATCTGCATTTTTACAAGTTGCTTCTTCTTAATTACAAGATATTCAAACATCAATTTGATTGTGCGTCTAGATGAAAGTGATGACACCGTGGTATGTAAAGCGCGTATGCAAAGTTTCCATGGGTAACAAATTTACATCTCTTCATTCCCAACTGATAATGGTTACGTGACTTTTGAAGAGATATGCATAATTCAGAATATCATAAATTTTGGAGTCTTTAACTAATCCGCGCAAATATGATATGCACATATTTCCTATGTACATCATGGGTCATACGTGCAGCATTTCATCCATATTTTGCACCCTTGACCTCTTCACCCCGACCGAAGATGATCCACCACAATGTCAACCTTCATAAGAACAAGATGACCAAGGTCCAACGCCTAACGCCACATCCCTTCCGCATAGCCCCCAAACTTTTTCAAAATCCCGAGGAACATCCCAATTCATAATTCCCTCTAAAAACCGATGGCACATATCATAATGAGGAATTTTAAAACTCCGCCTCGCATTCAAATGCACCAATCCTTGCAAACCAACGCATCAATTGTGAAAAAGGCTGCTCTTTTTGTCGGGGGACATGCATCCATCATACCACCATTTTTCCCACAATATGTGCACCCCTCTCAACCGCCAAGGAATACAAAAGGGTCTTCAAGCTACCCTTCTCTTGCACAATGCAGTCCCTCTTCCACCTATTTTAAGACGATGCTTCCAAGCATTTCCTCTCCACCAAATGGTGCACACATTTTTCATTGTATGTCCTCATATTGGATCGAGAGTTTCGTAACTTCGTGCTGCAACACACTTTCCATCCAGTTTTTACGCAACCTTTCGTTCATCACGTTTTGTGCTTACGGCAGCTGAGCATAACCAGCAAACAAGCAAAAGTTGAACAATTTTTGATAATTTTATTTGTCCATAAATGACTAAGTAATATAAGCTAAATTTTCCAATAAATTCCAAAATGTCTCCGACTAAATGTAAGGATGGTTTTACCCCAGAAGTTATTACACTTGATGGTAACTGTGAGCTTGTATAAGTTTTGGGGGGTTATTCGTAAATTACGTACGTCTACATTTGTGTGGAACGTACATCGTTTACGGATAAGTCTCAATCGAGGTGGTGGAAATTTTCTAAAAATATTTTCTAATTTTGCAGACGCACCGTATGAAATTTTAGAATCACCGTCAAGCAAAAAAATTCGGGGAGAACCTTTATTAGACGAGGGTCAAATTTCTTCAAGTTATTATTTAAAGCAGATTTTATCCTCGCCTAATAAAGTTGAAGTTAAGAGAATGAGCCGAGAAGAGTTGGAGGATTTGGTCTTGTGCAAAGTTGCACAAGTTTTATTACACGATACGGAAGAGGGGAAATACAGGATGAAGATAATGGGCCTTGAAAAACAAAGAGATCGACTTAAAGACAGAGTTATTGCGCTGGGTAAACAGGTACGGTTTTTGAACAGTAACACTTTTTGGTACATTGTAAAGTAGAAAATGGGATATTGATGGACAAAATTTTGTGTTTGGATTTTTAGTGATTTCACGGCATTACATAATTTTGTGTCAAGTGGATTGCTTGTAAAGTTGAACTGTGGGTCGTAGGTACATGAAGTGGTTAAATGGTCAAAGTCCACGTGTACCTAATTGATTCAGATGTATCTGCGTAATTTGTACAAATACGTAGAAGGATTGTCCTCATTTTAGTTTTACCTTAGTGTTTTTAGTAAAATGTGATAATTTATTGAAATGAGAGATACATAATTGGGTTTAGTGCAAAGTTCATGGAAAACTCATTAACATTTACATAAATAGGTTAGGAAGATAGTCTTAATTAGCATTTGACTTCAGGTCAAGTGGTAATTAAAGTGCATGGCAATTGATCAATTATTTTTTAGTAAAATTCAAAATCTCATAAACGCGTATATATTTAGTTTTGTGTCTCATTTTTTTACGCTTTTGGTTTGATTAATCACATATTTATGTTCCAGTGTGGGCCACACTGGAACTAATTTCTGATCGATTTTTTAGTTGGTTTTCAGCAAAAACAGTACGTTATTAGTGCGTTTTGATGATGGAGATTTTTTTAAGTCTGTAATTGTATTCCCGCCGCTGAGGAGATTCCTGAGTTACATTCACGGTATTTAAATTATCGTCGTTGAAATTGCAAATGGAAAAGTTTGCTAGTATTCCAAAGGGACACATGAAAATTGTTTTAATTTCAGAAAGATAGCTCAATGCTGAAGCTTATGGGGTTACATTACAATAGTCAGCAATATATATAGCAAGTTTGCATGTCATAGTGAAAATTTAACAATCAATGCAAAACCTTTCAGGATCAATTTTTTAAGTAATTTTCATAATCATATTATTTAACACTTAAAAACAAATCTTTTTACATAAGCCTTATTTAATAAGGTTTAGAAATTATGGGCAAAGTCGTGAAATTATGTCGTACAACATACATATTGAACCATTCTAGTTAAATTTCTCTCTTAAACTTCAAAAGAGAAACTTGAAGATACAAATTACCAAAAAAATGTACACAATGTAATGCATATTCATACAGACAACGAGGGCGTAGAAGACTTGCACATAATTATTAGATGCTGGGAATTATAAAAATCATTGCAAAATAACCGAGTTGCTCAATATTAATTCAAATGCTCTCTTCGCTTAAGGAGATAAATTTAGATTGTTTCTTCACTAATTATTCTAATCTGGAAATTTTATCTACACAAATAGGTAATGGAAATGGAAAAAGCCGTGTCACTCCTTTTACACGAAGCACTAAAAGCCGAAAATACCAGAAGCATATTAAGACCGATCAAGCTGTATCGAAGTGTTGGACTCCAAGTCGACACGGGGAAAGCGCCTTCAAAATTAGCACAACAAAAAGCGATCGCCCCCAAGCAAAATCTCGTAACTCGGTCGTGTCAAACAAATTCAACGCCCGTATGTCAAGCAGAGACGCAGACTGATATTTCACAGTACCCAAAACCTCCAGCGAAAAATGGTACAACTCGGTCGAAAATTGGTGAGATTAAGTCATCCGTAATAAATAATATGGGTTGGATTACTTCTTCGATTTGTTTTAACGACAGTTTTTGAGCAATTCAGTATCCGGGTTTTTCTGTAACTTTTGATCCTCTGAAAAAACAAATCGTTTTTTTGTATAAAATTCGAATTTAGGCTTTCTGAAAAACATGTCTAGATTTTTTCAATAAGATCCAGTTCTAAATGAAGTGAAACCAACAAATATTATTTATGTATGTATACAATTATCGTAACGTAAATTTAAAAAACAGTTAATTAATAACTTAACCAATATCCTTTGTAGTGGCGGAAGCTGTGTCTCGATCTACCAATTTCATCCATAAAACATCCCCGAATACTTTAAGCAATCCGAAAAAGAATGCTGATCCCATGAGTTTATCAACCACTCCAGGCAGGCAGAATCACGTACCGCGACAAACTAATAATGTGACGTATCAAGTTATGCAAGAACCCAATTCTGGAAGAATATTACAATTGGTAAGCATCAAATTACTAAATAAATTTGCATAATTATTAATCATATTCAATTTCAGGTCCCATATTTACCAAATGCCTCGCCAAAACTGACCCACGTTCGACCATCCCTCTCTTTAGCGAGAAATCGTACTGGAGGGATAACTCTGTCGTGGCAAATGCCTCAATCCGTGGCTGCAGTTGACATGGCGGGGTACGAAATTTTCTCCTTATACAAGTCCAAGGCCGGGAAGGAAGAATGGAAACGAATTGCGGAAGTAAATGCTAAACCTTTTCCGGAATTGAATACTTTCACGATGAAAACCGTACGTGATATTTAATTAAATTACGTTCTCAGCCCGAGCCAGGGTTTATGTTTGGGACCATAATTTTCGTCTGTCCAAGTATCTTTAAAAAGACTAAATATTTAGAATTTAGGCTGACAAAATTAAGACAAAATTTTCTCATTTTGGAAAAGTGGTGCAAAATTATGATATCGTTTTGCAAAAAAATATATCAAAGTAATCGCAGGAAGATGACCAAAGCACGTTAGATATTGATATTTAATAAATTGACTGGCTCGGGCTACAGAAAATCTTTATTATAGACGTTTACATGCTTTTTCAATTGACAGTTAATCAAGTATTTCTTACTATAGGTCGAGAGAGGAAAACGTCACTCGTTCACTGTCCGAGGAAAAGGGGTGTACGGTCGCGGTGGACCGTTTTCAGTTCCGCAAAGTATACTTGTGCCAAAACCGGATGGTAGTATTTAATTAGGAATTTAATAAAACGCTTCAATATTGTGAATATATCTACAGCTAGGTGTGCATGCATAATTATTATGATTAAACGCTGATGTATGTATGTATTTAGTAAATAAATTTTTATAGAGCATGATAACATTACATTTGGAATGGTTGAACGATATTTATTGACATTTAAATGTTACCATCCATGACTTATTATTTTGCTCAATGATGTGGCTAGTGAAAATAATCCAATTTCCGTCAAATCTGTCCAAATTGTGGGTATAATTGTGCTAATTTGTTACTATGGTTTCAAAAAGTATAAGCATTTGTATCATTAAAATCTATCTTGGATAGTTTTTATCTTCATGAATTTTGAGAAATAGGCGAGCTATCACTTTTAGACCCAAGGACTTCACGATGCTTCCTTGGACTGGATCAGTGAGTTGTGGTTCATTAAAATTTGAAGCGAAAATTGTTCCCAAATCAGATTCCTATGATAACAGAAAGTAATATTCGGTGACTCATTTGTACATAAGCTTCGGGTGAATATGACTTAATAACTGCGTATTTACATACACGTACATAAATTACGATTGACGTAAGAAATGCAAGAAACAAGCACAATAAGAACCGTATTGGGACCGTGCATAAAGCGTGGTACACATTTCTGGTCATATCCTTTTCACATTACTTACAGTACGAGGCATGTGGGTCACCCCGGGAGTTCAAATTCCCAGGAAAATATCCATCACTTCCTTTACGTACGGTCCCATCATCAAGTACGTTTTTTAAGAGGAAATTGATTAAGTATTTAATAGAAATTAAATGTACGTTTTATTTAATACGTAAGTTATCATTAAAAGTACACAGGCACACTTTCAGAAAAATTAAATTAGAATGATTTGTATTTCAAAATCAAAGAGCAATTTCATGTTTTTTCGTTACTCTGATAATACTAAAATACGTAATAATTAACAGGTGTAATTATGCAATTTTAATTGTAGTTTTATTTGAGTTCCCATATAAGAGAAAATTTTATTATATAATATTTGACAAATATACACATTGTATCTCTTGTACATAAGCGGAAATCTACAAATTATTGTAGAAATTTCATGTGCTCTAAATTATAGAAGGTATATATATACACTAAAAAATATGCGCATAGATTTTAGCGGTATAAAAGGACATTTCCTAGAATAGAAATGTTACATTTATTGTACGAGTTTTCATCAGATCATCATCACTATTCATTCATTTCGTTCAACGCGAGCGATTCACGTTGGGCACAATTTGCAGATTTGTCGTATTAATTACGCGTTCCATTTGTATCTAAATATTTCAGCAAGTTACAAAACTTCTCTGAGCAAATACGACTATCTGGATCTACATTTAACACCTGGTTAACAATTTTGATCACTTTTCCAAACTTCCCCTTACAACAATTATTCAAATAGTTACGTCGCTCAACCCCACTAAACCCTCGCAAGTCGGAGAAAACTGCAAATCTATCCAAATTCTTCCCATCTTTGTGTAAAATTTCTACCCCAACTAATCCCAAACTGTACAAATCCGTCTTAACTGTGTACCTCAATTGACTCCTCATTTCCGGACTTTGATAAAGATAAGTCCCAGCCACCCCAACATTTCCGTCCTCTCTGCTCATCACTGCTAACCCAAAGTCACCAATTTTCCAAGTAAAAGTCCCAGACGATTCTACCTTACAAAATATATTTCCTGGTTTAATATCCCGATGAATGTAACCTTTCGTGTGTACATAGTGAAGCCCAGTCGCAATCTGTTGAATAATATCCTGACCGTCATCTCCTCCCTCTTCGGAGCACACTTGCAAATAATGTTTCAAAGTGGTGTGGCATAGTTCCATCCTGATAAAGATGTGACTCAGGGGCGAATTTTGACTAGATGACATGGCATTATTGCAATGCTCGATAAGTTCGTGGATATATGACTCTAATCGAGACTTTGATAAGAGGATCTGACTACAGTCTTCCGCTTCTGCCCAGCAACCATAGTACCGAACGACATGGTCACACGTTAGTTGGTCCATGATTTCCATCTCGTTGAGAAGGATGGTCATATAGTTTTGCAGGTCAATTACTATGCCACTGCTTTCAGGGGGCAGAGGCGTTGTACTAATCGATGAAGAAGAAGGACCACTGCAGCTCCCCAGCGTTTTTAGCATGTCGACACATTTGATAGCGTACCCGGTCGTGGGAACAATTGCGCTTTGATCTTCAACTTGGTACACTTTTCCGAAAAATCCTTCGCCCAGGAGGGCAAGACAGATTAAGGAAGGATGAGTTTTCCAAGGAGGTGTTAAAGGAAAAAGAGGGTGAGGTGGGGGGAGGAGGAGTTGCAATTTACGAGAGATTTGATGTAGTGGGATTGTAGCTGTCATGATCATGTACAAAATTAATGTTTAAATTTATTAAGACGAGACATTATTTGTTTAAATTTATCATATAAACACTGTTATGCACTTTATGTAAGTAAATAAGTTAAAATAAGTATGTATATATGTAGCTTACCCGATGGTGACGTAATGGATGCCTTGTTCTTTCTTTGCCTAACAAAGACTGCAATGCAGATTCCAAGAATGGTAAAAACTATGATGGTTAGTATGGTCCCCATGGTAAGAAATAATAAATCGAAGTCATGATTCCCATCTAAGGTGAAATGGGAAATGTTTGAATTAATGGGCTTAAAAAAGATTTTATAATCAATTGATTATGTTTTTTTTATCAGTGCCTTTAATCTCTGCCTCTCCACAATTTGAAGAATTATTGCTGACTGGAATACATTTTGCATCTCGTTCGCAATATGTTTCATTGATTGAGCAATTAGTAACGGGTATTGTGGATGTGGGTGTTTCCTCCTTAATTTGTTAGAAATATATATTTTTAAATATTATGTAATTTTTATACCAAGCCAGGGGTTTCGTACTACGAATAGTCATGCTTGTCTAGAAGTCAACTTCAATTTTTTTCAAATAACGGCGAATGCACAAAAGTATATCTGAATACTAAATTACTAATGCCCCCGTGGAATGGGCTAAAGTATGTAAAGTTAAAGTGTACTTGTTTTGTGTTAAGTCGACAAAAATTTAATGCAGAATAATCTTATCTTTTAAGAAATATGGTCAAACTCTGGCTTGGCATCTGAACACTTACGGGTGCTGACGATATTTCCACGTCTTCAGTAGTTGACTGGCTCGGTGACATTGATTCTTGTAATCTCCTAGAATTTTGTAGTAATTCGTAAATCTGTTGTGATTCCCAGGTTCGTGAACAATTGAATTCGTCTTCACCACCCTTGCAATCGTATTCTCCATCGCATACGAAACCAATTTCGATACACGTTTTATCAGTACACTTAAAAGTACTCGAGCCACAACTGTTCGGGGGACAAACGCTAATTGAAGACATTTGATCATCCCAACTCCTTCCATCACTCATTTTGAGAGGGCTAAGATTATCATGATGGGGAGATCCGGGTCCAATTCTCGTTGAATCGCCCGTACAGTCAGCATATTCCCAAATAATTATACAATTACCTAATGTATTAATTGAGGAAACCATATTGTCATAAAATTCATGGTTCATGCATTTCCCTGCATCGATTGTAAATGTCTTGCATGTTCCACTTCGAAAGCGTGTTTCGTCGCACTTGTGGAATTTGTCGTCATAGAGGGTGTAATTAACTGACATTTTGTGACCTATGTTCCAACAAATGTTACGTAGAATTACTTAGAATTAGTTCATAAAAATTGTACAACGGTTTGCACTGTTAAATAATAATTGAGGATAAATATGTATGTATTTAGGTAAGTAATCTTACTAGGAATTTAGAAAGGTCTTATTTAAATTCCAAAATAACGGCGTAATAGATACATTTTTTGATTGACCTAAAGTTCTTACACAAACCTGCCAACATTTCACTTATTTGGATACTATAATTAGTATGAATTATCACAATAAACAATTACAGATATCACAGTGTGGAGTATTTTTTCAACATTTAATTACTTACACGAAAGATTATACTTTGGGGTGACATGTATGTAAATATGTAGCAATCTCCAATAATTTTATGGTCAGTTAAGTGCTAAGCACAAGTAATACATACATAGTATGTATGTATGTATGTATGTATTACATACATACGTATATGAATTTCCAAGTACAAACTTATCTACATACAGTATGCTTTACGAGGAATAAATTAGGACTAGTCATCTCTGGATTAATTGATCGAAGTACTTACATACATACGTACGTACATACAATTGGTAAATTAGCAATGCCAATTCAGTCTTACATACATGCATTCACATTTATGTTTGTACGTAGGAAATTCACGTATCAATAAGCATTGACTAGTAACTGGATGCAGAATTGCAGTCTACAGATAAATTACTATAGACATCCTTTCATAAACATGCTTGTATCATCAACAATGAGTTATAATATTTAGCTACTTATACTGTTACATATTGCATACATATAACTGTTCTTATACAAGTTTCAACTCAGAGAAGAATTTTGTTAAATTTCGTTTCGTTACAATAAACCCAAAAACCTATCTTTAGCCATGATGAACGTATAAGTATATACTTTACATATTTTGAAACAAACGAAATGACCTCCATTGAGTAATTATGCATCCGTGCATTTGTATGCACTTCTTGAATCTCATTTTCGGAGGGATGACGTTCACAGTATATAATATTCCACAAATTAGAAGCGCCCAAGAGGCAGAGGACTGAAAAAGTGTACTATAAAGACGCGAATTATCATGACGCCGAGGAAGCACGTGGACAAAATGATTCTTGCTGTAGTTTACAACAAAGTTACTACTGGTGAATTGTACACTGCCTACATACACGCAGTGTACACGATGCAATAGGTAGTCTCAAATTAAAATCACATTATGTATGTATCCAATTTCCATTGTGTATGAGTTTTATTTTAGTCTTTCACGAGTACAAAATTAATTTTTTAATTTATACATGTGCCTCCCTCTGCCAATTTACCAAGTTACGATAAACCGACACCTTCGGATGACTCAAGGGGTGGAGAGGATAAACCTTCTTCACTCGTAACTCTCTCCGGAAGCTTTGAAATTCGTATAAACTCATCAAACTCCATTACTGCTACACCCTTATTTTCATGTCCTTTGAAATGTTTTCTAATGTCGTTCTTGTGCCAAAATTTCATCCCGCAGTAGTGACAGGAAAATCGATACAGTTTTAAATGCACCCGCTTCTTGTGATCGGATAAATTCCCCGTGTCCCGAAAAGCCTTTCCGCAAACTTCGCAGACGTACTTTCTCTCCTTGGGGACGCCCTTCGGCTCGTGCACGTTGGCCGTGTGTATCTTCAAAGTGTGGATATTGAAGAAGCCCTTGCCACAATATTTGCAAATATTGTTTTTCACCCCATCGTGCACCTTTCTTTTGTGGGTTTTCAGCTCGATGAGGAACATTGACTTGCCGCAAATATGACAAATTCCTCTCGGTTTGGTTGCAGGCCTTGAAACTTTGCAGATTTTCAGGTGTTTCTCGTATGCAAATCTCATCTGGTAGCTGCGATTGCAATGCGGACATTTGAACGAGACTGACGGCTGTGAATTTGAATTTTTAGCTTTACGGCGAGGTATGCGATCCCCATATTGACAAGAATGTTTTACATGACCGTGAAGGGATTCTAGTCGGCTGAAGGTGGCTCCACACTTGTCACACGCAATGTTGTTAGCGCCGGTGTGTGTCTCAGTGTGGCTAGTGAGGCCTTGTTTTGTGTAAAACTGGGCGGGACAACCTTGAAATTCGCATGCGTAAATGGATATCTTGTATGAGGTCTTGTCAGCGGGGACTTGGCAGACGATGCGCTCATGTCCGGCGAGGGCATATTTGCTGGAAAGCACTTTCCCACAAGCCGAACAGGGGAATGGACTACGGTTGTAGTTTGAAGGGTGGGTTTCAAAGATGTGGCGGAAGAGTTGGGGTTTCCTCTTGAACGAATGGTCGCAGTGGGGGCAGGGGTGAGGAATTCGCTTTCGGGTGTGGAGGCCGAGATGGTTTTGATCGTAGTGGTACCTGTACTGCCGAATACTGGCGAATTTGTGAGGGGGGACAGCCGCGTCGGTGGGATGTGGACATGTAGGACAGACGATGTTGTCAGGGTCGACTTTGGGGTACTTTAGAACACGAGGTTGATAAGGTTTGGAAGAAGGGCGAGTTGTTCGCTCAGTTTTTCTGGGGGATTTAAAAATGAAGTCTGGATCTGTGGGGGTGTCTTCATCATCGTCATTATTATCATCAGCTGAAGAAGGGTGACGATCGTCGTCGTTGTCACTACAATACAGGTTAATTTAGTTTATGCTTATGCAAGTATCTTTCTACAAATTTAATAAAACTAACGGGATAAAATCTGAGTCGAAATTTGGCTCGATTTCTGCATCTTCCTCCTGAATCATCTCGGCATAAAATTCTTCCAGGTCGGAAGTTGACTCTTCTTTTATGACTATGACACGATTACTATCAACCTAAGGAAAATACAATTTAGTAAATTCAACACAATATAACAAATTCGATACGATATGATATAATTTCAATCAATTATTAGTTTATTACCGCCACTCCCACATGACTCACATTTCCCTTTCCTTCCGGCATTGTGTTGTCTCCATCAAAGTCATTATCGCCAGTTTTTCCTTGCTCAAACATGCTCTCTACTACCCTCGACTGAAAATAATTATTAATAATTTGCAGAATTACTCTGTAAAAATTAATAAATTGTTGCATAAAGCTGCTCACATTTTTATCTGGTTCCAACTTGATAACAAATGACGGCGACAACGATTTTCTCCGCTTCCGTTTTAAAAGGGCAAAATTAGTGAAAATCTTGGCCTGGACCTTATCCAATTCCTCCTCGAGTTTGAATAAATTCTGAAATATTTCCGTGCAAGCGGCGCAGCAGTTTTGGTAAAAATCGGCCATCCCGAGATGAAATTTATCCCCTTTTCTGGTCAAAAGAAGAAGAATATGTCGAAAAGTGGTCTCCCTCTGTAGTAGGCGTTCCATCTTTACATGGACCTTGTCATCAAGACCAGGCTTTAAGTAATTATTATTATTGTCATTGTCACCCAAACAGGTCCAGCACTTTTTAAAAGTCTTTAAATATTTTAATAATTTCCACTCTAATTCAATACATTCTGGGAGATTGATCCTGATTATTTTAGTGCTGCCCATCTTCCCAAATGAGGCCATCATTTAGCTAATTTTACAACTCACAATTTATATATTACCACAATTTTTTGTGAGTTATAAATAAAAAAACAACTAATCATTTTAGAATGTGAAAAACGAAAGTGTGGCAGGATGTCTGTCTGATGTTGTACTGAATAAGTTTAAGCAGCGTGTATTGTGACGAGTATACTTAAATTGATAATTTCAGTTATTCAAATTTCACTGAATTATTGTCAGGATTTTGATAAAAATTAAAATCAAATGCAAAATGCAAAATGTGAAAACAAAAGTCAGCAGGAGTATAAAAACCAAAAACCCAGATTCGCAGCATCAACGGGGCGAGGCGAACTGAATAACACAAAATGACATTCTTTGGAGTTGTCCAAAAATGATGTCACGGAATCATAAACATATTCTGGACCCTATCGAAACAGGTTGTATTCATTTTTAGCATGTGGTGTGAATAGATCTAACAAGGTAACAGGAATCTCCATATATGAGAGATCTTGTATTTCTCTTCCATGAGGAATCTCCTGTCGCCGATGATAATTTTAGTAACCCCCTTAAGCGGTTGCGGTAAGGAAGGTGCTACCCTCTTATCGCTGCTCTTCACCAGAGGAGAAAAAATTCCGGGTTTTGAGTTTTTTCCTAGTCTCAACCTTCTCTCTCGCTTTGCAAAATACATTGCTCGCTATCTCGAAACTTCGCATCGACCTTGTGGGGGGGAGAGGGGGAAATCGGGCAAAAAGAGCTTATTAATTGATAAAGATAATTTTTTTTGAATTTTTCTACGTTAGTCCCAAATTTTTTCGTCCACGGAGAGTACCTCTGCGTAGATTTTAATAAACACATTGAAGCTTATGCAACTTTAAAATCTACGCAGAGGTACTCTCCGTGGACGAAAAAATTTGGGACCAACGTAGAAAAATTCAAAAAAAATATCTTTATCAATTAATAAGCTCTTTTTGCCCGATTTCCCCCTCTCCCCCCCACAAGGTCGATGCGAAGTTTGGAGATAGGCGAACAATGTATTTTGAAAAGCGAGAGAGAAGGTTGAGACTGGGAAAAAACTCAACCCCAAATTCTCCTCCTTCTCGTCACACAGTGTGAGAGATATGGCTCGGATGTGGCGCATCCCTCCAAACCATGGAAAGTCAGCGATTGGCTGTTCGACTTTTTGGCTGCACACTTAAAAATGTCATGGTACATACTATGATATTGAACGGATCGAGATAATGGAGATTGGTTTGCGGCATCATACATACGACCCCAGGGGGAGGATCCAATCAACTTTTAGGGTCACTCGGACCACCATGTCAGGGGGTGTGGTCGGGAAAAAAGTAAATTTTTTACTAAAATCGAATCTATAGATTGTCTCACTGAACCCTAGCTGAGGAATACTTAATTTCATTGTATTGCATGTACAGATTAAATTTCAGTAAAATCTCATATTGCCCCTGACCACACCCCCAGGTTGGAGGGGGTGTGCCACCCCGAGGGAATACTTAATATCACCGTATTTCATCTATAGATTCGATTTTAGTAAAAATTTACTTTTTTCCCGACCACACCCCCTGACATGGTGGTCCGAGTGACCCCAAAAGTTGATTGGATCCTCCCCCTGGGGTCGTATGTATGATGCCGCAAACCAATCTCCATTATCTCGATCCGTTCAATATCATAGTATGTACCATTACATTTTTAAGTGTGCAGCCAAAAAGTCGAACAGCCAATCGCTGACTTTCCATGGTTTGGAGGGATGCGCCACATCCGAGCCATATCTCTCACTGTCACACTCCCCGTTAAACGATCGGTCACGTTTTCCTTTGCATTAATGAAGGTTTTTTTACTGCATTTTATCGTCCATCATGCATACCTGTGCAGCTTCACTCAATTTTCGTAAATTGAAGCTTCATTCACGATGAGGGAGTGAAGGAGAATGAAGCTGAGTGAGGGAGTTGAAAAGTTTGATCGAGTGAGTGAAGGTGAGTGAGGGAGGCCCAAATGAGAAGTGAGTGGAATGAAGGGTGAAGGAGATGAAGGCTTCCTCTCCTTCGTCTATCTCACTCCTTCTCCTCCGGGTGAAGGAATATAGGGTAGATAAGTAGTTTACATACTCAAATAAGCGTTGCAATATTAACATAGGACCGTCTCATATTACCCCATGCAATTTTCACCGTGCACAGTCCAATCTCACGTTGCCCCAACCCAGTCTCACATTGCCCCAGCGCAGTCTCATATTGCCCCAGCCCAGTCGCACATTGCCCCAGTCGAATCTCACATTGCCCCAGTCCAGTCTCACGTTACCCCACTAGATGGCGCTAAAATATTTTAATTATGATGATACGAGGGACTGAGTTGAGTGAAAGAGTGAGGGAAATTGATGAGTGAGGGGAATGAGTGATGTGAGAGGAATGAGGGAGTGAAGGGAATGAAGGAGTGAGAACTAGATTTATCAGTGAGTGAAGCCTCACTCAGCCTTCCTTCACGCGAGTGAGGGGAGTGAAGGGCAATTTGGCTCGAGGTGGAAATGAGTGAAGTTGAGTGAAGTGAGGTTCACTTGCACAGGTATGCCATCATGCAACTGATGCAACGATGGGTGTTCAAATTTTAACATTATGCAATCATAAGAAGAATTTGGTAGTGGTGCGTATTTTAATTTGAACCTATGGTGTGGATTTTGATGGACTATAATTTGTGCGAGTGAAAAGGGACACCCTGTACATAGAAATCCAGTATTAAGATAACATCAAGCGGTAGCCACTTTAATATATGATAAGAAGATAATGTTCTCATTCCACAAGATGAAGATCGCAGATGAAGACTAATCTGTTGAATACTAAACACAAATTTATATTTTCAAAATTATTTTTTAGATTTGTCTGCCGGAGTATAAAGCAGTACTTGTGCCGACGCTCATACGACTCGTATGATATGATTTCGTTAATAAAAACTATTAATCTAAGGATGACAGACGCCAAGACCAAATAAACAAAGCTGTCGTATTTCAGCAAAATAAGCCTTATTTATTTATACAAACGGATAAATACAAGTACGCGAACTTGGGTTATTTTCAATACACATAATAAATATGAGACAACCAATTAGGTAGTTCTTCAAAACTAGCAGCATCTCAGTGTTATATGTACATATTTATTACATTTGTCGAAACATTTTCTGTGATGCTATAAGGTACATTTAAAAGATAGTCGTGGAAAACTTGTTGCATTGGTCAGAAAAAATCTGAAATCTCGTAGATATATATTTCTGCATTATCTAAAATGCTCTTGTATTGACAAATGGCAAATTTGACAGAAATATCAGATTCAAAAGTTTTTAAGATGTTACACCTTTTCAGTTAAATAGATTTTACAATTGTCAAATAATAATTGGAATGAATTTAATTAATTGTTGATTACGTTATTAAATAAGTAGGTCTTTAATGAATTACGAAATAATTAGTGATATAATTTTGTAATCGAATAACATCACACTTTAGAATAATTGTTTAAAAAAACTGTTGCCGTGGAAGGCAAGCATTTCATACTATTTATAAGATCAAAATACTCGAATTGGATCAATTTATTGACCAAAATTTACCAGATTTTGATTCGTTTCTTTTTCGCATGTTTTCGAATTTGAAAAGTAATTCCGTTATAATAGTTTCACTTTAACAGCTTTGTTTAAATACCTATTTTACAGTTACATTACAATACAATATTACTAATTTTGACAATTACTTAATTACTTGACAATTTTATCAATTAGCAAATCACCTAGTCTTATACATAGTAGAAAAACGGAAAGATCATAATTCAATTAACCCTTTGAATCTATACAAATTAACCTTCAAGTTAGTTTTCTGGACATAATCTTGAATGGCTTCTGGGTGAATCTTAAAATCGCACAATTCAACACTTACAACTATCGGTGTGAATTTCTTTTTGCTATTTTCACCAGTTTCAATCAACGCGAGGAGTCTTTTCTTGTCCCGTTTTCGAATTTCATTTACTTTGCTGTCCTGGCGAATAAGTTTGACAGAGACGGGAATGCATTGGTCGAGTTTCTTCTGATTTTCCATGCTCAACCCTATAAGAAATATGTCACATTATTAACAGACGTCGGATATGAATGACCGATAAAACCTCAAAATATGAATGAAAAATGACCGTAAAAATCCCCAAAATATGACCATAAAAATGACTTCATTATTTAAACTTTGGGCTTAATTTTTTGATATCTTTTCTTGTAATGCTCAATTTTTATCAATTAAACAAGTTCTGGGGTGATTTAATTCATTCCGAAGGAATTAAATCACCTTAGGCGAAAGTCAACGTAAATTTTTGAAAGTTTCTCACAATAAATCATTGTGAGAAAATTGAATTTTTTGTCATTTCCTGTCGATTTGGTTGCCAAATCTTAGAATTTGGCCAAAAATGATAAAATGAACGAAAAAACCCCGAAATATGATCGGGAATGTGAATATGTCCCAAAACCCGAAAATATGACCAATATGAGAAAATATGCTTTGACCTAAGTGACCTACTAGTGACCATAAACATTCTCAGAAAGTTTGGCGACTGTAGGTCAATAAATGGAAAAAGTCATTTTTCATTCATATCCGACGTATGATTATTAACCATTTCAGCAATACATACATTTATTCTGAATATTTACATGTTTTACTTTCCCACAGACAACAAAGCTATTGGCGTTACAAGTAGGGTAATGGTGATAAATTTAAGGGGCTCATTTAAAGTTATGGCTGAGAAAAATAGAATTCGCATAGATTTTGAAACAATTTTTCGTCCAAGAAGTACACATGTTCATCTGTTTGTCTCATACTCACTATTGGTAAACTCATTCAATCGGCTTGAAATTTGGAACACAATGTGTTCATATAATATAATAGACATACAAATGTAAGTATGTACCTACATATATGCATAGTATGGGAAATGAGGAGTTAAGTCGAAGATAAGCAAGATAGGTCAAGTAGTTGTTGGGAGGGGTTGTAGGTCATGTGGATTTGTTGCAGAATATTCTCAATGGTCACACCAGATTGATATTCGGAGAATTTATCAAATTTGCATACAAATGGATTTGTACTAATCCGAAAATACCTCAACATGACTTTATTTTTTGAAGGTATCCAATAGTGTCGCCCACGCAGGAATAATGCTGAAATGTGACATATAGGGTCACAGGTACATATATCATATTTACGAATTTGAAGTAAATTTCAAGAATATTTTTGCCAATGGGACCCTACAGGACGTTATTAATGTGATTTGATGGGAAAAGCCTGAAATTTTGCATACTAACAACTAAACCTTCTTTCGAGCTGCACAGAGATTTCGTGAGTTTTACGCATTGCTAAAAATCACGCAAAAATTATTAATACAAAGATACTAATCATGCAGTACTAGTTTTTCTATTGAATGGCCACCTGCTTTGGGGGCAAAGTTCACGGTTCCGCCTTGCCTTCATCTCCAATGAATGAGTGGACTTTGGTTTTACTTTTGTGCGAATGTCGGCTGTTTCTGATTTGCTTACTTTAAAAAGTAGCGTGTTACCCCTGTTGGTCCACCCAGCAAAAATTTAAGTCTGACTTTATACTCCTTGGCCTGATTTGTGTTACCATCCACATGCCAAATTTCAAGCTTGTACAACAATTTATTAAATATGGGGCCATTTAATGTGATGATTTAAATGACCGCACTGGTCAACTACTGATACTCTTGGACCGATCATACTCATCTACGAACTAGTGTACGGCATTGGTATTTGATGAGATAAGCGTTTTAAAACAAAGTTGGCAAAAATCGGTCCAATACTTAGCCCGCTAACTTTCACAGACAGATGGACAGACGAACACTTCATACATAAGCTCTACCAATGATTTTCAATGACAACTAAAAATGCTGTGGAAATAAAAGTCGGATGTCGTTTCACAATAGATAATTTGAACCGTTCTAGAAATACTAGACTACCATATATGTATGGTAGTACTATCCTCGCACTCAGGCCTTGCACCTCATTTGCATATTTTAACGCATTCGCGATAGCCATAGAGTTTATTCAACATGGAAAGTTCTTATCGCCGAAAATGGGCTATTGAGATTTATGCAAATGAGGTGCAAAGCCTAAGTACGGGGATAGTATATCGTCTATCAGGAATTTAAAGAAATTCAAATGTAGTGACCCGAAAGAGGTCAAAGTGGCGTGGGCAAACAATGGTGTCCCACAATACACATTCTTCACACAAGTACATTTTGCACACCCAATCAATCTTCATCAAAGTTTAGTATCATCTATCATCTCAGAGGTTTCTACTATGCTTAGCCCTGGGAAATAATTTCCCAAGCTGGTAAACCAGTCATCATCAAGGGACCTCACCCTTGTACCATCTTCACCGTACTGAAGTCGAGGGTCCAGAAACACAGTCAGGATCTAACGTGGGATCTTTACGTCCTTTTTTGCCTATTGTGTGTATTTAGCCCTCATTTTGATAGATGCATGTATGACTTGCGTTGATCATTTTTATGTCGTTAACTATATTATTTTGATTGTACCTTCTGCTCCATCATGAACTTGCAGCAAATTATTACCCCAACTTCCAAACTTTCTAAGCTGCATGAAGTAGATAATCAAATTATTCTGATTTCACTTACTAGTGATTACACTCTTAGGAGGAGAGACCCTCTACATGTCCATCTCAGATCTTGATACCCTTTGCATATGTTAGAGTACCCTATGAGTCACTAAAACCCTGAAGTGGTTTGATTCCATGGCCTTGCGCCCGCCACACGAACGCATAGGCGCCAAAAACACGAAAAAACCCTGTCTTCATGTTTCAACCATAGGTCGCAATTAATTCGTCCTTGGTCCATGGCTCATCACAACATGGTCCATCGAGGACCAATTTTTTTGTGGTCCATGGTCCATTACGAGCAACGGTAACTAAAACGGACCCGCTCCAATTTTTACTAAATTATTCGCACTGTTGGTATCGAACAATTGGAGGAATTGATGCAAAACGTACTAATAGTGGAGAATATCCGGGAGAAATACATAATAATCATACAATTTTGACATAAAGTATTCAAAATTATGATGTATTTTATCCGCTAATTCTACAAAATTATTTGGGCCTTATCTCTTTACTTTTTGACGTTTTTACTGCACCTGCACCATCGGTGCATATTGTATAAAAGTTATATTTTGTCGGCTTATACCCCACCTCCGGTGCAAAGTTATATCCAAATCATCATTACAGGGTGAGCTTCGTTACTACGGTTTATTACATGAAATACGAATATCTAACTGGAAGGGGAAACAATCCTCATGCTTTTTAAGTTGCCGGTCACTAGATCCCACGAGAAACTTGCTTATGCAAGTAACCATCTCAGTCATCCATGAGTTTATTACCTATGACTAAGTAAGCATACCTAGTCGAAACCCCTGAGATGATAAAATTTAATGAATACTAGATTGGGTGTGCAGAATATGTAGGTGTTCAGTTGACGGTTTGCATTGTTGGACTGTGTGAAGATTGCCTGTCGAAATAGGTTTCAACTGTATTGTTTCTCAAATTTACCTGTTGTCAATTCTACATCGTGCGAAATCCGATCAGCTGCGCTGAACGAATAGTTGTGCATGTACGTACTGCCTTTGGTCTTCTTGATTTTCTTGTGTGCCACAATTTTCGGATTGCAATATGGTTCTTTTATCGTTTTAGAACTACAATAATTCTCGTGAGAGGAAGTTGATGAGGCCTTTGTTGCGTTTTCCATTTTCCAAAATTTCTTCAGAAATGCCTGCCCTCTGATTGACGTGGCTGGCAAGAAAGGATGGTCCTTCAAGAATTTTATCCTGCACAAGTCTTGCGATTGAGCAATTCGCTTGCTTCTTCGTCCTCGGCGACTCATGGGTAAGGCGGTCATTGTTTGTGAGTCAGGAAGAATAACAACAGGCTCAAGTTGAGTTTCTTCTTCGTTGTTGACTTCTTGTGCAGGAACGACTGGATCGAGACCAAGGAATGAAGCAAAATGTATCTGAAAGCAAACTTAGGTATTTAGTCAATGGATGTTATGAAGCGGGGCCATAGCTGAGTGGTTAGAGCATCCATCTCTTTCCGCAGAGGTCTCTGGTTCGAAATTGGGTGGTGGTTGGAGTTTTTGGTAACTCAACATCAGCGTACTGGGAAGCTTACTCCTATCTGGGCTAAAGACTCCGGTACGGTACATGCTGATGAGTGATACGTGTTTTCTTCAACCCAGTGATTTGCATTTACGCTACTAATATGATATTTTGTATTATGCAATTGTAGCTGTCCAAATGGAACCTATCCCAATTTACCTAGTTAAAATCTACCTGTCCTACCTATCCTGCCTGTATGCAAGAGCCATGAGCTAATACGCGTTCGTTAAACCCCACCTTTTAGTCAATGAATGTCAGGTGCATCCTTCCTTCAAGATATTTGAATTTGAATTGATTTATTAATCCTTCTGAAGCCTCTCTGGTTCATAAAGGAGCATATGTCCCACAGGCTCTCCAATGGAACATACCACAGGCAATCGAAACAACTGGCACACTCCACTCATAGGAATTGAATCATTCCTACATCAAATCAGGTAACTATGGGATAATACGACAGGCTTGGCACTTCCAAAGTACGCCTACCATACACGGGAAAACCTGTACCTATCCAATGAGAAAATATACGACGATGAGCAATACCACCACAGCGTATACGTACATAGCTGGTTACAACTCTCCACCCTACTTGCCATTATACTTATGATACTGGCTCGAATTTGATTCGGCCTCCTCTTGGCCCTATAGACACAATGCACCGCTCCCACCCCCAATGCCTGAACTCTTCGACCAAACAACCCTTCGAGTCAGCCCTCACGGACCTCTTTTGAATGACAGCCACATTCCCGTCCACTTGCACCGCCAATCCGTATCACCTCCTTTGCTCGACATTTGCTCGACTATGCAGTCCGTGGACCTTCTGTTCTGGACCCTTCGATGCAGTTCATGTCCCACCAACTACCCCCTCGCTCTCCGCAAAAACCCCCTGTCACTAACAGGTTAAAAAGTGGTTACCGCAGTGGGATGTATTTCATTTTCTGAAGATGAATGCATGGGTTCTGATGACATTTATTAAGTATTATATTGCTATTAATGTGAGCTGTGCTCATGGAATAAGATATACTATACTGCGCTGCGCTTATTTACCACTGCTACTTGGGGTAACACTCATGGGGTACTACAATAAAATGTGGACGAAGCCTAAGTGTTTACATATGCATACTCCTTAGCTAAACTCTCCTGCCGCCTCATTTAAGGTGTGCGGATGATGCCACCCCCTCAATCGCACCCCGTCTAACCCACCCTAGCATTGCCACTGTTTACTGAAGTTTATTCAAGTGTCGCAAATCATCAGAGTACACTGCGGATCCCACCCGAACAATCACACCCCTAAAAGTATCCCACCCCCGAGATTTTGACAAATTCTCAGGCACAAATAAATAAAAAAGTGTAAATATGCGATATGTTGCTGAATTTGTTGGGGTTCGAAAACAATGTATGTATGCACATATTATGTTTCTACCTTTCTTCGCTTTCGAGTGAGATTTTGACAAATGCTCAGTCACAAAAATAGTTGTTGGGTTTTTTTAACACAATGCTTGTAATTTATTCAAATATCGTAAATATCAAATATCGCGATTTAAATTCATATTTCGACAAAAAATCTATAAAAAAAATAAAATCTCCATAAAAATTGAAACATATGCATCTTTCGTCAAAAAGTAAAAACTCAGCACAAAAAATAGTAAGGTTGTTTATTGTTGGGTGTATGCGTGGTTAACCCACAAGTATTCATGAAACTAACCATTTATTTATTATTGAATATTGGACACCACGTGATAAGGTTTCAATATTAGACAGGGGTGCAGAGGTCAACGCCGCCGATCATACGCCGCCGCGCCGCCAGACGCCGAACCATTTTGACGCGCCGCCGCCGCCGCGAAAATCTGGTCGGCGCGCCGGCGGCAATATTCGGCCGCCGATTTAAATTTCAATCTGATGAATTTTTTAATTTAGTGTACTTTTTAATGTTTTTTTAACATTTTTAAAATTTTAATAGTTTTTTAAACATTATTTGTGTTTAATTTTGAAAATCGATATTTTAAAAATTTTCGTATTGAAATTTACCAGATCACATTTACGAGACCATCAAATTCAAGTTGACAACTTGACGTTCCAGGCAAGATATAGGGACAAAGACTTATTACCTAGTTTTAATACCCAAAATAGGGATGCATTATAAAATTATGTAAGAAATGTTACAACCAACTGCGTGAAATGAAAAAGCCGTGATCTTTGACAGTTTTAACGAGAACCTAAAATGGTAAAAATTTGACCGTCAAATATAACATGTTCAATTTTTCTCTAAGACTTGTCTAAAGTGCATGAAGAAACAGTTAATGAAAAGATACATTCTCCTAGAAATATTGCAAATTTTATATTACGAGCAATGCTATTTTAGCGTGTTTCAGATCCTTCCTATTTAGCGTATATACGTTTAATAATTTATGTAGGCGCCGCCGAAGATATTTGATCACCGCGCCGCGGTGCGCCGCCGCCGCCGACCAATGTACATTTTCACGCCGCCGCCACCTCGTAAACCGTCGGCGTTGACCTCTGCAGGGGTGCAATTGCTCGGGGGTGAGATCATCCTCGGGGCGGGTTAGATGGGGTGCCATTGATCGGGTGGCATCATCCGAAAATCCTCATTTAAACAAGTAATTTTTCAAAGTTACACCTTGCCATCAATGGGTGGTCTTATAACATGCGATAGACCCTAGGAATCTCTGGGAAAATATTTTAACGGTGGGTCAACTTCAGGTGTCAGTTTCTTTGGTATTAAAGTATGGACCATTTTTAATAAATAATATGTTTGGGATGCCGCACAATTCAGTCATTCAAATTAAAAACGTCGTTAATGGTCGAGATATGCATACATAATATATGCCTGGTATTTACTGTGCAAAATTGGACTATTTGGTAGAAACCTGACCAAATTACTGGCAGATTATCAATTCAGTGTGTATCGTAAGACCCAGTGTTACTATTTATTAATATGATCATATGAAAAATTACCAAATATCAATCATCCATAGTTATCCCGCAGGAAATAATTAACAAATCAGTGCGAGGATGGGGTGACTACGTGACTTCGATTTTTTATAGTGCATGTAAATATAAGCTATCTTGAAGGACCAAAATAATTACCTTGCGTTCGGGATGGTCACGTAGATCTGTGTTTGGTGGTGGGATTTTGAGGCAAATATCCTCATGCTCCTACGATGAAATAAATATTAGTCAATGGAATGCGAAGAGCAGATGGATAGATTATTGTTCAAATCATACCGTGCATACATAATCGGCAAAAAACCGTGTTTTACAGTATTTACAATGCCTGGGGATGTGAGGAGGTTCAAGCATCTTCACAGGGTCACCTGTGGGTCGCCTCTTTGTTACACGAGGTCTTGGTTCGACTGTTTCAGCGACTGTCGGATTTTTCACGACTGGTTTTCTTTGTCTAAGAACGAGAGGCATTTCCAAAATCCACTTTCAAAGGTCGATATGGGTTAACTGATTATAGCATTTGCTGCTATTTGTCATACATATGTTCTTTGATCTTCGATCTCTCGAAGCAAGTTTCAATCATCCAGTGCTGAATGAGAAATTTTTCTGGGAGGTAGTGAGATTGAAGTTGAAAAATGTGTTCTAACTTTTTCGCATAATCCACTCGTTGTAGTGCTAAAATTGAATTGAAATTGAATTTGATATAATTAGAAAATTACTACAAAGTACATCTTGACATGTGTTAAATTTTATCTGTACAACTGCGGTGCGTGTGCGGTCACTTCCACCGTGTTTTGGAACCTTGCAGTTTAGCTGCACTGCCTGAAAAATTTCGGCACATTTCTGTGTACAATATCATTCTTCCAGTGCAACCCTTTTATCTTTTTACTCCCATAAAAAAAATTTCAAACTTGTCGTAGAAAGCTGAAATTTGGTATAGAGCTTGCTAATGTAATGGCTTCTAGTGGAAGAATATGAATTCAAATTAGAAAAATTTTCTTCTGAGGGACCCGAGGGGGTGACCCTAGCGATTTTTAAAAATCGTCATATCGAGCTTAAATTTGACATTGAGGTTGCTAATGGCTTGTAATGGAAGAGGATACATTGGAATTAGTAAAACATTCATTTGCAAGGACCCTATCGGGTGACCCCTACTGATTTTCAGAAATTAACAAGGAAAGCTGAAATTTTGACCAGAGATCTTTACTGAAATCTCATCCAATAAAATGAAGTTAAATATGAACAAAAATTAACCAGAGGGGTACTAAGGAGTAGGGCGTCACATGTTGTCAGTCTCAGATTTTGATGTCCTTTGGATATGTTGTAGTACTATATGAGTGCAAAAAGTCCAGGAGGGTTAGACTCCATGAGCCCATTTACGCCCGCCACACCCACTCAAAGGCGCCAAAACTCCCAGAGTTGCCGCACTAAAATCATCCACAATAAAATATAGCTTGAAAAAGTAAAAATTTCTAAGGTGAGGAGGTGCACTTAAAAGTATTAAACAAGCTCCCCACACCTCCACCCAGATAATTTTACTTCGCCTGGGCTGTCTACTGGCAGTAGACTACTGCATGCAAAAAATCGACAATAATGCTTTGGCGTCATGTAAGCAAATAAGTATTAAAATTAATTTCTTGATCTAAAGGTAACTTTTGAATTGGTTAATTTCCAAATCAATAATGTACGTTCTGGATGCTAGGGTATTACCAATTATGTTCATTTGGTAGTAATTATTACATATTGCTCATCCGTCCCTAAATATTTATTAATTATTTGTGTAACTACTTCGTCATCGTTCTTGTTGAAGGAGGTTCCGAATGTATATATGAAGACCTGAGCAATAAAAGCCCCAAACTCAAAAGTCGATTTGTTGGCGTTAGTTACAATTTTTCTTTGAATATTAAAAACCCCAAACTCCAAAAATGAAAATATTGAAAGCCCCAAACTCAAAATTAAAATTTCCTGCTGTCGGCACTTGGTTGAATTTAAAAATTGGCTATTTCTTGAGCATTAATTTAATCATGTCTGAGCAATTTCGGATCACAGTTAATGAATTGTGTCACATTAACGACGGGAAGAAGCGAAAGATAAACTTCGACGACTGGCAAAATAAAAAAAATAAAATGAGCAAAGATCGAGGAGAGGAGTATGTTGGAGGACGTGGAATTGTCAAGCAAGCCAAGATTCCTCCTCCACAGGTAAAATCATTATTATTTGACTGCATAGCATTTTTTAGTAGTCTTTTTTTCTTCCAAAGGTCCAAGCCTGTCCACCACGATGCTCAAAGCCCGGGTGTAGGCTCCCTTTTCCACGACGCCAACAGATTTTCCAAGAATTCTGGGGGACAGGGAGTTACAACCGTCAGACGGACATCTTGGCAGGAATGATTGACGTGATCAATGTGAACCAACGAACCACCACTCATGCTCAAAGCAGGCGCCAGCACTCATACGCTTATTATTTAAGCAATGACCAAGGATTGAAGGTTCCAGTGTGTGTTTCGACCTTTTTATCGACCTTTGGAATAACCCCCGATCGACTCCGCACGGTAAAAGAAAAACTTGCTTCGGGAACTGTTGACTTGGCTGATAAACGTGGGACGAATACTTTACATGAGAGAGTGGATCCAACTCATACAGATCGGATCTTAGCGCACATCAATTCCTTCCCGAGGAAATTGTCCCATTACTCTCGAGAAGTAATTTAAATAGTACAATATTAATAATTTAGTAATTCTGGAACTAATTTTACTTACTATTAGGCCGGTAACCCGTTGCGAGAGTACCTGGACCCGACCTTGACCGTGTCAAAAATGTTCACGCTTTTCCGGATCCAAGAAGGAGAACATGTTAACCGCTTGGAGTGGCTGTACCGTCAAGTGTTTCGTGAGCAACCTCTCAAAATAGGAATTCCGAGGAGCGACACATGCGACTTATGCGACAAGCTGTTTATTCAACTCTCGGGGATTGATGTAAACGACCCAGCTCAAAACGCCAGACGTCGTGAAATTGAGATGAAAAGTCAAGCGCACCACTTACAAGCAGAAACCAGTTATGAAGAACTGCAATTAGATAATTCTTTGGCCAATGAAGATTATGTTGTGATAGCGGTCGACTTACAAGCTGTGAGTTAAAGTTTTAAAGTTAAAATACCACTAATAATTGTAGATTTACTAGTTTGTCCCTCCTTATAGGCCATTCACATACCTGAACTAACGCACGGACAGCATTATTACGGAAGTATGTGGTCTACAATCTTGGGATTTACAACGCAGGGACAAAGATGACAACAATGTGCCTATGGACAATGCAGGAAGGAAGTCGTGGTGCTTGTGAGATTGCAAATTGCATTAAGAAGTATTGCACAGAAAATTTTCCACCTTTGAACCAAGGTCAAGTACGGCACTTAATTGTGTTCTCGGACCGATGTGGTGGGCAAAATAACAACTTTGAGACCTTGTGCATGTATCGCTGGCTAATTAGTAAGCAGATTTTTTCTTCGGTGGGTATTATTACTATTAAACTTTAATTTCGAGCAATTAGCTAACTGTAATATTTTTGCCTAAACCCGCAGGTAAATCAAAAGTTTCTCGTTTCCGGGCACTCATTTCTACCGTGTGATCGTCAGTTTGCAATCCTAGAAAATGCTAGAAAGAAAACAACTCTCATTGAATTTTCGGATATCGAAAATATGATTCGAAATGCCTGCCATGTTCGTCCATTCCTAATTCAAAGAATGGAACTTAAGGATTTCCTCAACTTGCAACCTCTGGTCCAAGCTTGCCCATTGCCAAGAACGCTCAAGGTTTCGCAGGTCCTATCAATTCGAATGGTCAACCAAGCCCCAAATGTTATAGAAGTAAAATCCGACCACGATAGTGTCGCTTGGACTCAGCATCATTCTGTGCTGCATAACAATTTTGCCAACATTCATCTTCGCCCATTGAGACCACACAAAATACCCATTCCACCAGCCCTGCTTGCTGATTTGAAGAACACCTACGAATTCATTCCAATAGAATCACGAAACTTCTGGCGTTTCCTAGAATAATCTAAAGATGCTTTCCTATTTTGTTAAATTGAAGTGTCATTATTGCCGTTTCTGTAGTTCCAAATTATAATTACATTTAAATTGTTTTTTTGAGTTTGGGGCTTATTAAAAATAACAAAATTTCCAACGAAATTAATTTTGACTTTGAGTTTGGGGCTTTTATTGCTCAGGTCTTCATATGTACTATACAGTGGCAACCATTGTTTTTAGATTTTTTGGATAACTCTTTGTGCGTCTTAAGTACAACCGATTTTTTAATAACAGTGTAAAATTCTGGTTTAGCAGTTTGTGTTACAATTTAATAACGTAATAAAGTCCAACAAATTTGTTTTTTGTTGAATATTAGTAATGCACGATTTCACTTATTAATATTTACAGATATTTTTTGCATGCAGACAGCCCAGGCGAAGTAAAATTATCTGGGTGGAGGTGTGGGGAGCTTGTTTAATACTTTTAAGTGCACCTCCTCACCTTAGAAATTTTTACTTTTTCAAGCTATATTTTATTTAATTCTTTTTTAGGTCATATAGAATATAACCACTATAGTACGCTATAAAGCAACATTTACACCATTAGTCTAGCGGATATCAATTTAATTCGTTCAAATTTACAGCAAACGTTTTAAAAGTGTCAGTTGAAAGATATCAAGTTTTGATATTCCTAACCACTCTCAAATTTGTGCTTCGACTTATGTGTAAAGCTATACATAAGACCATTGGTAACAATTTCTAAAAAGGGTGTGGGTGTCTTCAAAGGGTCCCCACATACAAATTTTCCCAATTCCAGTTCATATTCTTCCATTAGGTGCGACTGGAAACCGCTGTACCAAATTACAACTCGACTTTATGATTTTGAGAAATCAGTATGGGTGACCCTATGCATAGGGTCCCTCCAGATGAAAATTTTTCCAATCTGATTTCATATTCTTCCATTAGGAGCCATTAAAAATCTGTATGCAAAATTTCAGCTTTCTAAGACAATTTTGAAACCTGGTGCATGTCACCCCACCCACTAGATGACCCTCCACGGGTCAACCATTTGACCGATTTCGTCCACCTTCGAACTCGTTTCCTAACTTTGTCCAATATGCATATGGTAAAATTGCAAGTCTATCGTGTTCACTGACGGGCATGACGGTCCCATAAGCCCGGGCACGGGATAAGACTATAAATTACTCCATAGCGAGGGTGTAACTATATAGTTACTATATAGCAACCACTCGGAAATTTTCGTTATAGGCCAAAGTCGCTGGTTTCTCAACCAATCGACCCAATTCTTGTTTCCGCTTATAGTAAAGTGGGGGCGATCTTTCATAAATTTAGATACCCAGCTATGTAGGTAGTCTCCTTCATACTTAAACTGCGAAACGCAACCATTCACCACCATCAAAACTTTTTTCTGGGAGGTCATATCGAAAAATCCCTAAAGATAGCACTAGATTAGGTCCGTAATTGATTTTTCGGTCTCTTTATTTTTTTCTCTAAAACGCACCCCCTAGTCTGTAGGGCGCGGTCAAGGTTGTCGAAGGGGGGGGGGGTGAATGCATACTAAGGTGTAACTGTAACTATAGTTTTTTTTACCTCACCTTAGAAAAATCGAGTTTTGCTCATATTTGGATGAAATTTACGTAATCCCAAATAGTTGCTCAGAGCAACTTGCTCTATCATATCCAATAACAAACTCAATTTTGTTGCAGTACTACAACACATCCAAAGGACATCAAAATCTGAGACTGACAACATGTGACACCCTATTCCTAAGGAGTGGCCCAAACCGATTTCTAAAAGTTGATATAATCAGCTGAAATTTAGAATGGAGTCGAAAAATAACTTATGATTAGCATATGGGAGGGTTGAGTTTCGAAATTTTTATGGGGGCGACCTCCACTGGTCATGGGAAGTAGTTAAGGGGAAGCGACAGTAAATATTTTTTGAATTTCGAACCAAGTATATAATGCTAGTTAATGCAAGAATTAGTGCAAAACAGTAACACGTAATTTTATAGAAAACTAGTGATAAATATGAGTTTACTAATCAATCATGCCTGGTTCGGGCTAAGCAAAGCTGTACTGATAGGTTTATACCCAAACAGTACAAGGGTATAACTCTGAGCAAAATTTTATTGAATCATTACTGACCGGAGTACATATACTTCATCGGCACGGTAATAACGGGAATGACCGTATAGTAATGTTGTGGCAATGAAAACTTATCACTCGAAAACAAACTATTACCAATCCGTGAGGAAGTTATTCTCAATTCAATACAACCACGAAGTGTACATATATGTGACTTCACCACATTTTAACAGGGTACAAGGTTTGGTAATGCCATGGGGTGGGCAAAATGCTTCTGATAAGCAAAAGATACAAGATAGTATATTTATCTTGTACATTCGTCACCTGATTGTAAAAGTACGTAAATTTTTTCTGTTATAGGCAAACGAATAGTATTTTGTGCATGTACCTTATTTGCATGATGCCTGATAGAAAAGTATCTTGCGATATTTTACACAATGTTTTTTTTCACAAATCCGATAATTGATTATCATCTTGTCGTACCCAGAGTTTGGTTTGGTTAGGAGGTATGTACATATATACATACATATATATATCGAAAAAATATAAATACATATATACGCACACACATAAGGGGGCATTCGTAAACTTCATAATGCAAATTTTCGATTTCTTGACACCCACCCCTTTTTAACATATTTCACATAGGCACGATATCATTAGGTCCTGACCACCCACCTACCCCTCTTTGCGTTACGAAGTTTACGAACGTTCCCTAAATACATTGATGCATGTGCAGTATTATTTTATAAATACTATGCATATTTTTTATTATATCATATAATTTATATGTCCTTATTTATTGCATAGCCTATTACACGATATGAATATAAATATGTACCCTTAATAGATATTTATTAAGTTTTGAGCAGCGAATGTAGTAAAAATATGAATTTCTTCAATCAACCCATTCAAAATATATGCATTCATCTATGATTTGTTGAGCCATTTCAAATGACTCATTTGAGATAAAATTTTAAAGGCGAGTCTGACTCGGGGTGTATTGACCCTGGTAAACTCTGTGCCTGGCGAAGACAGAGAGGAGTCCAATCACAAGAGGGTCTGTGATGTGAGGTAATGCATGTAAAAATAGGTAAAACCACATGGAAATTAGTTTAACCTCACATCCTTATCTCACATCACCCTTAACGTGAGGGTAACCACGCCCTACCCCAGCATAGTGCACCTGTACCCCAAGACCACCATAGTCAAGTTCGTTAGGGAAAGATGCATCCCAAATTTCAGAGTTATCAGGCATACAAATAAAGATGGTATGGTCATAAATAAGGCTCACAGAACACATTGGTCAGATATCGAAAAATTTTATTTTTTGAATTATGGCAACTTGCAATTTTTTGTAACTTGATGGTCCACAGACCCATTTTTTGCTTTGACCCCTCTCTGTTGTGAGGCACAAAGTTGCCCAGGGTCAGTACAAAGTTTGTGGTTGTCTAATGTACTACATACATACATACGCACTGCCTCAGTCAAAAACTTTAGACACACACAACTGCATAACATAATAGAGAGTTGGAGATTCCTTGTACTCTGACTGTAGACTGTACTGTGGACTCTAGATGATGACGTCATCAGCTTTTTGTACTAATTCTACAGTCTACAGTAGACAAATTGAAACACGGGCTCAATTTGTACTACTGTGGAAAAATCAAGGGTTGGCAACTAGGATATCTCTAGAACGCCTCAATGTAATCAGACGCCGTTTTCGCCATTTTGCTTCTAATTTTTGACCCTAGGTCGAGTTCGAAGATGGGCTCCCTGTGGTCAAGGTCAAGGTCACCCTGGCGTGAAGTAAACGCAAAATTGTACCTTAATTTTCATATGCGGTATCATTTTAAAGGAAATTTCACCAAGAATTTATAGTCGTCAATACTTTTGACCTACGACCAACCAATGACCGAAAGGACGAGGTCAAAGGTCGCAATTTAAGTGTCGACTGTTTTAGACGTGTATTAAGGCGAGAATTTAAGAAATCTGCATAGCTTTAACGTATGAAGACCCCGTGACCATGTTCACGAGGTCAAAGGTCAAAAATGTTAATATTTTATTTCAACCGTTGCAGACGTAGTTCACTTTGAAGCGAGGAGTTCAGAAATTACTATCATTTCGGCTTATATCAGCCTGGTGACCGTTTTAATCGAGGTCAAGGGTAAAAAATTTCGACTTTTTGGTTTGATCGTTTTAAACGCACATGTTGGAGGGATTCTCATTTTGTATATCATGAGTTGATTTGTCTCAATTTTTGACTCATCTATTTCGCGGAGTTTTACAATACAATTTTTTCAGAGTACAAAATAATGAAATTCTCCAGGTCTTTTGATTTTTGTATTAATTTTTGTATTGTACTGTAGTCACAGTACAGTACAAGTAAAAGTACAAAAAATCTCCAACTCTCTAATATGAATGGAATTTTCTCACCAGTGAATGATAATTTCTCGGCTTTCAATTAGTGCTTGCAAACATGAACATGCAATCTTACCTTAGCTTAGTACGTCTAATGGCACAAATGTGGTGTAGACAGGTGTAGAAGATTAATTAATCCCTCATCCTCAGTCAGTTAGAAATGAGATTAAGCGGATACGAACATGTACTGCACTTTGATCTTAGCCAAAAGGATGTTGATAAATAATGAAGAAAAAATGTAAAACTCAAAAGAAAGTTGAGGACGAGCGAGAGAACACATAGTAGACTGGCAACTGGCAAGTGAGTGCAGGCTGAACATAAAATGAGGAGGATGTGTATGTTGAATTTTTCACCAAGTCAAGACACGGTGTAACTTGTTCAAGACTTGTTCAAACACGACTCAACTGAAGAAGGCGAGGACGTCACATGTGTTACCATTTGAACTTGGCGCTTGATTACACAGGTGCTTCATATTGCCCCATATTTATTACAATTGCCTGTTAGTGCCACCTATTGGCACTTTCAGGTACTATATATTTTTCGCCGCAAGAGGGCGTTCATAGGAGAAAAATTTCATATGCTGATGAAGGCTACTACCCGTTTAGGTTCTTCCCACACCAAATAAACCCGAGTACCTTAAACGTGGCATCTATCAATTTCTCACACTAGCGAACTCCTTATCGTTCATCCAGAAAGTACTGAGCAAGGGAATTCTCGGGAGGCTAAATGGCGGACCTCTCCATAAGTAATAACATGTAGAGTTTCGAAATTAATTGCCCGGTCAGTTCTTGATGGATTTTCAAGATGGCGCGTTTTGGAAACCTTGGACCCTTGGGAAAAATATACATTTTCAGATTTTTCAAATTCGGCCCCACCCCCTCGAAATCCAGGTCACAAGGTCAAAAAACAAGTAGTATTTCTTTGGCGGATTTGAAAATTCTACGACTAGATTCTATGGACCTGGGGGTAAATTCTTAGCGGCAATAGTCAGGTGATCATATTTGGCAATCCCATGGCGACAGGGGGTGTGGTTATCGGCGCTTCTGCCAATACTTTACCAATGCACGTCATGTGACATATCATTTTTCTCAGGACGGTAAGGAGATTTCAGAGGCATATTGCAAATTTAAATGTCACACCCCCTGTGGGTGTGGTCGTCACTATCCATTGAATCTACTTAAAGCTACCCATGTGACATATCAATTTTCTCAGCTCGCCAAGCGGATTTCAGTGACGTAGTTAAAATTAAAAAAGCCACACCCCCTGTGGGTGTGGTTTCTAATATTCGGTGAATGTACGTAAACCTAGTGATGTAACATATCAATTTTCTCAGCTCACCAAGCGGATTTCAGTGATGTAGTTAAAATTAAAAAAGCCACACCCCCTGTGGGGGTGGTTTCTAATATTCGGTGAATGTACGTAAACCTAGTCATGTAACATATCAATTTTCTCATCTCACCAAGCGGATTTCAGTGATGTAGTTAAAATTAAAAAAGCCACACCCCCTGTGGGGGTGGTTTCTAGTATTCGGTGAATGTACGTATGGTGCATCTTAAAAGTATTGAGCATCGGCCAATATTAATAATACTAAAAGGCTAAAAGGCGGACCTCTCCATAAGTAATAACATGTAGAGTTTCGAAATTAATTGCCCGGTCAGTTCTTGACGGATTTTCAAGATGGCGCCCGTTTTGGAAACCTTGGACCCTTGGGAAAAATATACATTTTCACACAAGGTCAAAAAACAAGTAGTATTTCTTTGGCGGATTTGAAAATTCACTAGGTTTACGTACATTCACCGAATATTAGAAACCACACCCACAAGGGCTGTGGCTTTTTTAATTTTAACTACGTCACTGAAATCCGCTTGGCGAGCTGAGAAAATTGATATGTCACATGGGTAGCTTTAAGTAGATTCAATGGATAGTGACGACCACACCCACAGGGGGTGTGACATATTTAAATTTGCAATATGCCTCTGAAATCTCCTTACCGTCCTGAGAAAAATGATATGTCACATGACGTGCATTGGTAAAGTATTGGCAGAAGCGCCGATAACCACACCCCCTGTCGCTATGGGATTCACGACAATAGAATATCTTACACACAGAGGGCCTTTGTAAGACTACGTGTATTGGCGACATTGAATTTTGGAAACTACGGTGTGGGGGAATTTTTTTGCTACATTAAGTGTGCTGATTTGATATTTGACCACCCCCACAATGACACCAACGCAGGGGGTGCCGCCTACTACTCGCCAAATATGATCACCTGACTATTGCCGCTAAGAATTTACCCCCAGGTCCATCGAATCTAGTCGTAGAATTTTCAAATCCGCCAAAGAAATACTACTTGTTTTTTGACCTTGTGACTTGGATTTCGAGGGGGTGGGGCCGAATTTGAAAAATCTGAAAATGTATATTTTTCCCATGGGTCCAAGGTTTCCAAAACGGGCGCCATCTTGAAAATCCATCAAGAACTGACCGGGCAATTAATTTCGAAACTCTACATGTTATTACTTATGGAGAGGTCCGCCTTTTAGCCTTTTAGTATTATTAACATTGGCCGATGCTCAATACTTTTAAGATGCACCATAGTAGTACTTAGCATTTCTCTAAATCTATTGCTTCTATTTGAGCTTTCTCGGTGAGGCCATGCGAGGTATTCCGGGTCGAATGGTGACCTGGGCATCCTTCAGGTATAGGTTTTCCAGACTGACCACCATAGTCTGGTTTTCCCTCTATTCCCCTGATTACTATTACAATTATGTTAATATAAAAATTTGACTACAAGATTCTCTGTAACTAACTCATGATTGTGACTTGCAAGAGCTAATGGCTATTTATGCAATAAAGATACATGATGTTAATTGTTCTTCTAATTCTTGTAGGGAAAATTCTGCAAAAAATGGCGAAATTTGGTATCCCATCGGCGCCCCATCATTTTGTTTCGAGTAAAATAGTTGGAGGTGATTCTGATTAATTTCATAACTTCTTCCGAGGTCAATTTTGTAACCGCTTTCCTATCGCTGCATGAATCCAGTCGTTTCTTTCAGGGTTTGTTGTATTGGGACGCGTGTAAATAGTGAAGTGACATCAAATGAGACCAATTCGTGGTTGGGACAATAAAATTCTTGATCGTGTCTGCAAATTCGTAGAAGTTTTTTTAATGTAGTGGGCGCTGTGCGACGCATTTGAATTGAGGATGGATGGATTACTAACCAACAACAATGAACCAAATCGGAAAAGCAAATCTTGTACTTTTATGACTTCCGTGATTACTTGTCGACCGCTACTGGTACTGTTTGACCTTATCTACGTCGGAATGAGTACTCTCACTGCTGATACCCCAGTCCAGCGTACTTCAGCGCAGTACAGGTTCGCACATTGAATAAACCGTTGCAAACGAAATGTAGCAAAGGGGTGAAAACACACGGAATTGTCTTTGTGGCACGCCCACAACGTCTTTCAGCACTTTCCTGTCATTGTCTCACATTACCCCACGTCTCATTTTGCCCCGTTTTGACACCCCCACCCGCGTAGTTCAGACGTACATGACAATACCTTTCAATAGACACCCCACGACAAAAGTCATTTTTTCGACATTCGACACCTCCCACACGGTCATGGAGTCGTCGCACGTCGAAATGATGGCGATTTCTGAAATCCCCGCCAAAAAATACGTGTAAAACGGTGGCCACAAAAAATTCGACAATTTTTGGACTTTGGCGTTGTCTTCACGGTCATCGCACGTCGAAATAATGACGATTTCTGAAATCCCCGCCCACAAATACGTCTAATACGGTGGAAACAAAAAATTCGACACCTTTGACCGTTGGCGTCATCACCGTGGCGCCGTGAACTTATGACCTACAATGCCCATCTTCGAACTCATCCCGTCCCCAAAAATTAGAAATCCGTTGACGACAACCGGATGTCGAAATTCGAATCCGTTCTAAAGTTATCGTGGAAACGGACGGACAGACGGATAGACAGACAGCCAGACAAGACATTTCCATAAAGGGGTTTTCACCCCTTAATAACTAGTTGAGCTAGTCTGGCTGGCCCACTATTTAATTATACTAACAATGCGATGACGCCAGCGGTCTCGCTCCGATTTTGATGAAACACATGTTTCGGGATTTTTCATAATGCTCAGTTTAAACAAAGTTATGATGGTAAACGTGGCCGAAAATTTGTATTTTTCTCGCTCAAAATAAAAGAAAGAAAAATTACACTTGAAAAATGCAAATTTTCATTTTTCGAAAATTTGCATTTTTCAAGTGGAAAGATCCATTAATTATGTCACGCTGGATTACATGGGAGGGATAGGAAAAAATCCCTATCTTGCCAATACTAGCCAGCGTGACATAATTAATGGAACTTCCCCAGTGTAATTTTTCTTTCTATTATTTTGAGCAACAAAAATGCAGATATGTATATAAGCTCTTAGCAGACTTTCTCGTACTAATAACTGGACGTAAATACGTGTACAAGTTGGATTAAGATTAAATTGCAAGCCAATTGTCTAATTGCATCAGTCTTACACGATATAATTAGGTACTTCTCATAATTGATCTAAAGCAATTGTATGAACCAAATGTAAATATGTAATAGATTCCACATAGATTCAACATTCCTCAACCCCACCCATTCCTATGCACAAGTCGAACGAAATAAGAGATTTCCGTACTTCATATGAGGAGAATTGCTTCTAAACAATCGATGCAAATTTTCCAAATTTCATGTTATGTCAGCTTGTCAAAGTGTATCCTATCTCCTATTGCTAACGGTATCGGGGACCAGCTTCTCATGAACACCTTGATCAACTTGTTCTTCTGTTGTCTCCCCAACATTATTAATTCTATCGACTTCTCAAAAGGTGTCGCGATCGCTTTCAGGTGCATGTGAACAAAGCAGAACAGTTGCAACGCTAGCATTATTAGGACACAAATGGCTGAGAGTGGAAGGACTTCACATGATTCAAAGATTGTGTCGATTATGAAAGTTTCACCCAGAATGAGGCCACCGATGATGATTTGCAGTCCTTGCTTCTTGAAAATGTTGTTTTGCAGATTAGAGTAGATTTGGACATTTCTATATTTCATGGCAACTAAACCATGTCCTAAATGAATTTTTCTAAATGCATAAATAACGAAATATTAGTTACATGAGCGTTTAACTTATCCAAATGTGAAATGAAACCATACCGTTTTATCTCATCTGGATCATGTTTTGAACAATTTTTGCCCTGAAAGTCAGGAGATTAATGTATGTACATAAAATACACAGCTACGTAATGCTATGTAACTTCTTAGATGTCCAAACCGACGTTTGGAAACTAGATATTTCCGAGAAAATGTTACAGCAATAGTGTTCGTACTAAATCAAATTTTGCGGTCCCTACGCTGACAAAAATATGGTAGAGTCCTATAAAAACTCCGGCCTGATATTGGTACCATCGAAATCATAATTTAAGTATTTAATTTAAATTTAAATTCAAACTTAATTAAAAACCGTTTTAGGACAAAATAAATGTGCAATTGCATATAAAATCAGATTGTATTTAAGGAGGGATTTGATTAGTTTATTAATGTTTCAAATTTTTTTCGTGAGGCTAAATTAAACTAGAATCGATTGTTAATTGACCTAGTGACGTCTTCTGTAAATTACTAATATCAAGGTTTGTGATTTCTTTATGTAATCAGGTAATTTAGCACACTTTTAGGAAGTTCTAAGTTAATTTCTTAGGTCATGCGCACATAATTAGGGGATAAATAACTTGTCCGCAACATAACTATCCACTAAATAGTATGAATTTTATAATTATGCAATGCATACAAAATTTTAAAATTCTATTCCTGTATCCACAAATTTTTTAACCAGATTATTGCAACGCTAACAAAATTCTGAAGACGCCTCTTGAAATTCCCTGCATGAAGGAAAGAACTGTGTCATACGTCGCCGTCATGAAACCCGGACATTCAAATTTCAACGGTTTGCAACTCCTGCTAAACTTCGTCATGTACTTCCTCTCCACCTGTGTACTAATCAGGCCGGCTTCCACTTTCCAATCGGTCACACATTTTTTCGACAATTTATACGCTGCGCCAGCGCAACTCAGCATTGCAACCCAGATGCCCATGCAAAATGGAACTGTAACCAGAAACGCCAATTTCGTAAAGAGCTTCATCGTGTTGCCATTGAGGATGAGAATGTACGCCGTGGAAATCGCCAACTGGGTGAAAAGTGCTTGCACAATTGGCAAATAGTGCCCGAATTGGAGCGAGCTTCCAGTCATAATTAGCTGTAGGCATCGATATGTCAAGGCAACGTTTCTGGGGTCTTTTGAGAAGTTGGCGGCACACCGGAAGGGTCGCTTGATCCGGATGAATCTTGACGATAATCGAAGTTCCCGCTTGATTAGGGGGTAAGCAAAAATGGTGAAGGCCAAATAAACGTAGATTATCGTTTTCAAATAGACTGCCCAAAGGTAGATGGAGTAAATCATGGATGGCGCGTAGAATGAGTATATGATATAGTAGTAGAGAATATTGCTGGGGAATATGTTTGGAAAATGGATGGGATGACGGGGAGCGACGAACATGTGACCGTATAAAAAAGTGGGAATTATATTCAACATGAAGTTGACGTAGTACGCGATAGGGAGCCATGTTCGGTTGAAGTCAGATTCAGCCGTGGACGAAGGGTGTGACCAGTATCGTTCTGTGGAGATAAGGTAAAAATTATGTATGAAATGTAGCTCACCGTCCGGTAACTCTTTGGTATTATAGTGTTTAACTTTGCCGTGTGTAAGATAAATGCATGCTGCAAAATTTTAGCAATTCTAATGCCATACATAAATATATATATATTTAATATATACTATAATTATTGTTGCGGGTCACCTCATTTGCATTTTCACTATGCCCATTTTAGACGATATGGACTTTCCAGGTGGAATAAACCGTCGTAAACGTACATAAGGACACACTTAATTTTAAAATCTCATTTTGCCCAGACTACACCCCCTGGCTCCAAGGAGGGTGGTCCGAGTGACCCCACAAGTTAATAGGATGCCCCTTGGGGTAATATGTATAATGCCGCAAACCGATTTCGATTATCTCGACCCGTTGTCCCGTTATCCTAGCTAATGAGTCACAATATGCAAATGAGGTGAACCGTAACAATAATTATACAGTATTTGTATATATGTACATATGAATAAAATCAGGATAATTATAATATTTTTTTGTTACCTCCGAATCTTCGCCCAAATATGAAAAGCGCATTATACATTGTTCCAATTCCTCTAGGATCTCTTGCCACGTGTGTCACAGGAACCGAGATGGATGCAAATGCGTAGAATACGACGTATGCAAAGTTGAAGTGGGCATGGTCCTCATTGTAGTAAAATCTTATGGTTTGCGCCAGAACAAAAATGACAAATCCGATAATGAATAACTGCCCCATGAGGGCATTTGCATGATGCCTTTGTGAGTAACATAGCAGCTTTTTATTCGCGTCCCATGTAAATGGGAGACCGAACGTGTTACCAAATTTGATGGACTGTCCAAGTTTTCGGAAAAACGCTTCTGTGAACATGATTTTTAGTTTCTGCAGAAACGTAATATTTTTGGAAGGAAGTTATATAGGATTTAAGAAAGGAATGAAGGATATGTGTGTTAAGAAGTTAGAAGTAAATGTAATTTTGTAAAAATACTAAAAGGTCAAATTTTATTTAGAAAAATAATTAGTTTGAGGTCGGTAAGTAATACATAAATGGATAATTTGTTGTGCCAGTAAGTTTTAACCTAGTACATACATCTCAATTATCTAAGAAATACTTACCTCTTGCAAAGTTTACGTTGTACACGAATTTTAAGCAACGTTGTGCAAACAAAGAGTCCGTACATATTTTTAAATCTTCAGTCTACATATATTTGAAGGTTATACACTTTTTTCATCATAGTGGTACCGATAAGTAATACCGTGTAGTAATAGCTTGGTATTAAAGTTTCACTATATTGGTACCAAATTTTTACAGTCCAGTATAATTTTAATACCAAGCGGTAGCAACCTTAATACCATTTGGTACTATTTTAATACAGTCATCTAAGAATGCATACCTTCCGATTTAGTGACGATTTATTAAACAAGTTAATTGGGGTGTACTTAGGTAACATTTGATGTAATAAGTAAAATAGTACAAGTCACCTTGATAACTTAATATTAAAAGGTGAAATCAGGCTACTCGGTAAGTTTCTAACTCCATCATCACAATACAAATTTCGACCACTTGTAATGTCAATGCCATTGCAATTGAGAACCAGGCATCACTTACACTCAGGACATGAATCCACATTTAAAAATATACCCCTTACCCCACACCAAATAAAAGGTAGGGAACAACTTTGTTACTAACAATGCAATGGTGTGACGTGTAACTCCGATTCATTTCAAATTTTAAAATTATGTGGTCCAAGTCAATACAATCAACGTTTCTTGAGCCAGTTTGTGCGATGGTTGGAATTTGTCAAAATATTTGAGGTGAAAGTTGAAAAACGGGCGATTTTTACCAAGCGGAGGACGAAAACAAATGGGTGCATGTAAAATTGTAACGAGAAAACTATACGGATGATTCATACATATAATCAACGTCATTGAATTTGCATTACTATTTGGTAATAATCGTTGAGTCACGGGACAAAAATTTAGAAGCGGACTCTGACCCTGACTCGGGCTAATATGTAAGGCTGCACACTAGAAGTTTTTAACAATATAATTTCTAAAGAGCTGAAGAAGAATCAATAATTACTTAAAGAGCTTACAGATTACAAATACTCTTAAATTTCAAGTTTTAAACCATACACATAGTATGCCCTTGCCTAAATATACATACATGCATACACATAATGTACATACCTATGTACATATAGTAGATCCATATTCTAATTTGCTTGTGGTTTAATTTTATTTAAACCAATTTACATACTTATTAGTATGTAAATTATCTTTGGCATTGACGTTTTAAGTACTAAATATAGATAAACTTTTACATAAGTAAGTTAATAAATGAACATCTTCATTCCTGAATATTATGAACTTAAAAATTTAGTTGAGTAATGGAATATTTTTTTTTGATAACTAGAAAGTACGGGTCAGTTACACTTTTGGATTTCTCTGAATTAACTAATCCCTTAACAAAAGCAGGGTCTCCAGAAGTAAATATTTATGTAGTTCTATTCTGCACAAGGGTCGACTTGACAGACAGTGTGCCTTTTTTACTACAAGGCAGCAACCTTCACAAGAGTTGACACATTCTAAAAACGCGTCCAGTTGCTTGTTGCACTTTGTTCGTGCTACATATTTATTTAAAAAGTGACAAATATTTGTTAAATTTTAATTTTTATAGCATATTTGACCCGTGAAAAATGGTAAGTCAAGTTTATAAATTTCTAACATAACTATAAAGTACTCCGTGGATAGATAATTTATTACGTCTTTCTGGTAAACCATCACGCAAAAGTTCCTAAAATAAGACAAATGCGTAGCTCAATTTTTTCTAAGCAAGTTTATAGTAATTTAAATTATTATTCGTTTTTCTCCCTTTATAGAAGTCCGTCCCGTCCCTCATAATTGTGAAGCTTCGCGTCCACGCCAATCTCAACCGAGACAACGGAAAGATTTCCAGCCTGAACAATGCCTCCATAATTGTCGCCACGGATGACACGTGGAAGAACGTGATAAAAACACATTTTGCTGTGGACTTGGATCCCGAAATTTTCGCAATTAGAAGAACTGGTCCAGCCGGGAAAGCATATTGTGTAACGGCCAAGGTTCGTATATAAACTTGATAACACAATTTAAAAAAATTCAAACGGAAATTTATATATTCTTAATTAATTGGTATATTTACAGGTTGCATCCTTAGTGGCTGAGTACAAATATAATGTCAAACAATGCGTAGCTTATATAATCCAGAAGGAAAAGAAGCATAGCAAGATGACGAAATTTATCAAGTCTCATATTTCCCCAATTCTTTCGGTAAGACGCTAACACATTAAATTGATTAAAAGCTATAGTTTCGATTGTTTCGTCCTAAATACCCATACCCAATCTTAACTTATGACCTTCACACGTATGCAGATGAAGCGTGAAACCTTGAGGCGAGTACTGTTTCCGGGGGTGGAAAGTTTTGAATCTGGTGAGAGATTGTCGCCAATAAAGGAAGCATCGCCGGAATTTTCACAAGACGAAATGCTGACGGAGAAAATTTATCAGGTAATTTCTAACCATTAAAAATTTGAAGAAAAATCAAACTCAATATTATGAAAAATGTTTAAAAAGAATTACAAATTAGAAAATTGCATGAAGTAATTTGTGAACTACTTATCGATTATTTTTTGTACTAAACTTCCTGATATGAAATTATCTATGCAAAATGCACACTATGATAGTGTCACTATCTATTTATTGCTATACATAATAATTTGTACACATGTTCCAGGAGAATGACACTAATTTTGAGACGACGTCAAACAGCAGCCAACACCGAGAGCGAAATTTTAGGACCCAAAGTACGAACAATTGCGACCCTTATGGAGTCCTCGAAGTATTACAAGCTCAGGTGAGAATAGGCCACGTTTGGAAATTGAATAATTAGCTTTGAAGATTCTCCGATTAATATATCGTATTTTTTATAAATAATAATTTGCACAGAGAGAACGGAACAGATTACGACGGCGGAAGAGTTCTACGGACATGTTCTTGTTCATCTGGTTGACAGCGATTGTGTTGCTGACCTTGACCTTGCTCGACCCATGGAGTGGAATTTGCAAATATTTTGACCAATTCGACTTGCATTCTGGTCACTCCAATTTGACACAGACCAACCACGGTCGTTATACATAGCTTAGTTCATTTTTAGCAATGCGTAATTCAACTGTATAACTTGAAAATTGTCAAGAAATTTTTCGTGTTAGTTGGATGTTTGCCTGAAATTACATATTTTTATGCTTCGTTGTGTTATACAATTATATAGTTGTAATTTTTAATAGTATCCTGCAAAAGTGTGTTAATAAATTTTCTTATCGGTATATTTATGAATTATGTCCATCTTAGGATTAGCATATCTATAGTGGTATTCACAGTAACCGATTATAATCGTGAGGACGATTATAATCACAATCGATTATAATCATATACCATGAACGCACCAGATTATTGTTGTATTTTGATTATTTTGCCTAAGATATCCAGCAAGATTCATTAAATAGTATCATAGCAACGGCTACTTTTTCGGACGCTTTAAAAAAATTGCATTTGGATCAAGGATTATAATCCAAATAATCGTCCTTGGAGAGGATTATTTTTTTGACGATTATAATCGCATTGGTTTATTTTTCCTCATAGAGAATTTTTGGATGATTATAATCGATAATGATTATAATCGCAATAATCGGTTACTGTGAATACCACTTATGTATGCTACATGACAATTATCATCCCTTTCAATGTATTTCCATGACAGATACATATTGACATATGTAAATATGTACATGTGGTATGTATAAAGTATGGTCACAATGAAATTCAGCTTAAAGGGTTCTTCTTTTTTCTAGTTAATGAAATGTCTAGTCATGAAATGTCATATTCACTTACATATTTATGTGTTAGTATATTCATATCGTACATATGTTGGTGCTTTGTTTATATGCAGATAAGTGCAGGAATACATTTAGCGAGAATAACGAATTATACACGTTCAACGTTCATGGGCAAGTACGCATTATGCGAACAAACAGTTAACTATTTGCATGCAAAAATCTACATATGTACGTGGATAACTCTGATCGCAATAATAATATGAACATGATAAGAGTATTTGACGCTGATGATGAGTTAAAATATGACTGCGGTGACATAAAACGTATTTTGTAATTACATAAATATGTAGGTTAGTTAGTTTTAGCTTAATTGTACTAACACAAATGAGGAAAAATAGGAAGTAAATTATGGCTAGAATGACATTTTTGGACGTTATGCATCATTTTAAAGCAGAAAGTACCTGAATCGTTATGTTTTTTATGCGTATTAATACATTTTCAACCTTACATATTCATCCCTCATGAACCGAAAATTAGTTTGAATTATTGTTGATTGTTTTCCAATTAAATAGAGGAAGTCAACAATTAGCCATTGCTTATCCATAAACGAATTTAGTCTCATTTTACATACGTTCCAGTCGAGATCTGTAGCGTTTTGCAGACGCGACATTTTTTGCGGATTTTTTTACAATGGCAGAAAAATCAAATTTTAGCGAAACTGCGGAGGATAAATTGTTCATCGAGGAATGTCATAAATCCATTCGACGCGATTGGGCCAAGATAAAACTTGACCTGGTCAAACTTGAGACAGCTTTTGAGAAAGATTCCAACAGCAAGGTACACAAGGTGACTTTATAACTTTTATAAAATTTTGAAAGGGAAAAATTGCTGAAACTTGATAAATTTGCGTACAGATTACTTGCAAAATATGCTTCGCTCGCGATGTCCATTTCGTTTTTAGCTGCGGCCATTCATCCTGCCAAATCTGCATTGAGAAACTATCCCATTGTCACTTCTGCCGAGATGAGATTCAAGATCCGAGACGAATATATTGGAACTAATTTAGTTGCACTAGACTTTAATTATGTATGTGTTACTTAAATTGTATGTACCATTTCATAAATATTTCGAAGGAGTGAAAATTATAAATAATTTTAATGTAACAAAATCAAAGTAATTATGTAAATAAATTCTGAATTCCTACAAATTATATTTCGCAAATCCGGGAGATTTCGTTTGGAAATAAAAAATACTCCATCAATGATTGAAAGTGAAATTATAACTACAATTATAGTAGTTGAGTCATTGTTTAATCGAATTTTAATTCACAAGTATAAACATAAGTTACTGTTATTGGTAATCAAAAATTTGTAATTATGATTTTAGAGAGCAGCTAAAGTTTGGGGACTTTTTAATATTATAGGGTCGAGGGCTCTTTCATGTCAAACTGAGTAAGTTAAATTGAAAATATTAGTTCATATTTAACAAACTAAGGAACTCGTGGGTGTCATGTAACATTTAGTTTGTTACAATTAGTAGTATAAATTGACTATTTTTATAGCTTCGTCTAATCCTAAAAGTAAGAAGTTAAGGTAGTATATATACATACATACTAATCTGTATGTATATTAATCTCATGACAGATTAAATTTTCACATCGTAAGATTCTTAAATTCAGGAACCACATCATTTTCAACTTTAATATCCTGATCGACTTCCTGTTTGAGCTTCAATTCTGAATCTAATCCTGCTCCCGCAGCCATTTCAACATCTTCAAGAATCGGTTTAGCAGGCTTCGGAGTCTTCCCCTCTGGAGATGATTCCACTGATCCATGTTTGGTTTGCAGGTGGTCACAAAACTTATCCAGCACGTGGAACTTTTGCCCGCACAAGACGCATTTCCGGTCCCACGTGATGTGCACCGACTGAATATGCTGACTGAACGCACGGTAGGTCTCAAATCTCTCGTGACACGTTTTCACCGGGCATCTGGCCCTGTTGTCTCGAAAGATACGAGAAGACCTGGAAAAATAATTAATAAGTACAAATGCCCTACTATTCAACACATTCTAATTAATTCTGAACTATGTATTTATGAAAATGAAGCTTTGCACTATTGGCTGGCTTACTTATTCCTTGGTGTGCCTCCATTGCGACCAGTATTGTGCGGAACCAGACTCGGAAGGTTGTTAGTGTCAGATTTCGTTGAGCATCTAAATATGTAAATTATTTTACGAAATTACGCACCATGATTAACTAAAAACTAATTGCAGCGACTTAAAATGAATGTTAGCTGCATACCCGTTCTTGTTGTTGTTTCCTGGAGCAAATGTGACCCCATCCGTTGCCTTTGGGGGACTGCCTTGTAAATTTGCAGCATTTGTTGACCTTACAACTTCCAACACTTTCTTTTTCTTCACTTGCTGCAGTGCGTTGTTGACCTGCTTCATTTCCGGTAAAGTTAAAAGTTGTCCCATCTGTTTGAAGAATTTGACCTTTTCTTGGCTGTCAGTAGCTGCTGTTATCCAAGAAAGAATGACACTCTGAAACAATAACAAATCATTTGATTAAATATACATTTTGCAGAAATGTGTATTCAAAATTTGTATTACCTTGGCATCTTCAACTCCGATTGAGGTCATATTGTTCATTAATTTAGCAAATACTATACAAAGCAATAATTAACAATTAAGTCGAGTTTTGAAAGTGATTTCTCCCGACTTTTAAAGTTTTGTTGTGATTTATGATTCGCTCGTGTTACACGTTACACTGGAAATGTGGAAAATAGTAAACGTAAACAATATGTACTGTAATTTCGATTTTTTTACTCAACTTTTGAGCAAAAATCTTGAAAAATATAAAATTTCAATGTGATGTGAAAGTGGTGAGCGGAGCCGATCAAATTATGCCTCACGCGCTGGAAATGAATGAAACGTTTCCGGCGTCAGTGAGAATGGGTCGTGCAAATGGGACGTTGTTAATTTTAATTTTTAGGGTAAGAAGTTAATGGATATTTTCGTATCGTATCTATTAATTAATTTCTATTCTTACGTCGAATATTAGTAGATGGCTGGAGTCTAGGAAAGGGAAGCTGCGCTTCTTTAGTAGAAAATTTGAGAGGTGAGACGAAGGGGTTAAATTGAGGATGAGTCACATCCACTCTGCACTGTACAGCCAATATAAGCCCATTCAATCTCAAAAATTCCTGAACACATCGAACCACCGAGTAGCGACTACGCAGTAGAAATATGAATGAATTTGATATCTAATACTAAATAGTTCGCATTTTTTAGATAAAGGTTTTAATTTAAACGTCAGAAATTAAATTCCAGCCCCATACAGGACTCTGATTATTACAACAATTGTACTAATCGCTTTAAATGGTAAACGGTACTTCACAACCTTCTTTTTATCGCTCAAAAAATCTATAATCAAAAATGCGTCCAAAGCAAAAAAGACTTTACATATGTATGAAAAAGCGTTATAATCATTTCAAAATTAATATTAATATTACGTTAACATTATAACCAATTTTTGGAACGCCTTCCATTTAAAAATAAATTTTTTGACGCAATAAATTCCTGCAATATGGATGTCCATATTTTCTTACGCGGGAAGGAATATAACAAAACGCAAAAAGGATATAAATTATTGCTTTAAGCTCCCTTTCGATGACGTAGTTGTCTCAAAAAAATCTCACAGGAAAAATATGGCGCGAAATCTTTTCACCATGCTTTACTTTTCCCAAAACCCATATGTTTTTTGTTTACAAAAGAAAGTGGGGGGACACGCATTCACTATGTACTGTATTGCATTTCTTGTAAAACCATTTTTATTCAGGTTTTTACTCAATTCACCAAAATCCAATGCAATACACAGTTAGTGGACGGCCCTCGCACAACAAGTCTGGGTTACACCAGTTATTTCATTTTTTTCAATTTTTAAAACTATTTTCTGAGACTTTGAAATTGAATTTTGAAATTCTTTCTACCGCTATTCTAGATAATTAGCTGATTAATAAGATTCTTTTGAAATTTTTCCATTTCCATTGGCCAATTTTGCTGTGGTACAAATTTAATATAACAGGTGGTCTTATGCTTTTTACACATTTCTTGTACCTCAGCTTTTGAAAACCACCGAAATATTGAACCTCTTGTTCGACTACGACCACAATGGAATTATCTAAAATAGCGGTAGAAAGAATTTCAAAATTCCTTCTGGTAGCTGAGAAATAATTGAAAATGTAGGGTTATGACGTTGGTAGTGACGACACGAGTCTCACGTTAAGGCTTACCCTCAAGCTCGGAGGAGTGAGTTGGGTTTGGAGCAATATCCCAGTTTCAACCTTCTCTCTCGCTTTGCGTAATGCCTTGTAGTGCCTATCTCGAAACTTCGCATCGACCTTGTGGGGGGGAGGAGTCGACCTCAGGGTTCATAATAGTGGAATATGTTGCACTCGTCTTTCTGCGTCTGATGGTATTTTTTTCAAATTTTTTGGACTCGCGCGAAGGGCTGCAAATGGTTTACCATCAAGTAATGTAATCTTATGTAGACTGGTAAACCATTTGCAGCCCTTCGCGCGAGTCCAAAAAATTTGAAAAAATACCATCAGACGCAGAAAGACGAGTGCAACATATTCCACTATTATGAACCCTGAGGTCGACTCCTCCCCCCCACAGGGTCGATGCGAAGTTTCGAGATAGGCACTACAAGGCATTACGCAAAGCGAGAGAGAAGGTTGAAACTGGGATATTGCCCCAAACCCAACTCACTCCTCCGAGCTTGAGGGTAAGCCTTAAGAAACAATAAAGTAATCATCTATTTACAAGTATGCATAAATTAACCGAGTATTATAGTACACAATTAACAATGTAGTCATGGAATGAGTGAGATTCTTCACTGAAGATTCTTCAGAGAAGAATGTTTACTTAGATATCATCATCACAATTTCCGTACCTTATCATCGTCATTCAGATTTTCAGAATACGGTGGTTGCATATATGTATGCACTACATAACCAGATAAGGAACACAGAGGAATTAATTGACAAGGTTTGCAATGAGTGACGCATGCAAAGAAAACATTTTTTACTAAAGCACGTACACAAGTACACACATACAACGTATATACATACGGATGTAAATACGACCTGCATTACACTAGTTGATACTGAATATTATGTACGTACATATTGACTTAAGCGTAAGAAATCATGAGTAACTCTATGCAAATTATGGTAGAGCGATCCCTTTCTAAGTGAACTCTTAACGTGAACGTAATCAGAAATTCATGCGAAATCCTGGTCACCCGCTTGTCGTCCAACTTTCGAGATAGCATCGATTGCGAAAAGCTTCTACAAAAACAAGAAACAATTAATGCGTAATGTGTTTTCCTCCAATTTTTCCATTGCTGTACATACATTTCACTAATAGATACTTTTGGGGTCGTGGTCAGCAAACTGCTCATAATTAAATAGAGCCCCGCGTCTTTTTTCTCTATCGCTGTACATACACAAATTAATAAATGAATGAAAATAGAGTTGTTTGATCTAGAAATATGTTACATAATCGGATAAGATACTCGAGACGATGAGTATTCCCGATTTTCCATAATATTTGTTTAATAAATAATACTCCACAGTTTGAGGTCAATAATAATAGCAATTAATTATATATTTAGCATAGGTACATAAATACGTATAGCGGAAACCATGGTGGGCGAGGAAGACGGCCCACCACCATTTACTATTCATCGATGTCGGCTTATACATAGCTTATCAATTCCTACATCACAATCTGAGGAGTATGATGACATTAAGACCACGCCATTTCGTAATCCGCATATTTCATATGACTACCTTAAGAGAAAGACCAGATATACATACATATACATATGACTAACTACATATATAGACGTAATGGTAGGAAAGCTAATTAAGTATTTCAACCCATTTTCCATAAGGTGCACTTCCCTGCCTAATGACGGCCCAGTGCTTTCTCACTGTTCAATTAAACTACATAACTCCACACACAGTGCTCATTAGCACTCCAGCAATTAAAGACAGATTATTCCTAAAAACTGCGGTGGAGGAGAAAGAAATAAAAAATGAGGGAGAGTCATTAGCAAATTTTATGGTTGAATAAGAGCATAATTTGCGAAAAGGAAAATCGCCTACGCGACTCAAGAAATAAGCAGTCTTTGGCTGAAGTGAAAGTATTCATGGGGAAATTAAGAGTAGCAAAAATGGACACAGATTTTAGTCCTCGCAGTCCAAATAAGAAATCTGAGGAAATTTTGCTGTCAACGAAACATCCGCCAATGATGACTTCGTTGATACCCTTGATTAGAAAGCAGATTGATTTCTGCAATCTGTTGGCAATAATCCCGTTCGAGTGGGATGTCGCGAAGGGGAGGTTGCGCCTACTTGAGTCTCCGGTGAAACTGATGGCCTGTAAAATTCAGATTGGGATCCATGTGGCATATACGACGCTGATATTTGCGTACTTTCTCTCACCGCAGAATTTAAGTTCGATTCCAAATTCGACAAGGATGATGGGGTAGGTTATGCATATTTATATCTAGTTTAATATAGTAAGAATTAGTAAATTTTGCAATTTTTTACATCAATTCGACAGGTTAACGTTTCTCGTTTGCTTTGGAGCCACGATGCTGATGCGACTCACAATTTGGAATATGAAGACGGATGTTGTACACTTGTTTAATAATTATTTATTTTTTGAAGAGACTTATTTGCCTGGTAAGTAATTTTTAGAAGTTAAATAGCTGAATAGTCATTAAAAAATCGCATCCACTATTCATTTAGTCGAATTTTCGAAAAACGGGATCACACATTAAAATCCATTAAAATCCATTAATCATAAAAATCCCTACGTATCGGGGGACATTTTTCTTAGTGAGGCAAATACCTGACAACGAAAAAAATTTGCTAAGTATGCATTTACCCCACCCAAAAAAAGTGACATAAGTCGATTTCTCAGCCATTTCTCAACCGATTTTGATGAAATTTTGCACAGATCATTGTCAGGTAATTTAGAAAAGATGTGCTAGTCGACTTGGCGAATTTTTGATTTTTACCCAAGTTATGTGCCAAAATGTGCAAAAATTTTCCTCTGAAAACATATTTATTTTTATGACTCATAAGTGGTGTATCCCAGCATGCTCGCTTATTGAAAATATTTTAGTCAAAGTCATTCCGGACATTTTAAGCCCAAAATGACCTAAATCGGTTGAGAAATAACGGCGTTATTCAAGTTTGAAAATCAAAAATTTAATAAAAATATTCCAGGTGCCGATAATAACGGCGGTTGTGCAGTAAAAATAATGTCTTTGACAACCAAATTACAAGTTTTAAATAAACAAGGCCCCAAAAAATGGGAAATCTTAGTGAGTCAGCACAATCACAGTTAATAAATAAAATTAGATTGAATAACTTTTGCATCACCGCTCTCGGGATAATTTTTACTGGGTCCACTGTAAATTTAGTTTTGCATACGCATGAACTCTTGCATTCATTAAATTAATTGAGATTACAAGATGACGTTTTTACTATTGAACGAGAAGTTGAATAAATTAATCGATATGAAATATAATTGTGAACTGCGAATTTTAAATTTAGAAAGAGTTGAAAATCTACAATTTCGATATATAAATTTAGATATCCTATTAATTCCTATTCAGATGAAATCTCCAGACCCTTTGAGGGGGGGCAATTATTCTAAATGATTAATTAATGCTTCCAGGAAAAATTATACCGAGAGCGGTGATGAAAAAATTATTCAATCTAATTTTATTTATTAACTGTGATTGTGCTGACTCACTAAGATTTCCCATTTTTTGGGGCCTTGTTTATGTCAGATATCCAGCTAAGCTGCATATGCAACTTGTTTTTCCTTAATGTCACATATTTTCTTATAAATATTTAGCTTGTCCACGTGGCTACGAGGGGGATAAAGTATCTAAAATAATGATGACGCTGGGCTTTCTGACGAGCGTGGGACTGCCTGGATTTATTGCGGCGATGCTGCTGGTCAACCCCTGCCAGGCACCGCATATTGGATACATTCTCTTTCGAGAGGGTCCCAGCGGGTGTGCCGTTCCGGGATGGCCGGTCAGGTTGACCTTTCTTATCTTTGATACGTGGACCTGGTATGGGATCATCTTGATAAAATTTTAATATTTTAATCCGCTTTGTGACGAAGGTTTAATCAATTTAGGGTCAATTGTATCTCATCCGCCATATTTTCTGGATTCCAAGTTTTCTTCCCAGGAATGAAATGTCTGTGCTTCTATATTCATCTGATTCTTGAGTAAGCCATATTTTTTAAATGTATGTATTGGTTGAGAGAAAATATGCAGAATTATGGCAAAAGAAGGGGCACCTCAGAGGGGTGTTTGTAACGCAATGCACAATTAGCAAAGATAATTAAAATGGGTAAAAAATTTTCAAACTTTTGTAAACTTTTACAAATAGAGAAAACGTTCGATCTAGATAACTTGATACCCCCGGCTTTTCGTCCGTAACGTATGTGTATCTTAAATGTTCCGGATTTTGCATATCTTACGGGTGGCTGTATGAATTGCATGAAAGTACTTTAATTATGCAGTATCAGTCTTACGATTAGTGATGGTGTAATGTGGTGTGTAAAACTAACTAATGAGCCTGTATGCTTCTCACCTCTAATTAATTAGTCACTTTTAACTACCTAACTAGCTAGTCTTAGCTCAACAGAATTTATAAAAATGGATTGGATACGTGCAAACATGTCATGAATAATATTTTGTTTATCGACACGTGCCCTGACGTCAATCAGGTTCCCCTTGACCGCAATTTATTTATATTTCCAGAATTTATGCCGCCAATGGCGTCACCACTCCCGCCCAGGACGGATTCTGTTTCCGAGTCTACCAACACCTTCGCGTTCTTGGGAAATTATTCAACTTTTGTTTACAGTCTGTCTTTATCCCGACGCAGATCACGGCTGGGTGCATGGTGCTGATTATCGGGCTGTACACCTGTGTCAAGCTCCACGCCCAAATCGCCATGCCCGGCTTTGCGTTCTTCCCCCTGATTTCATGCGATGGTCTCGCCATCATTTTTATTACCCAGGTGGCCGCTGGGGTGTACACGTCGTCGTCAAAATTGGTGAAGAAGGCGCGACGATCGCGAAGGTATGGGAGGAATGCGTGGTTTAGGAAAATGGTGAGGGCGACACATTTTATCAAGATTCGGTTCGGATCGACCAACTTTATTGATCAGATGACGCCTTTGGTGTATCTCAATTTCTGTCTGACGCAGACGGTTTCGTTGGTTTTGTTATCGTAGTTTATGAAATAGGAAATGAGGAGGGGACAAGGTCTGGTTAGGTTAATATTCGATGTTTTTAACATGTGAAAGGGCTTGCCACCAAAATCAAACACATTGTAAACTTGCTGATGAGTTATTTATGTATGGATTTACGACGAAGATAATGCGAAGATAATTACATATGTAAGCTGTGCACCTTGTAAATAAGTACCTATATGAGAGTTTTAATTTCGGTTAATAAACTTGACAAAGTACGAATAAATACTTATGTAAACTTGTGAATAAGTTAGTAACGCTTCAAAGCTTACAGGTTATGGATGCGTTTTAATTTTGTAAAATAGTATACACAAATTTTATACAGATTTCAAAAATTGCATGCATGTTATTGTGTATCTGTATGTACATAAAAATGAAAATAATAAATTAAACGCAACTTAGATGCTTTAGAATTTTAAATATTTAATTATTTTTTTATAAAATATGTCCCAACTTTTTGTAAGTATTTTTCAACGTATTAAATATATTTTTTAGTTCACGTACTAAAATGTAAAATACAATGATTCTAAAATTTTAAGTGTCCACAAAATTGTTTGAAAGTTCGATTCCATTCCATGCAACTTGTAACGCATCTTCAATGCATTGGTCAAACTTTTTAAATTCTAGGCATGAATGTGTATTTATTTGCGTCTGGTAGAAGCATTTTATTAACTGGGGGATGTACAAATTGGTTTTGATTATTGTTCGTTTCTCGCGATCACATATATATTTTGGCAAGATTTATCATTTTTAGAGGGAATCGACTAACAAGGGACACTCACGACCTGTCGTTTGAGTCCAGGGTACCCACTATGTTTTTTAGAATCTACTAGGACCCCAGATGAAGGATTCATTCATATTTCCGTGTAAAACTCATATTTGGCGTCGTGCCGTGGCGCCAAATTCGCAAAATTTGAATGTTTTTATTTTTGAAACCGCCATAACTTTTGAAATCCTGGACGGATTTTCAAAATATTTGGCAAAAATCATGACAAGGAGTTCGACTTTCTTATTCCATGAAATTTTTTCCAAAATTATCGCTTTCAACTTTTCGCAAAATTTCGTAATTTTCTTAAAAATGGGGGTTCGTCGAAAAAATGTTAAAAAATTTCAAAAATTAGAAATTTTTTATTTTTATTTTTTTCTCAAAAATTTAGACCTCTGTGATCATTTTAAGCATAAAATTTTGAAAATCTGACATAAACTGCAAAAGTTATGGGGGTTTGAAATTGGTCGAAAATGCAAATTTTTAAGTTTGGCGCCACGCCATGGCGTCAAATATGAGTTTTACACGGAAATATGAATGAATCCTTCATCTGGGGTCTTAGTAGATTCTAAAAAACATAGTGGGTACCCTGGACTCAAACGACAGGTCGTGAGTGTCCCTTGTAAGATCTGTTTGGCTTTTTCATTGTTCTCACGACACAGTTTCTTGATCCACTTGGTATCAATTATCAATTAGTCCGATTACAATTACCCCATTGTTGTTGAAGGAGCATGTACGAGACAGCATGTATTTCTGCATGAAAATAACATAATACGTAACAACTTAAGTATGTATTTCATTCTGAATTATAAAGCAGTAAAACAATTAAGATTGGTAAATCCGATCTAAAGTCGAGGAGTTCGGTTTTCTATCCATCCTGTTATTTTTTCCTGGCCGCAATACCAGGTAAGAAAGTAATCAAAGATGCAATCAAATTTATATATGTAATCCTGGTTATTTTGTCAGTCGGAGAAACTTGCGTAATATGATATGTACCATCAATTAACCATTAACCGTAACCATCCATTCATGGAACCTCCATGAATGGATGGTTACGTATGTACGTATTTACTTATTACAGATGTGTATATTGCGTTGTGTTACGACCATATTCATACATTTTGTATATAGTGGGTCAATTATAGCAGATTATTTACAATAATAATATTACTGATACTTTGGACACCAATAAACAAGCTAAATTTGCACCAAATGCATTATTCTTTTTAGACATTATCAGCGAAGCCTTCAATCAAGATAAATCAGGATGCAGACATAATCCATTGAAAAACGTGAATATGCAAGTATCTAGATACGTATGTACGTATGTGCGACCAAAATTACCATCAAACTGGTGCTTATTTAACCACATAAATATATGATTTATAATTCTTTGCAATATTCGATTAATTCATTCATATGAAATTTATTTGTCAGTTATAAACACGTATAAAATATACATCGCCATATTTTTTCGTACTTCCACTAGATTAAAAATGAATACTTTCGTACTTCCACTAGAATATCGTGCCAAAATAGGTATATGGTCAAATTTACATACATAAATAAAATCTAATCTATTATTTTTGCCGTCTCATTTCTCCTCCTCGTCATCATTGTCATTTTTCACAGCGTTTTTTGCTTCAAAAACCCCCACCATGCAGTCCTTACTAGAATACATCTCCTGCGGCATTAATCTCACCAATTCATTATTGATCCGATCTTCTAAGGCACCCTTGTGCACGACGAGGGGCTTTCCGCTCGGACCAAGCTCACCGTCGAGAGCATGCTCCTCCTTCTTCGGAGACATGTTGCGTTTCGTGCAGATAAAATAACTAGAAAAAAATATTTAGAAAAAATTAGGCACTTTTGGTTGAGTTAGTGAGGTAGTACATATTTGTCGGGTAGCATAAATGTCGTTTACACATTTGTCGTTACATAAATGTCGGTTACATATTTGTCGTATTTACGATGTCGCATATCTTATTTACATAAATATGATCTCCGCCGGTATCGTGAGTGCGGCTGACAGCAAGAAGAATGCTCCTGCAAAGATGGTGACCGTGTTTTTGTACAGCATCGCATACGTGGGCACCATCCCGATTGGAATTAGACTTTCAAGCACGCCCAAAAGTGCGAACAGTTTCCCAATCTCGTCCGGAGCCACGGTTTTGGACAACATCGACCTCACGACGACACCAATCGTCCCGTTCATCAAGTCGGTGGCAGAAGCTGGGTAAAAAAACAAGGTTAAAAAAATGTTGATAGATATGTAGGATTAAGCTAATCAGGTATTAAATATCTGCCTCTGCTTATCTATCTCATACCCAAATACATGGCCAACGCCGTGGTTGCAAAAGCATACATCGTAGAACCACCAATTTGGCTAAAGCCTGCGACAAGTCCGACGATAGGGTCGGATATCTTCAACTTTCTACTGAGGATGAACATGGATAAGAATACACCTAGTGAGATGTCAAGTAATTAAGTATAAGAATAATCCGAACTGAGATAACCGTAAGATTAGATAAGGTCCTTATTGTATGCATATCTACCTGCCGCACTCATCAACCAATTGTACATTGAGAAGAACCCGTAATCACTCACGTTCCATTGCAACCTTTCTCTCACGAAGAGATAAAGCATCGAATACTCTCCTGCAAATTACTTACTGATTACATATGCTCAACTTTAAGAAACCGAAATTTATGTAAATGAAATTTAGCCCTATTTGCATACCCGATCCCGGCGCGGCATAACTCATGTGTGCCACAATCAACAACCAAAACCCGACGCGGTCCTTCCTCTTCTTCCACAAAATTGCGAACGCCTGCCACAACTTTGTCAACGGATTGTACCTAATCCACGCCGACCGTTTCTTCCTCTTCGTCACCTCGGAACCGTCGACGTCGTCGACTTCAGTATTTTTTGGCCTTACATTCTTCACCGTTAGCAATAGAATAACAAACCCAACTAATCCTAACCCCATCGCCAACATGAGACTGGTGGTTATCTTGACCCCAAATTTGTTGAGTCCACCCCCAATCGCATAGCCGATCGGCATCGCGGACCTCACCGACGCGCTGAGCACACCCGTTCTCAACGTCCTGCTCTTTTCACTCGTCGTGTCTGCAATGTAGCTGTACGCCGACATGCCGAACACGTGCCCACCCCCGGAAAGCGTGATGGGTCCCATGACCAATAATGTCAACGTCAACGCGTTGAGTTTGACCTTATCGAGGAGAAAATAGCAGAGGATCATCATCCCGGAGAAGGACAACATGCCCATGCAGGATATCAGGAGGGGAATTTTGCGCCCATTCGAGTCACTCCATGGTCCAATAAACAGCACGACGAGGACACTTATCGAGCCGAATAGGACGGACGTGATGGCCTGCAAGTCCGCGACGACTTTTTGGATTTCGCGTTCCTGAGTTTTGTATGAGGCATTGCTGTGAAAGAGAGGAGAAATTATTGATTGAAAAAAACTCGACCAACTTTTACTTACACTTTGGTAATGATTTCTTTGCAAGTGGCAGCCTCGTAGCCGAGGTCACCTCGACAGGCGGTTTCCATCAAGAGATTTTGAAACATTAGGTGGCTCATGATGATGGAACAGATAACGAGAAATCCGGCCGGTTCGACGGATAAGGTTTTAAAGACGGAGAGACAGCTTCCCTTTTTGGAGGAGGTGTCGCGTGAGGCGTCGTCCAGTCCCATCTTATCGAAGGTTGTGATATTTTTTGAGCAAATGGTTCTCCTAAAATTTTGAGGAGCATGTACGCGGCGTGGTCGTTGTTCGAAATTAATAAATTAAGTTGGTTCGTCCTGAACTACAAATGGGACGGAATGTGACTGATTGAGAATGATGTATCCAGTGTTTTATGGCTGATGGATTTACGGTTATCTCACTTATTACGGTTCAGAGAGTGAATTAAACAATGGCGTTAAGTCACTTTATCTGATAAGATGGATGAATCGATAGATAGATTTTTTTCAGCTTATTTCCATTATACAAACATACATACATAACCTCAAGGCAAAGCCATGTGATATTTAGGATAAGATTTGGTTGTAAATAATGCATTGTAAAAACATGGGATTTAAACAATGCTTCCTAACCGAGTTTAACGAAATGTTCAGTATATTATTTACACTCCATCCGTTAATCTGTTTAATTTCACTCATATTCAATGGGAAGGTTTAACCAATCTACTGAAGCTGTTTGCTTTAATCAATTTTTAGTAATAAATTATACAGGATCACGTTCGAAAGTACTTATCCTGAGCAGCGGCGTAGCCAAGGGGGGGGGCTAGGGGGGCTTGAGCCCCCCCAGAGGCCGAGGAAATAAAAATAAAAATTAAAAAATTGCAAAAAATTAAAAAAATTAATAAAAATAAAAAAGTAAGTTACGCATAAAGTTACTTATATGTTGCACATTATGGGAATTCGTTATTTCGTACCCTTTGTATTTTTTGTATCGAAAAATAAGTTGCGACAGCTAAGAGATTTTGTAAGCGTCGTTAAGCTGTACTAAAAATCACACTACTAACAATACGCATGGAAACCAGTTTGCTCTTAACTGATATCTGTTGACGTTAAAGGATGATTTTGATTTTTGATTTTTTTAAGCCCCAAATGGTTTTCTCCGACTTGAATCGGACGAATTTTAAATTATTGACGCAAAAAATGAAAATATCTGTAGCTTTGCATTTTCGTTGATGCACATATTTGTAGTCGAATTTTTAAGCAAAATCAGAATCATTCAAAATTCTATTACTATTTCAATTGTAAACTGATTTCAGAAATTAAAGACAATTAATAAGCAAAATTACATTTCAAAAACTTGTAAAGTTAAAAGTATGTTATGTTAAAAGTTTGATATTTTTTGCATTCTTCAAACATCCAAAGTAGCATACAAATTTCAAATTTTAAAAGTTTCTAGTAAAGTATTTTCTGTGTTTTTGATTAAATAATTCTGGCTGTTGATCGTAAAACGACTTGCCTGATCAGTATTTTTCGAAATTTTGACATAGAAACCATAGAAAATACTGATACGGCAAGTCGTTTTACGATAAACAGCCAGAATTGTAATTGGGTTAAAATTGGAAAAGTTACAGCGTGTTGAAAAATCCTGATTTTGGTTAAAAATTCGGGCAAACGGGAAACTACACGCATTCAAGAAAATGCAAAAAGATTATTTCTGAGCTCGAAATGTTTAAAATTTGTCCGGTCAAAATCGGAGAAAACCACTTCAAGTCTTCCATCATAAGCTCACGGTTTTTATGAAGCTTAATGTTTCGTTTTTGATTTGTATGCTATTTTACGATACTTATGATGCGAAGATAAATCTGGATACCGGGTTTGAATGTGAGGCGTGTGTATTTAATTCGTCGTTTAGTTTTTAATTTTTCATTCAAATGTCCCAGACTTTTTTAGTCAAAAAATATTGTAAACTTCGTCGCCAAGCTTCTTATTGGACATACGCAAAAGGTGTAAATTTAATCCAGTACCATTTTTCCCTGCAAACAAAATGTTTCTTATTCGAAACTGCAGATATTACAAAACTCATTTTTTTATTTAACTATACTATTATTTATTTTACTCGTTTTTTCAAAAAAGGTCACGGATGCGCACGCATGAAATTTTCACTTTTTATCTCCCTTCTTTGGGACTTTATCTGCGATTTATCTCCGTTTTTTAAGTTTAGGGACCTCTTTTGTGAGACTGCTGCGTAGTCGGATTTTTGCGATACTTTCTGTGATATTTTTTTCACACACATACTCTGCGAATTTTTTAGAAAAATTTTCCATGGAAACAATTTCCCAATAAAAAATCACCTTTTTCATAGCATTGACGTAAATGGAACGCGGATGTCAATATTTTGTGGGGGCACATGATTTTTTTCGATTAAGTTGTAAGTTGTGCGACTATACAATGCAGATTATTGGTTTTCACGACAATGGGCTACCTTGATATGATTTTCATTTAACCCAATTTAACCCATTCTACGTTGTTATACTCCCTTGCATAATTTGGACAAGAACTATAAGTTATCTCATGAAATTTGAGAAGAGTCAGTCTTTGTCTGGTATGTGAGACTGTGAGATTATTTTGGTTTAGAGGTGAGACAATGGCTCAGTTGAACCGAGCTGGCTCGTGCTCGGCTCGGTTCAACTGAGCTTGCCAAGATTTTTTTGAGTCGCGCTTTTTCGAGTTTTTCCTGAGTCGAGCTTTTTGCGAACCGTGATTGGGCGAGCCGGGCTTTTGAAAACCGCTGCTCAACTCATCTCTATTTTGAATTGTTCAGGTCATTTTACATCCTTGGAAAAATTGTTCTTCCCGCATTGCTACGAACTTTTTCCAGCGCATCCGAAATAAGCATTATAATAATTTTTAAGAATTTACTTAATTACTTAATTTACTTAATTAGAATTTACTGCTTCTATTTAAGACCTGCATCTCAAAGCTACAATGCTATTAATCAGCATTTATCTTCATTCCACCTATGGTAAAACTTCAACGAAAAACATGGACGGGATCAATAGTTATAGCTGATTTTTCCTCGAGGGAGGGCCAACAAATGAATGTTGCCGGAATAAATTTACAACTTTTATAGTGTTCCTTAATCTCTTGAGTCCAAAGTTTGGACCAATTATTCCGATCATGCGCTAAGCTCTTTGTTGATGATTTTTAGCAAATTTTTCTCAAGTTTGGTATTTTAGTTTGATATTTAAGTAATCCTTAAAATTTTATTATTAAGCCTTCCATGTTGCCCGTCTTTTGTCGTGCAATTTATCTTTGAATGGACAATAAGCTATCTAAGAAATACAAGGTTGATTTTTAAACTGGTCACTACCACTTGAGGTGTCACGCTTTGCGCTAAAGCCACTTGGTACCACCAAACTTTAACCAGAATTTACACACCCACGTTAATGTGTGATCTAATTTTTTGTCATCCAAAAAGCCACTGGGATCAATTAGGCACACACAGTTTACTAGAGATATAATAAATGTTTGAGGCGTTATTAGGTCAAGCATTGAATATGGCGTGCTATAGTTAATGGTTTTTGACGCTTAAAGTTAAGAAATTTGTAACAATGTATCTATACCCTGCGTTAAGACAGTGTGAATGAGTGAACGTAGAAATTTAAAGCCTAGAAAGGGTAATTTAACAAATTTTTGGCTGGGCCCCCCCAACACCCAGTCCTGGCTACGCCGCTGATCCTGAGCACGACCAGTCCTATCTTACATACGAGAAAACGCCTCATAAAGTTGCACTTTCAAAATATACTCCACGTTTCTCCTCTTCGGGCGCAAGTACCTCCACCAAACCTAAGCATTGGCAGATAGTGTCTTTTGAAAATTTGTGATCGATTGTCACACGTTTGGTCACAATTCGGAGAGCATACATACGCTGGGAAACCTCCATTATATATTGTCTAATTCGTCGTCGTTACCACAAATTCATCACTTTTCATACCTGCAAGGCTAATCTTATTCAGCATGCATATTCCCTTCATTTTAGTATTTGTGGGAACCCTGGAACAAGATTTTTCAGAGTATTTAAGTGTGGTTGGTAACTTTGCATTGTTGCGTTTACTTGTGTAGCAGTAGTCCCCTCGCAACAATAAATGCAATGCATGAGATGACTTACATATGTATGTATGCATGCATATACATATGTAAAAAAAAACTTGTTTTTAACTCGCTACAGCTGTGTACCATTGTTTAAAAGTAGCGTATTGAACGCTAGTTTACACAAATTCGTTAAATAAGTACTTTGTCTGTGGAATAATATTTTTTTACTGCGCTATTTATTTGGTAATTTATCTTTATATGTACTTATGTAGAAAACATGTGTATAGTTTGCATTTCAGTAATCATTTATTATACTAAATTATTTCTACTGAAAAATTAACAGATTTATCCATGAAAATGGACCCATCACCCGAGGGTTGCACAACTTCCACCCCCACCACGACGCAGTTGAATATAAGCGAAAGTCCGGAAGCGAGATGGAACACGCGTTTGCGAATATTCTCCATCATACTTTTTATCACGAATACAACGTTATTTTTTATTTACCTCTTTTTCGTAAAAAATGAGTCTATTTTGACTTCATTGGGGATCGCGCTGGGCGTCGCGCTAATTGGATTGATAATTGGAGGGCTTTTTTTGGGTTGTAGCTACATTTATAAGCAAAGAAACTAATATTTATGAAATTAATAATTCTACCAAACCAAGGAAACCATCTCATTGGCAGCTTGTATATTATTTTGTATGTTGATCTATAATAAGGAAATAAAGGTGTACAGTTTGCAATCCTGATAAACGGCTAATTTTACTGTTTTTCATACAATTTGATTTATTATCTCATTCAAAACTGGTTCAAATTCAAGTCAATCCAAACGTCCTAACTTTGTAAATTTGGATTGAAGAAAACCAAACAATTCTGAATTTCATGCAATATGTATCAACAAAGATGCAACAGATATCTGATTGATTCAAGTCAAGTTCCTTCAGGGCCTGGATGCGGAGGACTCTCTCTGTGGTTAGATTAGCATGTTAATACACATGATAAGTTTTATGCATTTTTTCTAGGCTGATGCAGAAATAAATTTTTTATTGGAATATTTCAATAAAAAAATTATATATAAATTACAAATTATACCAGTTCAATTTTTAAAAAAATATTCTAAAATGAGAGTCTATTTTATGGTGCAACTATACTTGTGATCATAATTTCCATCGACATCGCTTCTGTTCAATAGTAAACGCATATCTAATTATTATTTTTTCACCACTAATTGTATTGTCTGAGACTGTATGTAAGATTCTTATTTAACTTTGAGTAAAGTTTTGTCGCAAACGTTAGCAGGATTTATTTAAATATTCTGAAATTTCACAAATATACATGGAAATATCACATACATGTAAGTTCAATTTGAAAATTCTTGGCGACACAACTACATAATATTTTTCCATTTTTTAAAGAAATTTTCCATCAACATTAAAGTGATGTTGTGGGCACAAAGAATCTGCACTTCTCTTCTGGATTATATCGTGATCCTACCGGACAGTTAAACGCTTTTGCAAACTCGTCATTGTTGCTGAAAGTACCAAGGACTCGGATAGAGCTAGGACTGTGAGGGTCTTTTTCTACCTGTTCCTTCAAAAGGAGCACCTCCGTCTTGTCGTCTACGAAAGATCGGCATCTTTCCTGTATGGAAACAAAGATCGCAAATGTATATATTTACATCTGTAGATAATGAATTTGCACAATTTTTGCACAATGTGCAATTTTTTATAACTGACTACACTTTAAATATACCTGAGCACTTGCTATGAAGAATATTTGCTGCCAAGTAAATTTTTCCAGTCCGGGCGGTATTCGTGGTACGGACGACCCCATATTTTCTACGAACGAATCAAATGCAACCTGAACACCAATAATGTCCGCGACGTTCTCTTTCAAAGTGAGAGTCCCGTTGACGACGAGGGTGGTGTTCTCATACCCCGGAGGAAGGGGGACGTGAAATACATCATACTGCGCTTCAACGCATGCACATTTTTCTGCAAAGTTGTCTCTGGTACGGTCGTTTACAACAGATTTTCTAAGTTCAATAAATCCTCCTTCCCCAACTGCAAAATTGAATTAAGATTTCACAAATTGGCAAAAATTCCTGATGAATGATTCTAACTCAAAAAATAACCTTTCACTCTTATTCCGTTAATGTATGGATGTAAAGAATGTGCCAATTCGTGCCCATATGAACTCCCCAACTTTGAGAATTTCAACAAATCCGGAAACTCATGATCAAATATTGGCGTTCGGATGATCCCCGCAGGAATAAAGATGTCATTCAAAAGACTATTGTAAAATGCAGTAGCTTGGGACGTAGACTCGTCGAATTGTCGTTCTAGTTCCAATTCAATGTTAAACTTCCGCTCAGCTCTCATAAGCAGGAGCTGCTTCAAGTTGTTCAAAAACAGGAAAGGGTATTCAGAAATTGATACATTCTCATATCTGGCATCCATCGCAGTTTCGTTCATAATGTGACCAAGGAGTCCAACGATCGTACTCAAATTGCCGATACTTTCACTAATATTCAACTTGGAATTGACACCGTCAATCCAATCTGTCGAGTCAACCATCCTTGATTTAAAGGTCGTCAAAATTTTGCTCGTCAAATTTGTCACACTTACATCTTGATCTATATCGTAATGGTGTAGGGTAAAAAGCTTGGCCACAATTTCCGGGAAGAGTTCACGCGTAAGAGTGGTGCACACTTGGGGGTGGGATCGTTCTGGTCCAACCAAGAATGTAAGGTGTTTTTTGCCGTCATTATCAAGTGGGAATTGAGGTTCAAGTAAGTCTTTTAACATCCAAGCCCAGGTCTTGATATCTGCACTATTGGCAATTCTGTGTAATGATTCAGACCCTGGGCGAGTGGATGTACTAGAAGAATTACTCTTCACTGTGGACATCAATATGTCCATGATCAGCATGAGAAGTGGGTTGTTGTTGCACGAAGAGTAGAATCGTTTCGCTTTTCCTTCGGCACCATAACGGGTCCGGATGCCTTCTGTAAAAATATGACAATAATACATATGTAGATATGTATAACTTCATGTACTTGTTCATTTACTTTCTCGGAATATGTATGCAAAATGATTTCATGGAAAGAACAATAATAAAATAGAAATTATACTTCATTTACTATTTAATACTAATATTTTTATGTAACATGTTATTAAACTTGCAGTGAGCACTGCTCACTGAGCAGTGCTTCCACCGCTCGTGGGAGTGATTCTATAAGTATTTACCTAGATACATATGTATCCACTTACCAATCAATTTCGTAACCAATTTTGTATTTTCTTTGTCAATCTCGTTCAAAACGGTGGTTGAATTTTCTTTCCCCTTTTTCAATTTGGCAGGATGTTCTACGATCCACCCACGACAAGAATACTAGAATGAATATAATATGTCGCATGTACATAAGCAATCGGTTATATTTGTACATGGTTTTGAGCGATTTAAAAAAATTAAATCGCACCTGGTAAAAGTCATTGCATGGGTCGAATTTTTCATCCATGGAGGATTTCAACCATGCTACAGCTTTACAAGTAGAAGTTTGGCAAGAACTATGCTCGTCCTCCTTTTAACAAAGCTTATAAATTTGAGCGACCTTAACAATTTGCGATTTATGTACATATATGTGTATAAATATGTCGTTCTTCAGGGGCTTTGGAACGGCGGAGACACTATTCGTTTTTTTTGCAATGATGTATCTACATATTAGACATCCTAAGTATTAACATACATAAATATATTTTACTATGATTGTCTCCATCATTCCGCAGCCCATGTCGTCATTTGCCACGATTACCTTCGGGATTTCAGTTATCAAAGTACTTGGCGGCGGTCTGGTCGTTGTGGGATTCGTACCGCTGGTAGACGTCACAGGCTGTCTCGTCGTGCTGGTCGTATTAATTGTAAGTGTGGTCATAGTTATTTGCTCCGTTGTTGTGAGTGAAGAGTTTGAAGTGTAATTCAAAATCTGAAGCGTATGATTATCGATAGGAGTAGATGAAGACAAATTGGGTTGGGTCGTATTAGTTTCGTTTCCTCCCTTTAAAAGCAGTACTAAAAGCGTACCTAAAATTCCCACTCCCATGATGATATTTAAGGACTTAGTAGACTAGCTAAACCAATTTGAGATCCAGTAATATTAATCAATGTCAAAAAATGAACTGAGGGTAGGCACAGGCAATCATTACGATTTTGTAGTAAAGTGGATCTGATTCAGTCAAAGGAAGATTTTACTGGGTAATCTTGATGATTAGCTCGAATAAAAAAACGTTGTATGACAAATATTTCATTAAGTTCGGATACCTATGTGTTCTAACCAGAAATATATTATTAAATAGTCTTGTACATATGTATAGTTATGCATGTCATTGGCTTGCAGTAAAATCGTAGTTCTTCATATACATAATTTTTCACTTGAAAACATGTCAATTTTCAATGAATTTCGTGAATATTTTCATGAATATTTTGACTACGACGAATTTACTCATTGTGGTGGCCACTGGTAGCATCAGTGTATTTACATATGTATCTAATCATCGCCAGTTATATTTTGGCAGTGGTGCATATCATTGGTCATGGCATGGATGAAATGAATAAACTGATGAAATATAACATGTACAATTCTTTGATGAATTTATTTTTATGCAATTGAACTAGTGAGATGTGCGTGTCAATCTTGAAGATGCTGGATAAATACTGATGTGTTGACTTATTCCTAGCTTTTTCACTCCATGTATTCTATGTATTCTGAGAATCCTGAGGGTGAATTAATTATTAAGGGGTGAAAGCCCTTTATAAGATCGTTATGTCCGTCTGTCTGTCCGTCCGTCCGTCCGTCTGTCTGTCCGTAGCTCCGATAACTTTTGAACGAAAAGACATAGACACTTGAAATTTTGAACGTAAACTCCTAACGTCAATGGACAGGACGAGTTCGAAGATGGACACTGACATCGTCACCTGTGACGACGACGTCGTCACAGTGACGAAAAGTGACGAAAAAGTGTCACGTGTCAGTTTTGACATGTGACACATCATTTTTAACTATTTTTCAATGAGGAATTCGAAAATTCATGTCATTTTGCGGTTGGACGTCACCTGTGACGATGACGTCGTCACAGTGACGAAAAGTGACGAAAAAGTGTCACTTGTCAGTTTTGACATGTGACACATCATTTTTAACTATTTTTCAATGAGGAATTCGAAAATTCATGTCATTTTGTGTTTGGACGTCACCTGTGACGATGACATCGTCATAGTGACGAAAAGTGACGAAAAAGTGTCACTTGTCAGTTTTGACATGTGACACATCATTTTTAACTATTTTTCAATGAGGAATTCGAAAATTCATGTCATTTTGTGTTTGGACGTCACCTGTGACGATGACATCGTCACGGTGACGAAAAGTGACGAAAAAGTGTCACTTGTCAGTTTTGACATGTGACACGTCATTTTTAACTATTTTTCAATGTCAAATTCAATGGTGACCTCCATTTTGACCTCAGAGGTCATGTAAAGGTCATAGGACATATCTATTTCAATTTCAACTGAAATTTAACCCCGAATTCATTGGTGACCTCCATTTTGACCTCAGAGGTCATATAAAGGTCACATAAGGGTTATCAACTGTTAAATTTGGCACAAATAAGACACAAAAGTCGAAAACACGTCAGAAGTGTTAATCTCAAACAAATTTTCGAACAATTTGATATTCACATTGACGTATGACACTCCTTTCACCCCTTGGTTACATGCGTTGTAAAGGTTTATTTGAAATTGAACTAAAAATAGGCAAATTATTCTACATTTTCATTATAGAAAAACATTGGTTTAATTCGTCAAGCATTTAGTTAACGTATCTGTCTATTTACCAGTACATAAATATTTCATCAACTATTGTTTATTATTCATTAAGAGTATGAATTGTATCGCAGAGTATAGTACTTATTGTTACATCTTATATTTTTTTAAAAAAAGCTAAACGACCAGCGTCTTACAAAAACGTCCCTATCTGAAATTTAAAAAAACCTTAACCTACTCCGTCGTCTTATAGTAAAAATATCTCATCCAGCTCTCGTCCGGCTGGAAGAGATCCCAAAATTGCAGCAACATTTCCACGCTGCACTGCAATACTCATCCTCTGTAAAAGAAACGCTGTTGCCCTCTTCTCCTCTGTGACGATCGTGATCCTTGATCCGATTTCCTTAATAAGGGACAGACCCTCCTTGCCCCACACTCCAATCGTTTCAATGGCTACAGGTACAAAAAGGAATCTGTCCTGCAGAAATTCATATTTCTTATTTTTGGCGTCCTCCGCCTTCTCGGCTGCCGCACCAGGATGAATGCAGGTTTGAGGGAGGTAGGATGGTGCGAAGGTGTCCGAACATGTGAAATCCCATACCATGGGTCTCCCTCTCGCCCAAGGGATTAGTGTTAGGCCGTCAGGGCGCTTCCCGTCTTGTCGAGAGCAACCTGGTGGCTCTTTGATGGCTGGGGCTCCGGCAGATCGGAGCGCTCTCCAAATCACGTCATTGGCAGCGGTGTGTCGCGAATAACGACCTGCACTCCTCTTGCACTTTAAGCCATGATAGCCCTTTGATGTGACCTCCGCTCCACATGGACATTTGTGAGGATGGCAGACGTCACAACCAAGACGAAGGGCACAAGCGACACGGAAAGTCTCATTTGGGAGTAGCGTCCCAAGTTGTGGCGAAGGGATGGCATTTAGCCACGCCCCCACATGCGGTTGTCCAATAGCAAGGAGGCGGGCTTTATCCTCCGGTGTTGGTGCACCATTTTTGAGGTGATGGTTGGCGGCTTCCTGTTGAGGCTTCTCCCATGTGGCCTGAATGCCCCTGAGCGGGGGGAGTTCCGCCGGTCCCATGGGGTTCCACCTCTGTTCTCCTTCCTGCTGTGCGGTGTCGGTGCCATGTAGGTATGGCGGAAGTAGGCGCTCAACGAGGGGCAGGGCGCTGTAAGCGGACGCTAAGAAGCACGGAATCGCCACGTCTACAGCATGCCTGACCTCCAGGCCACCTTCACTGACCGGAAGGGAGGACTGAAGCCATGATTGCGGGGAAAGGGAACAGTTGAGAATCCCCTCCATCGACATCTTTAGTTTGGAGTCATAGAGGGCGAGGGCGTCAAATCTTCGCCAAGTGGGGGCACAGCGAAGAAAATATATCAAGCGGGGCGTCGATATGGAGGCCCGAAGCAGGAAAAAAGCAGAGTGGGAGGAGAGCTCGAGAAGTCGGGCCCCAAGTGTAGCTAATTGTTCGGTTTTCGCCCCCAATACAGCCTCGATCGACTCGTCGGTGAGAGGAGCACCCAGGAGTACGGCGGCTTCGGGGGCTGTATTCCCGGTGCTGCCCGACGAAAACGCTCCAAAATTTCAAGGCGGGAATGTTCGTCCGCCCCTAGCACGCCCACTTCACACTTGGCGGTGTTCAGGCGAAGACCAACTTCCTCCAGTACCAGTACATATGTATGTATGTACATAAATATGTACATACATATGTATGTATATATATATTTATACACCGTATAGTTCTATATGAACAGCCCTTATAAATACATATATATGTACATACATTCATGTACCAACATTTAAGTGTATGTACATAAGTGCATTGCCATTTCACTGACTGCTACAAACAAAATGAGAAAATTGTGGTAGAATTTATATGTATTTACATTCTTATAAGCATGCACGTATTTACTGATATTTATGTATTTTTGTATGATACAAATTGTATCGGTGTGTAATTGGATTCCTATATACCTATTCTTACAATGCAATTTCTTACAAGTACTATTTTTGAGCTAGCGTACTGGAAATTGTGGTATGTATGTGGAATTATTTTTAGCAAAACGAAAATATTTAGGATTATACTAAAATTGTACAGGATATGTACTGTGCGGGTGGAGCTTAGCTCGTGAAAACCCAGTATTGCGCCTCAGCTCTCTCCTGTTAAGTGAGGCGCAACACTGGGCTTTTCACGAGCTAAGCTCCACCCGCACAGTACATATCTTGTTCGATTTTAGTATAGTAGATTTTTTAACATGTGTATGAAGTGAGTGCTATGTACGAGTTAATGAAAGGATTAGAAAGCATCCTCTCAGACAAGTTTCCCAGAAATGACCAGGCTATTTCTGATGCGGTGGTTAAAAACACCTTAAAAACGAATTTCTATTTGTATTCCGGTGCTGCATTTACATAGGTAGTTTAGTTTTTCACTTCTCGTCTAGTTGTTTGGAAGGATAACATCAAAAAACTTTCTTAGGGTGCGTGCTTCACGATTTGCTTCTTACGTTAAGTTTTGATTTTGGACGTGTCAATATTTGGTGCCAGGTTCGATTTATCTACGATAAGCAGGTATTTATCTTTGAGTCCGAATTATTATTATTATTTTGATTCTAAAACTACCAATTTGAGTTATTGATTGAGGCATTAATTTGAAACTTAACTCTAAAAATGTTTAGGTTAACGGTGTCACGATTTAAATTGCAGACTGTCCATTTATGTACTCACGATAATATAGAATTGAAAGTCTTCCTTTTAAAGTATTTCAGATAATCCAGCAACGACATGACGCGCAAGGCATCTGGACGGGGTCATATGATAAATCAGCTTGAAAATCCATTGGTAATTTTAGTTCTACATATCGTATAATTTTGCATCACACTAGTAAATTATTGACTAATTTGTTCTATTTTTCTACCTCAGATTATTGAAAATATCACAAAATTCCTGCCAACCAGCGACCTCATCTCTTGCACCTTTGTAAACTCCACATGGGAAGAAGAATCTCGAAATCGTCTCCTATCCCGTCAACCAGTCCTCCTTACGCCCGATAACCTCGATAATTACATGACCACCATGTCTTCCCAATCATATTGTCACAAAAACGTGCAACTCTCCTTCGCAACCCCGAAAAAACAACAGCCTCCCAACTTATACGACGCCTTTGCTCTTTTAGCATCAAAATACTCCAAATCTATCACCACCCTTTGCGTCGACTGGCTCATCAACACCGATATTTCGGTTCATCACGAATTTTTTAAAATTTTGAAAACGTTCACCAATCTCAAGGCGTTACAGATTCGTCCCTACGTAATCTATTGGCAAGAGAATACGCACTTCTTCAACCCAAAATGGTTCGAAGAAGTTATTCCTCCGAGTTTTTACTTGCCCAAAGTGACCAATCTGTTAGTAAATGTAAATCCGAGTAAGACTGCGACGTACGGTTTGTTGGAGGTGGAACAACCTGCCGGGACCCTCCTGCCAACAATTATCGCTCGTTTCCCACGCTTAACCAGTCTCGGTTTCGAGAATCTCTGCGCGAACGAACCCGATACGGAGGAATGGTGCCAAATATTTCGAGCCACACCCCTCACAAGTTTGTCCATCCAGAACACTACGGCACACGTGTTTGCCAACTACGTAAATCTCGGAATGCCCCCAGCCTCTAGCGTTACCAGGCTTGAGCTCAACACCTGTTCTCGGTATGACGTGGTTGCAGAAATATTAACCAAATTGGCTCCCACTTTGACCTATCTGCACTTCTTTGGCGTCGGTACGTGTAAACCTGATCGAGTTCAAGAGATAAGCATGCCAGCCTTGCCAAAATTGAGGGTCTTGAAGGTAACAAGAGCCCCATATTCGCCAGGGTTTTTTGTCTTGCCAAAATGGAAGTATGAACTGGAGGTCAAGTTCAAATTTGGCGAGGTGGAGGGAGGGTTAGATTATAGGAAATATTTACCTTCTTTGGAGAAAATTGGTATTAAGAAAGCTGGGAGTAAGGGGGCCCAAAAAGGGAACGAGGTGGACAGTGATGGCGAATTTTTTGAAGTGTTGGCAAAGTTTTTGTACGTACATTTTTTGAGGGAGGATATTTCGCCGTGTCGAACTTTGCACCAACTTGACATCCCGTTTCCGCCGGGGTTGAAGTTCAGGGCGGTGAAAGTTCGACCGGGATGCCAGTGTCAAACTGAAGATTTTCCTTGTAGATGTTGGGAGTGGAGGAGCACGGAGGAATTTTATGGCCAGGTTAGGACCACTTTTCCTAATTTGGAGTATCAGATTTTAGATTCAACTTGGTGGGAGGAGAGGAAGAAGGAACTGGGAGTAATTGTGGGGGCTTTGAAAAACGTGGGGTATTTGGAGGATGATATTTATATGATGATGAGAAATGGGAAATTGGGGAGGGGATGAGAGAATTTGAGATTTTGGACGACGTATGATCAGTTTTCCTTTGTTGTATGTATGCCTTACCGACTTCACAATCTCATTTTTGTCTTTGTAGAATTTTGTCTAGATACTAATGTTTTCCTGTAACATAATTTGCTTCCGAATTATTTTTATCCAAGATGACCAATTTTTTTAAATGTGTGACAATTTGGCTAATTTTAAGTCTTGCTATGCTGGACATACACGCACGTACGTAAAAATGTGTTGCTATTTAAAATCCATGTATGTATTTAGATAAATATGTATTGTTATGTATGACAAATAAATTACTAGTTAAATTTTAGAAAATTGTGCATGGATGTCGATTATTTACATATATAAATACTTTATGAATTCAGTTGTTTTTCTAGTGTCGTTTGCAAAGGTTGACATGTTGCAATTTTTTGTTAGTTTGCATAAAAATAATTTATTATTGGAAATTAACTTATACAAATTTAAATTCAGCTGAATAATTTACTTTGTTGCCTAATGTTCAAGAAAAATATATGGACAGATTCAAATTTTATCGGATTCTCGTAATAGTTCATCTCGAACAGACTTTTCATTCTTCGTCCTCCTCCTGCTCATCGGCCAGAGCCATTTCTTCCGTAAATTGGGAAGACGCCCCGCTGGATCGGGCCTGTCGAAGTCCTCCCCCCGAAGGCTGTCCTCCCTCTGCAAAAATTACATAAATAAACATGATCGAAAATTTATGAAATATAAAATAGTAAACCAACCTATCCCCATGAAAGCGAAAACAACAAGGAACAGTATGGTGACGAAGAGAGTGAAAATTTTCATATTTTCTAGGTTACCCTGTAAATTCGGAGTTTAGTAATAAGTAAATTCAAATAAAATATATGCACGTTTTTAAAGAAAGAAATCAAACAATTTACTAGCTTACGAGTTTTTGACGTGATAAGATGTAGGTTTTGTAGATTGGAAGTATCGTATTCTGTGGCGTACAGTGGGTCAAATTTATTTGCAAACAATACAAAGTTTTAGAAACATGCAATTGTTCATTTCAACTTCCTGGCTCAATTGAGCGTAATCGAGTACGTTATTCAATTAGCCAATGCACATATACCTATGTCATGGTCTGCACTTGACAGCTACATGCATAAATATATATATTTATGCATGTAGCTGTCAATATATACATGTACATTTGCATACTACGTACATATAAATACGCAAATAAATACATGCATATACACGTGTCATAGGTTACAAAACGGATCAAATAAACATGCACGTATGTAACGTGATTTTACCATCGTTTCAAGTTAACGGACTAAAATTTTTGTCATATTAAAGAGAATTTTGATTTGACATTTTATCCTAAATACATAGTTCGCTCCAATCTACCGTTGACCACACATTACATACATATTTATGTGCATACATATGTACGTAAATATATACATATTCAGTTGTCAGTGATATCTAGAATTTGTAACAAACTACAAAATTTTGAATCGCTTGCACAACATTTTATGAAACTTTATAAAGTTTTTTAGACAAAGTTGGTATTGCATATGAAAGTTAAGGAAAGGAAGTTTATTAGTCCACAATGCACTATATACGTGTACAAGCATAACTTATTGCACAATGCTACATATTCAACTTAATTATACTCCCAGTGAAGATCAGATAAGCTACATGCATAATTATTTGTATCCTTGCGATTTGTTTTCGGAAGTTAACAATTTGCATGTTGGGAAGTTGGGGCAAATCGGCACGCAGGAAATAGTATGGTAGGGATACGAACGCGGAAATCAAATTTTGGCCGAGGTTGGATGCTGAGAACTATAGATACATACATATATGTAAGTCTCATAGATAATCCATTTTTCATAAACTTGTTCTAGCTGAATGCACAATTTAATTGTACATCAACACGGTTATTTACATATATAAAGCCACCATAACCCGATAATTGTGAGCGTTAAAAACATACGCAAACATATTGACTGAGAAATCTGCAAACTTTGTCCAGACACAATAATTTAGTTAAGTCATCATACCAAATTAAATTTTTGTCATTTTTTGTCCAGTAACGATAATAAAATGAGTTTAGAATTATACACGGGTTGTTTTCTGCAGTTAATCTTGGCCAAAAATATATGGTCACAATTACATTATCCAACTGATCCCAGTGACCCCTTTCCCACCAATGATGCGTGTCTGCATCATGTTATTCTTCCAGGAAAAACTCCGATTAATGAAAGTGCATCAAGGCTGATCTGGAACACGCCTAGAGTTTTCTTGGTGTCGACAAATGCTACAAATGAAGCCGAGAACTCGGTAGAATTAGGTCACGTGCGGCGCTCCAAGTGGAGTGGTGGAGCTTGTTTTCGAATTTTGGTTTTTGCTCGTGACAGAATTTCAGACATATTGGGTCATCCTGAGGTAGCAGTGTGGGCTAATTCTGAAAACGTGCTAGTGCTAATATTTGCATCGAGAAGTTGGAATTGGGAAGTGCTGGTGAGGAAGAAGGAATTTGGAGAGTTTGATAAGGTCCGGTTGATAAGGTTTCAACTAGTGTTCATTCTCCCCTTGAAAAATTCGAATACTTACAAGATTGGAATATTTTGCTATATGTGTCGACAAGAAAGATCGATCACGTGGTCCCTTCAGGGACACAGAGGGTTTAACGCGAAGACAAAATTTCATAGCTTGGAAGGATTTAAGAGAAAGCTATATTTGCAGTATGACCGCCAAAATTTGATTGAGGTAATTATTTGTTCGTAACGAATTTGTGTGGTCATAATTTTACACATAATTTGGACGAATAAACTGTTTTCAGTTTTGATCGTTTCTTGTAATGGTTTGTTAATCTAATTAATGCCTGGCTTTCCTTAGAGTCGCAACTGTGAGCTTGAGATGTACTTTGGTGCAAAGAAATCCTGCGACGATGTCACCGTCATCCTTCAAATTTTGAAAACACGGCTTAATCTGACGGTGGATATCGTAGACGATATCGACGACTTAGATGGACTACCTCCCTCTTGCAAGGGAGTTATTAATCCGGCCGGCCTACCAGCATCTGACAATGACATGGAATTGCTATCTTCGGGAGAATTTATGCAATTTTTTAAAGACCAAACTGTGGGAAAATTGTTTTATTGCACTGGATCAGAAATATTTGAGGTTGGTTCGATCGATATTTTCGTGCGTGTGGTCACTCCTGAGGTTTGGGCTGGTGTAGGACTCGTTACGGTAAGTACGGGGTAAATTTTAATCTTAAAACTTTTAAAATTCGAAATTTTGGTACAATAGTAAGTAAATAAATCTTAACGAATACGCAGATATGTTACGGTCTGTTGAGGAAGAATGTGTATCATGGGATACAAACCCTGACCTTTCTAATGGGTCAAGCAATCCGTATTCCTTCCTCACACCCAAACAAGAAACTATTAATCGGCCTACTCCTCCCCCTCGTGATTCTGTCCGCATGGTACGTCTCATATCTCACCATGGATGTCGTCGTGCCTCTGAAACCCAAAGTAGTCACTAGCAATCAGGAATTGTTAGAGCTCGGGTTTAGGTTCGTAATCCCGTCGACATCGGTCCTCCCCCTAATCAGACAGTTGGCGGGTAAAAGCCTCGACAAATTAGGGATACCTTGGAGTTTAACGTATTTTTTGGTTAGACCGGATATCACGAGAGCGGGAAAGGTGAGTACATACTGTGTATAAATAATATGATTGTTAGTAATATCTTTTGGAGCGGTAAGACAAGGTTTATATCATGGTCATTTTACCCTGAAAAAATTACGCGTTTTTCCCTGAAATTTCCGAACATGTAAAAATAAATTCTGGTGTTAGTGGCACAATTGACAATGGTGCATGAAATCATCCTGCCTAAGAGGACATTAAACGCGAAATTTTTTAGCCTGATGTTTTTTTTAATGTCTACATTTTCAGACGCGACTACCCGAATTTTTTCTCAAATTGGGCTCAGTGAATGGAATCTATCACACAACGGAGGATTTTGTCAGGATGATGCAACGCATGCAATTGTTGAACCCAAGGAGCAATCGGTATGGAAACGTGAGTTGCAGTGTGGTTCGACAAGATTGGGATAATGACCTGAAAGAGTTATGGTTCGTGGGGGGTCATCTGGCCGGGGGGTTTATGCAAATTTCTGTTTGGTTGAGGGAATCTGGGATGACTGCATTTTGGAGGATGAAAGACACTTTGAGCACGTTAAGCAACATGCAGATGTCGAGGTGATTTGGATGTTTAAGGTGTTTTGTTAATTAAAGTATAAATATTTCGAATGTATATGCTTCCAGATATTGCCAAATCGGGGATCAACAAATTTGTGGAAGTGACATGGCACAGAAGATTGGGCTTCGATCGTCGATTAGATTCATTTTTTGGGTCCTTTTAATCCTCGTTGTGGTCGCATTCTTTATTTTTGTATTTGAGCTGGTTAAAAAACGTATTAGTAAAATGGGTCGCTACTGTCGTTACAGTACACGAATATTATGTAGGACTTGCTATTGTTCTGTCAAGTGTTATTGCCCAGTAAAAATTTCTGTGGGACGGAGAAATAAACACTTTTGCCTCTTTTAACATGCTTTGACATATATTTTTATACAGTGCGGGAAATTTTCCGTCCCACAGAGATATTTAGTCTGCAATAGTTAAATAAGTACATATGTCCGATGTAAATGTTTATTATAGAATTTATCTTGTTTTGGTTTTCTATTCATATTTAAATAGATTAACAAATAAAGGTATGTTACCCAAAAAAAGGGGACATTTTAACCTTTGTGCGACATTTCTACCAATAATAAATTAGTTAAACCATTTCGACCCCATTATTTATACGCGTAAAAATAGATAAATAAATAACTCTTGGAGTCCTTAAGCCTATTTCCAGTCTGAAAAAAATGGAATTTATGTATGTAAAAGTATACACAAAGAGTATGCAGTAAATATTACATGCACCCCTAATATGTAAAAGTCTTCACTATAAAAAACTAAATATGCCCTTCTTGATTTTGAATCGATTTTTACCTGAAAAGGTGTTCAGTTAATTTGTAAACAAGCCTTTTCATGAGTCCCTTAACCACACTGCACATTCATAAAATACAGTAATACTTAAATGTAAAATATTTTTAGAAATATTTAGCACACTTGAAAATGACGAATCTAGTTTACTTTAAAAAAGTTGTATTCCATCTTTCAGCGTACACATCACACTCAGAACTTTGTACTAAACTTTTACATAGGAGAATTTAAAATATAATCATTTACAATCTTGACCTTACTAAAACAAAAAAAAATCAAAACCACAAAAATTGTCTTATCGCAAAAAGAGTTTTCAATTCCAATTTCGACATACATATTTATTCATAAAAGATGACCAAGAATACCACGACGTGGCGACCAAGGGTCGCAACCGCCGTAGTGATGACAGTTTTTATTCTTTTCTGGTACAAAATAGCGTCGTGGCTACCGCCTAAAAATTCTAACAGTGATTCGAAACACCTCAACGGTTCCTCGTCCAGCGTAATGATTTCAGTCCCGATTGAGACGGTCATGTCTGGAGAACCCGTCCAACTGGGGCAGGATGATTCTCGCGTTTCGAAATTCATCTGGGATCACGGATATCTCCAACCCGCTTCAAAATTAGGGTACAACTTGACCTCGGGAGATAAAGACCCTTCGATGGGGCAGGGGCAGATGATTCGGAAAATTTTCAAAAATATGGTGAGTCCGTTATTAACAAAATTTGCATAGCTGGGATAAATTCTTGTTAATTTATTTATGAATTATTTACATATCAAAAAATTAGAATACTCGACTATAAATTACATAAGCTTACATACATATACATATGTATTTCGTAAACTGTGTTTTGATTGATATCGTTTTACTTTGTAAAATCTGACAACGTTCACAAAGTTTATCAAGTTAATGCTTTTGTCAGATAGCAATATTTGCATAACTTCCTATTTTTTTAGACAGGTGGATTCTTCGTTGAGTGTGGAGGTTTAGATGGCGAGACGAGATCAAACACTTTATTTCTTGAGAAAGAGCTTGGATGGAAGGTTGGAAACATTTAATTTAAAATTTCTTTCTATAAAACAATAAGAATTTATTACGATAACGTTGTAAATATATGTTTGTTAACGTTCAGGGGCTGCTGGTCGAAGCTGATCCAAAAAACTATGCGTTGCTCATGCAGAAACAGAGAAAAGCTTGGGCATCAAACTCATGTTTAGCAACGAAGCCGTATCCTCACAAGGTATGCGTGGGGACAGGTTGGGATTTTAGATTTTTTTTTAATTTGAAATTATTTTCTAGGTCGTTTTTCAACAAGATTTCAATACTGGCCGAATTAAGGACGACTCTTCCAAATTGGTTCCAAAGCGGAAAAAGAAAATGGAGGAAACTTTGGTGCAATGTTTCCCAATCTACTCGCTCCTTTCTGCCCTCTCAGTGACCACCGTTGATTACTTTAGTTTGGACGTGGAAGGTGCCGAAATGGAGGTGCTGGCAACTATCCCGTTCGATAAAGTATTTATTAAGGTATATTTACATATTTTTAGTAAATTTGAATCCATATAAAACACGAGTTGCCCTGCCCGTAAATCCGGTTGAAAACTAAAGATGTCTGATAGAAATGTGATTTAAGGAGAAATCAAATGAGTCTGCATAAATAAATATTGAGACTTCATAATTCATGGAGTCTCAATTTTCCCATCCAACTGGTTTTCGATCGCACTACTACTTACATGCAAATATTACCAAAAGTACTACCCATTTGTCTTAGTCTCAATTTTACCCTACCTCTGATAGTACGTATGACGTATGTATTTATTAACGTGTTAACTTTTATCATGTTGCTAAATATCTGAATACTTCTGGGAGCTCTCCACATTTTCTAAACGATGACAAGCTTTTCTATGCATATTTAGCTCTCTTGTTAACTAATTTTATTTTTCTAGACTTTGTCCGTTGAATTTAATCACGTAGGGGTGGGGAAAGATGCCCTCAGAAAGGTGATGGAAGACAAGGGATATGTCATCGTGGGTCAAGTCAAACATAGTCGGAATTGGGCCAACGATTTTATATTTGTGCACAACAGCCTTCATCAACTCATCGCAGCAGCGGCTGAAGAAGAACAATAGTACTTTTATTGTGTAGATAGATTAGTGATGGTAATAAAAAATTGTACTGAATTAAATAATTCATGCGGATGAGGTGTGGTCAAATTTTATACAGACTTTCAGGGTTAAAGATGCATGAATCGCCGAATGTGGCTAACCAAATTATCAAGTGTGTATGCTATGCGTGCATCAAATTTATTTATACCCAAAACATTATTGCAATAACAGGTCAGGTATAGTACGCTGTACTTCAAACTGATTTTTGTACAATTCATACGCCATGACATTTTTCTACATCAATAATCCCCGTAGACAATATTTTTCCCTGCATATTTTAAATTTTCTTATAAATCGAGCTGCAATATATAGTTTCATTCACAAACGCTTCAATCTCCAGAAAATTAAAATTAGACTTATCATACTTATAAGCTGCACGGTGTGGCCATAATAATAATCATTAAAATTGAAAAATAAAACCTTCTTACGCATAAAAGCGTAGTAACGACATTGAATGTTTACAATTCATAATAAAATATAAAAATTTGTGTATAAAAACTCTTGGGATTTGTAATCTGTAATCAAATACATGTTAACATAATTATTAACATAACATAGTTCAAGTTCACAGTATTATTAGCGAACTCACCTTACTGAATACAAAATTTTTACAAACTTTAAACATTTGAGCATAGTTCACTAATAATTATGTGATAGTGATGAGGCACACTAATATTTTCTACAAACGCCAATATCGAATTTCACCTTAATATTGTATAGCACCAAGTTTTCCTCTGAACGATTGCATAATACATGCTTAAATATAAATTACTAAAATAACCACAAATTAATCAACTATTAATCTAGAGTTATAAGCTCGTCAGGATCAAAATTGAGTGGTTTTGGAGCTCTGACCAGGTTATTGGGGTCTCGAGGGAGAATTGGGAATTCGGGAAGACGGGTTTGCTGGAATCCAGGAGATGATGACGTATCGTTCAACAGTCGCTGTAGAGCTGATGATAATGGAACCCTGGTAAAATTTAAGGGAGGGCTGCGTGGGGGAGGGGGGACAAAATTGACCACCTTCATTTCTATATCGTCGTCGATATCGATCCACTGTTGAGAAGTCGGTGTCACCTTTGTAGAAGGATCATCATTAGAGGTCGCTTTGTTATCGGGCTGCTCTTGTTGGGACGATGTTGTTGCCGAGCAAATCCAGTCCGGATCATCATCATTACAGTCCCTATTTCTACCCTCGTTTTGTTCTTGGACTGACCTGGCGTCGACATTGAGGTCACTAGTAGTATAATCATCATCATTCTCTAATATCATGGAATCCAGGTCTAGGTCATAAATAAGGTTGGTAGAGTCATGGTGAGCTACGATCGAATACGAATTATCCCCAATGTCATCGTCAGTCATTTCATGGTGAGGATCGATAACTTCGGTGTCGTCGTCGTCATTTCCAATGATTTCCGTTTCTAAAATTAAATAAACAATATGATTATCTTTGTAACAATTATTAGTGTAACATTAATTAATTCGCACCGTCGCCAGAGTCAGTATTGTCTTGACGATCTCCATTCGCCAGTGATTGTCATGAATTAGTAGATATAGAAAATTTGCATATTGAACACTTAAATCTTCTCAATATATGATATTGACCATTTACCATTAAGCACCTTTACACAGGTCTCGCATCGAAATGTAAACTTGGTCAAATTTCCACATCCCACATGTACCGCGGCCGCGGCGCAGGCGCCACATCGAAGCAATGCCCAGTCACCTCTCTTCTCCACAAACTTTCTTCCCGATGGGCACAAACAGGGCGTTGCGTCGCAGACACTGTAACTCAGCTTGAGCTCGGAATATGCGTCGGGTTCCAATTCCCAGGCTGCGTCTCTATGCGTGTAAATAACATTTAAATTTATGCATGTAATCAGCAACTCATTTGTACATAATTAATAGATTAAACTAACTTAATTGGTACATAAATTCCATTTAACATTAGCGAGTTTATGTACTCTTTGTTATCTCTACAATTCGGACACTTTAAATGGTAAAAGCCAGAGTGAAGGGCTGCTTCCTGAAACAAATCATTAATCATTACTTTTAGACAATATAATTAGGCCTTAATTAGTTAATCGTAAACAAACACCATAATGCACTTCCTGTGGCCGATCGCTTCATAACTTTTGCAACAATCTGGCAAAAAGAGAAAGTTCTCTTCCACAGGTTCGAAACATATTGGGCACGAGAGCCGTCTCCTCGTGCCAGAAAAACTGGGGGGACGATGGAAGACACAAAACGACTGGAATTGGTAAGCGAAATGGTAAAGTACGCCTTGGTCGAGGGAGCAAGTGTAGTGATAAGCGGCCGAGCAGGAAGGCTCGCAACACTTTACCGTCGCACCAGTACGGTCACAAAAGTAACATTTCTGTCAAAAAAAGGAGTAATTAAATTTGAGAAAATTGTCAATTTATGGTTTAATTATTATAACACACGTATTTACCAGTTCGTCGCCACGTTTCATCTCATTTTTAATGTCGGGGATTAGAAAGCCTAAAATTCCTTGGGCGTCAGTCCCAGCTTGCACTCCGTTGCTGGAAAAGAGCTGAAAATTCAAGAATTGAGTAATTGAAGAAAGTAAACAAGTAACTAATTAAATATTTTATAATTTTCCACAGGAAACCTTACCAGACAGAAATGGTGGGTCGTGACCCCATTCAAATGATACATTGGACCAAATAACAACTTGTTGATTTTTTCCGAATGACAAAATCCACATTTTCTGTGAGGACTGGGCTCCGTTATTTCGACAAGGTTGGGGTGCATACGCATGATTCAAAATTCGGTGTTATTTATAGAAAATAATTAAATTTGAGATTACTTAAAGTGTGAAAACACAAACTATTTAAAACAACTTGCAAAAAAATAGGATAACAACTGATCGGCTGACTGCTGATTGGTGTGGTGAGTCACCACTGGTAACCGCTGATTATTTGAGATTATTGAGACTGATTGGGCACATTCTGCAGCTGACAACTTTAGACTGTGTAACTTGTCGCATGCATATCCTCATATGCATAAGGAGAAAGGTACGGAAATAAGAACTCAATTTGCTGCAACTAGAGGTGAGCTGGATATCCATTTTTTTGGATAATGCATGGCCCGATCCAATCCAACTGGATTTGGATGGATTGGATCTGAAATTTTTTGGGCCAAATGGATTTGGATGGATTGGATCTGAAATTTTTTGGGCCAAATGGATTTGGATGGATTGGATCTGAAAAATTTTGGGTGAATTGGATTTGGATGGATTGGATTTCAAATTTTTAGGGTGAAATGGATTTGGATGAACAGGATCTGGGTGGATTGTCGAATTGGATAAATTTCGTCACCATAAAGAATATCAGGAAGTGTTCTTTTTAACACTCCGATCTCATCTTAACATTAACTGGGCCCTACTTTTGTTGCATGGAACACACTGTGACACATATACAGTCCAATAAGATTTATCCCGAACACTAACCATGAGTTTATATATATAATTCTTTGGATAATCCATGCCCTGATCCGATCCAACTGGATTTGGATGAATTGGATCTGATATTTTTTGGGCCAAATGGATTTGGATGGATTGGATCTGAAATTTTTTGGGCCAAATGGATTTGGATGGATTGGATCTGAAATTTTTTGGGCTAAATGGATTTGGATGGATTGGATCTGAAATTTTTTGGGCCAAATGGATTTGGATGGATTGGATCTGAAATTTTTTGGGCCAAATGGATTTGGATGGATTGGATCTCAAAAAATGACGATCCAGCTCACCTCTAGCTGCAACGATGATGAATGATGCTCACGATAAATAATATTTAAATCGTATCCGTAAAAGGGCCATACGCAAATAACGCCTATTTTTTTACATAATTTTTTAAAATATCAACTATTTTCTCAAATTTTAATGGAGATGAAGTTAAATTTTGAAAATATTAAGTTTTAATGGAGTTTAATCTCATGGAGACAGAAGTCACATAATACAAATATTTTTGACTTCAATTCAGGTGCATATCGATCGTCGTTGTTTGCATAGGCGCAGCCACGGATTTTTTCCAGGGTGGGCATTTTTCGAAATATAGTATACCTTTAAATTGTGCTTTTAATCTAAGTAGGTATGTTGACCTTTTCGAAAATACATGCGCATATTTAACTTGCAATTTATACAGGACTGTAATTCAAATTGTTTCCTCTCAACCTTGGCATTTCCTGTGTATTCAAATAACGATTTTGAAATCTGTCATCTCCAAGGTTTTTTTAAATGGAGATTTTATTGGATCTGAAAATACAGAGAATTATACCTTGTATCTCGACCGTCTAAAAAATGACCCTAATCAACGCGCGTAGGGTAAGAACTGAATTTTATTCTTGAAGCGTAGTTGTTTGGTATGCATAAACAATGGTTGAACAAAATACTCAAAAAATGCCCAACAAATTGTCCTCCGGAGTTGACCATTTCAAAATACTTTCCGAAAGAGGATTGGCATAAAAATAATTGTGGATAACTTGAAATTATTCGGGTATACAGGGTAGTTTAAATTTCAGGTTAAGATGAAAACTATTTCAATGAGAAAAATTCGCAAATCTCCATTAGTTACCGAAATTTTCCCTCTGAAATTCTATATTTTTTAAGAATTTTGTTATCAGTATTCCATAAGTTTTGATTTTTTTTGATAAAAATTTTTGATAACAATTAATAGAAAGCTCAATCCCAAATCCGTAACTAATGGAAATTTACGAATTTTCCGCATCTAAATATTTTCCATTGTAACCTGACATTTAAAACCTCCACTCGTTCCTCAGTGCCTCGTGTACTTAATTCCATTTGAATTCGAAGAAAATCGAAATTAGCCGGACTGCCATGTATAAGGTACCAACCCCAAAAAAGGTAACGGGTACCTTTTTCGAAAAATCTATGCTCTGACAAGCCAGGAAAATACTCAGACCCAAATTCAAAGTGGAACAGTCGTTAAAGTATCCGTATGTCAGCTACATACAGAGTTGCGTCAGCAACAGCAATTTCCAAAAACAGGTCAAAAAAGGGCCAAACGAAAACAAACTTTACTACGAAAATTTCTCGAAAAATGACGCAGTATGCAGTCGACTTGAAACAAAAGGTACAGATTTAAATCATTCCTAATTCCAAGATATTTGTGACAAGTACTGATGTCCACTCCTTTAGATTTTTGATAAGTTTAGACTACTAAAACAATAGCTTCTCCTTTGACGAGCTCCAACTTTTTTGGAAAATTCTTCCGGAGTAGTCGATGAAGAATAGCCTCGAAAACATATGAAAATCAATGAATTCACCGGAACGGCGATATATCCCATGTAGGTCTAAGGAACACTTCGAACAAACGAAAAAAATTCATCGGCGCCGACTGAGTGTTAAGGCCAGTTTCAATGACGGTCGAAATACGAGTTATAATTCTCTGCAGAAAGTTTTACGTTTGCAAAGTTAAGAGACAAGAATTTGAATTTTACTCTTTGATGAGAAAATAGAAATACAATTAATGTGAAATAATAAAACTTAAGTATTTTCTCATGGAAGAAAAAATCAAAACTTTAACCTCCGAATTTTGTAAACCTTAGAATTGTCGATTTTTAGATTTAACAAAATCTTCATTAAAAACGACCAGGGATGAAAACTGTTGAAATACGGTCGTTTTCCCCTCAGAAAAAAACTTTCGTGCTGGTCTAAAAAAAAAAAAAATTCCTAGAAATTTTCGAAATGTTGCACACAAATTATTGTATGATTGGTTATAAAGAAATAAAAGATCCACCGGATTTTTGTTCAGCATAATTTAATTAGTCTAGAAAATCATTTACATGAAAATATGAGACAAAAACTAATTTTTATGCAAAATTTCTAAAATTTCTAGAAATGACATTTTCTGAAACCGCTGCGAAAAAAGATTTTTTCTTGCTAAGGCGACCATATGGTATTCACAAAAAAATCAGCTAAATCCGAGTTAGTCCACCAAACTGCAATTCTATGTTTGACAGTACTTTATGATCTGAATAATTTTTTTTATTGTGACAATTTTAAATAATAGTTCAAGTATATTTTTTTAATACCCAGCTTCAAATAGCCAGCAGAGTGTTGGCTATTTGGCTATTCACATTGTATCGTGAAAATGAAGCAAAACTATCATGCTGCTCTATTTGCATGAAATGTATTTTCACAAATTTTATAAAATATACATCGTCAATTTTTAACATCTTCGAGTTTCATATTTTTCACCCGCTTTCTATATTTATACAAATTATAGACTCCTCCAAACTTTTAAGATTTCGGTGGATTTTAAATATGTACATCAAAGAAATCATTGTAAGAAACATGTTTTCGAATTTGTGAATTTGCGATAGAAGTCGAAGATTTCAAGGATTTTAAAAGGATAAGGTTTTGGCTGGAAAACCGATTAAAATTTGCGCGTCGCGTTCAGTTTTAGCGCCAGGAGTGTGGTGATCGCTAATTTAATAAGCGCGTGCATTATTTAATATGTGCTTACTTTTTGTAGCGAGCAAAGTAAAATTAGTTCCATGTAAATCTTATTGTTAGTTTTAAATACATATGGAAAACCTGCATTGTAAGTTAGGTTTGCAAAGACGGCAACCAATTGCTCTGCATGATATTTTCTGAACTGTTTTATATATTTAGCCTAATAATGTTAATAAAAAAATTAACTCCAAATTTTGCAATGCAATTATTTGTCGAATTTAAAACTCGTAATTTCGTATATATTTGTAAGGTAATTTCTAATACTAGTTATCATGATTTTATATCGAGTCCAATAGGATTATACTTGGACGTGAAATGAATATTGTGGGAAAACCTTTACGTCAAAATTATATAAAAATACTAAATTTTGAAACTTTGCTAAATTTTGAAAAATTGTGGGGTAATGATCACGAAATTCACAAAATTTGGTGCTGGTGATAAAGAATGGCCAAAGGTGCCCAAAACAATTTCACTCGGAGAAGAAATTTTGCAATTTTTTAGATGACAAAGTTAAGCCCAGTTAAAGATGCTTTTTACATATAAACCCTAGAGGATTTTGGGAATTTTTGAGGGTGGGCATTTGCATTGAGTGCCCACCCTGGCATTTTCCAGGGTGGGCAATGCCCACCCTGCCCACCCCGTGGCTGCGCCTATGGTTGTTTGTGCAAAAGTTGAGAAACCAGTTGGGAAACGATTCACTTTTAGATAGGTCAATAACTATAACGTGGCGTCACGTTTTTTTCGCCATTTTGATCTGACAAATTATCTATCGGACTGATTTTGAAGGCGACAACTTTTGCATACAGCGACGATGTTATTTGATTTGTATATGCATGTATAATGCATTGGAGGGGCGATGAGATATTGCTGGATAGCATCATGGACGTGTATGTATATTGTGAATAAGGAGGGGTTTAAAATAAATTTTAAGTGGTACTTATATTGCTGGTTTTTATGACTGATTGATTGTGAGTTGAATAAGGAACAATATCAACATCTGTTGTATCTACGTTGCAATAATGAATTTCATTTCCATTGTTCCATTTAATGAAGCAATTGACCCAATTGACAAAGAGTTGTATAATTTAATTAAACATTATCTAACCAATGAATCATGGGGAAAGAATGAGATTCGGCTTGTTAACAAAACTTTCTCCTAACAAAGAAAAAAACGATGCATGCATTTCATGAAAACATGATTGTTTGTAATCATTAGTGGAAACGAAAAACTTAAATAAGTAGGTACGTATTTCATTAATATTTATCCGGTACTTGAATTAATAATTATCTTGTCTAGTATGAGAGAAGACAGTCAGTCCTAAAAGGAGGGTGTCTCTGCTGTCACATTTTCATACTTGGATTTCAAGATAAAAATCATAGTCATTGACACAAGCCATAATTTTCGCTGACATTAAGGAAATAAATATTTGGTACAAACTAATAAAGTTTAGTTGTCTAACTGGAAGTCTAACGGAATGAATTTTCACGGGCAACATATATAAACCTATATCGTGTTCCAAGATATTGATAACCGTTCCTTTAAGGAGCAGTAACGTATCAACCAACGGGATTACAGTATTTTATTGATATCTTGACTATGTTCATACCAATTTAAAAATAATTTCAGTACGGTACCATGGTGCAAACTTTCTCGTCTACTTTCGCCCAAAAATTTAAAAAATTTAAGACTGACTTTCAAAACGTGTAACAAAATGGATAATCTGCTACGAAAACTTGCGAACCCTTTCTCGCACTCGGAGACTTCTTACCTATCCATCATGACCTGGCTCACTAAATGGGCGATAAGGTCATTTGCAATTCCGTTAACATCAGAATCTGGAAGCAAGGGTTTATTGGTCATTAAGAAAATAAGACATTGGGTTATCTTCGCGTGCACGGGTTTCACATGGTTCTTCTACAACGTCATGTATTCTTTCTGGTTTTATAAATACATCCATAATTCTCACGGAAGCAAAGCTCTTCCCGTTTGGCAAAAAACTATTGCATTCTTCTTTCTTATTAATTATATTTTAATATTTGGTCTGTACGTTTGTCTCTTCTTTCGCAAGAGAGAATTACTACAAGTGCTGAAAACTTGTGTCTGGATTGAGACGAAATGCATGAGCAAAGGTAAATAAATTAAAGTTTTACTCGTATGTAATTAATTTTGATGACGAAAGTTATTGATCCTAACTTTTGCTAATTTCAGGGGCATCACAATACACGAAGATCAAAATCTTTTCCAATATTGATGCTTGCAAAGTGTCATTGTTTGCCATTCCCGTTATGTTGGGGGCGCTAGGATTATTTTTACCCTGCATGCCACCCTCAATTGCAAACACCTTACTCCTCGAGTGTCGGGATGGATGGGGCGACCAAGACGCCGAGGTTTGGGTGCGTCTTATCAATGGCTTTGTGCAGGGGTACGTCTGGTTCTCGGTGCCAGCAGTTATGGTTATCACGATTACCAGAGTTTTGCTTTACCCATCGGTGATGGTGGAATTGTGGATTAAGATGATTGAAAGGTGAGGTTTTACATCTGATTTAATTGTAGTGACTTAAATGACACTTTTTTTTACCCAAAATGTTACAATATTTAGACAACTGGGTCATTACCACTATGCAAGTCATGGATTAGCGGCTTTCCGTGTCGCACAAGTATTTCAAAACCTGGTCAACGCTGTTATGAGTAGGCCTCTCATCACCATTTTCGTCTTTCTGACCATCCTGTCAGAAATCATTTCACTCTACGTTATCATAACTTCATGGAAAAATTTAAGTTTTGGCGTGTCAGCATTTTTCTATTTAATGGGAATCGATTACTTTGTAATAATTCATATCGCGTTACATTCTCTTAGCAAGTCATACGTTGTGACGGTAAAGTTCGCAAAAAATATGAAAAGTCTGAGGTCACGAAGTGCTTGGTTTAAGAAATTTTTGACATCGTGCCCTCCTTTAAAAGTGGGGATGGGGGATGGCAAGTTCTTTGACGGGTTGACATCGTTCATTATTTGGCAGTTCTGCGTGGACAGATTGATTAATATGTTGCTTCTGGAGAAATGAGTTGTTTGCCGTGATGATAGCAATTGTCATTTGAAGTTATTTATAGCATTTTGTTGTTTCATTCTGAGAATTGGAGTAAACACGAGTTTTCATGGAAAATGTATATCAACGTTTAATAACATATCTAAAGTTAGATATAAATTGTTAGATATAAATACATTATTTGTTGTTAAGATAAAGGGTCGAGTCAATAGCGGAAGTTTCACGATAAGTAATTAGAAATAATAAAAACCTTAATTCTTAATCAAAATCAAACAATTCAATTCCGTATTCGTAACACAGTAAACTTTATAAAGCGATTTTAGATAAAGGTTTGTTTCATAGATTCCACCCCAACCTTGATAGTTAATTTTAAGCTTAATTAGGCAATCAATTAATTCCGTTATAACTCAAATGGTTAAATATTTGTATCCCATTAAACTGTGTAAACTTATGAGTGCATACACCACAATGGAGAAGCCTCAAAGTGAAGAGTAACCTATTTTACCAACTTGACAAGTAAAATTGGATTTCATTTCAGTTCTGGAGTTTTAAATTTGACAAAATTAGATGTAAATATAACCTAATAAATATATATTACAACTGGTTTAAGTATTTGTAAGTTATAAATTGTAACGCAGTAAACTCCGTTGTGCGTAAACTCCAAAATTTGCCAAAAAATCGCACATTTAGCTTTGTATCTCGAAAACTGGTTAAGCGCGCCCCCAAAATTATTACGGATTTTTTATTTAAATACTCAATATTACGCAACTTTTAAGCCATCAAACTCGAAAATCGTTGGAAGCCGAAGAAACACTCACAAATATCTCATTGGATATCTATCTTAATAAATTGTTGAAGTATGTATGACTAACTAATTTATTTATGCATATGTATGAATGAATGCACAATTTATTAAGTAAATATGATTCCCATCCTGCCATAAAGTCTAAATTTTTCAAACTCCAGAGAAAAAACGTTACATTAATCAAAAGCATTTTTACCCCATACCCTCAATACGGTTAACAATGGCGAATGACATTGCAGGAAACGAGATCCATTCACATTTTATTTTTTCACCCTCTCTCCACAATCATAAGTACGTATGTACATACCTATTTTGTCTGCGCAGTTAATTTTTTCTCCATGTTTTTCTTAAGTGATTACGAATTTTAATAATCAAATGAATAGAATACCTGCCAGGAAAAAGATGACTTTAAGAAATATGCACAATAGACAACCAGCAGGGCATAATGTACCTCAACCTCACTATTTAGTGAGGTTAAAAATAGTTTACTCTTACATATGATAGACCAACCACCATAGTTACTCCGCCACGTAAAATTTCATGAAATCGGTGATCCTGCCGTCATATTTGTTCAGCATTGGGACCTGTGCACACACATTTACTTAATTAATTTCCAAAAATATTTAATCAATTCAGTAACCATGCAAATATCTCCGTCCGCCAAATTAAGGCTGTTATTCGTTTACATCATAACCGGAATAATTTTAGGGTTGCCATTCATAATTTATGACTACCCGCAAGAAACGTGCCTCGTGACGAGTAAATTTCCAAAGGATCAGAATAGCGAAGAAGAAACAAGAAAATACAGGAAATCGACAACTTTGAGTAAAAGTGCGATCGCGCAGAAGTTGTTTGAAATAATTGGTCAGTGGCAGAATGGGGTCGTGACATACACGGACGAGAGTGAGGAGGTCAACGACTACGTGGACAATGAGGTCCAAGGCTATAACAATGAAACCGTTCCGGACGATTGTGACCTGAGTGAGATTGAGAAATATTCACCGTTTCTTGTGAGTGATGAAGACGTCAGGAATAGTGTGAATGAATGGCTGGGGAAAAATGGGAAGGTGAGAGATGAATTTTTATGGAATTTTCATACAAAAATCTAGTTGGTCACTAGTTACTTAAAGTAGAATTATTGTTGCGGGTCACCTCATTGGCATATTTTGGCACATTAGCGAGAGACGGCTTATTCCACATGGAAAGCCCGTATGGTCGAAAATGGGCATAGTGAGATTTATGGAAATGAGATCACTCGCATATGTGTTCTATGTAAGTAATGGAAAAAAATTCTCACAAATATCGTCGTTCCTTGTTCAAAATATGTATGCATCTTTAATTAAAAATTAAACATTAATAATCAAAATTAGCCCGTTCGATACTTAGCCGACAATCCTGAACCGCGTTCGTCTCACCAGAATCGGATATGGGAACGATTGGTTCCAACTTTTGTGCGCAAGCGTGGTTTTCGCGACGTTCGGGATGCTATGGGAAGGCCACTCGTTCCACGGATGGGCACAGTTCTACTTCGTCTCTCTCGAACTGATGCAACGGGTGGTGAACATTGTCCAAACGACGACTTTTCACTGGGACTTTGCCTCCGTCCTCTTCAGTGACCATCACCCCCACTACCTCCAATACTGCGCGTTAGTTGGTAAGTAAAATACTTTGAAATTTCCCACTTTAAATGGAAATTTCTTCTGAAATTAATTTGACAAGTTTTTGTCTACTGGTTTCAGACCTATTCCGGTATTACATCCCCCTGTCGCAACTGTTCTGCTTAACCGCTCTCACCTACGATGTGTATCGAACGTTTGGGTAAACCCCGAATTTAAATTAGGATTTAATCGAGATTTTTTACCATGCCGTAAATTTCAGGAATGACACCCTTGTCCCGGATAAGCGCAGGGACAAGCGATACATACACTTCGCCCTGTTTGGCGTACTTCTCCCCGCTTTTTATACAAGTCTTGGATTCATTCTGCATAAAATAGCGACGTATGTAAATGCATGAGAAATTAATGCAAATTAGCATAAATAAGTATGTGTCCATGTTTCCAGGTCGGGAAGCTATCTTTGTCACCCATCGTTCGAAACATTGTCAGACCTCTTGCTCTACCTGGTTTATCCGTACTCGCCTAGTGGGATTTTGATCCTTTTGAACATTTACTTCATCTCGTGTACTCAAAGAGAACTTAGGAAGATTATGAGGGAATGCCGCGTTGTAAGAAGACAATGTACCAGGTCAAGCTTCAAGCCAACTTATAGGTGAGTTAGGCAATAAATTTATGCATGTAGGAAACACGGTCGATCCTGTCAAATTTTAAATCAACTTGCGCTAGTTTAATCTGGATCTTAAAATGATTTCTTAAATATCTTTACAATTTTAATAATGCAAATTATAGATTAAAGATAATTTTCGAACATAGGTATTTAGAGTATGTATATAATTCCGGAGCAGGATTATAGGTATCTTATTGTCCCAAAATAAATTGAATCCTTGAATGTTCTAGAATTAAACGAACCAAATAAAATATACTTATCCTACAAAATTTACGGTTTCTTAATTTTCCCCAGGTTGAACCTCTACTTGAAGTTGTTATGGGCATTGTCTATCCTGACGGTCATTTTGCGCCCATTTTCTCGAACAATGATGGCATTCGGAGTACATTTGGAACGATACGATGGGGGCTATTCAAACATAGTTTTGTACATCGTGTCCCGTACACACAGCTGCATCCTACTTCTGGTCATGTGCAATGATTCTCCTACACGGGCCAGATTGGAAACAGTGGAACTAAATTTGATGAACTCCCTTCAGAAAATAAATGGTATGCATATTCGCACGAAATAATTGCATGATTATCATTTTTATGAAGCAATTTAATTTGACACTGACACTTTTTGTGGGTTTAAGCGCCCCATGGAGAAGAGAAATTGGTCAATTTGATGTTCAAAATGCGTCAATTGCTTGCCTCCTGTGGAATCAAGATGAGATTGATTGTGACGAAATTTCTGCTTCATTTGTATAAAGGGTTAAGGTTTCGAATATGCTGTAAATTTCGCCAACGAGACAAGGCTTCAGTCTAGATGATGTAGTTAAATATATTTTAATATTTAGTATGATTATTAGGGTTGCCGCGGGTAGCGAAAATGCTACCCGTTACCCGACCCGTTACCCGCAGCACAAGTACCCGTACCCGCACGGGTACCCGTGCGGGTACCCGTTACCCGCTACCCGTTATGAGAATTAAGAAAAATCTAACCCAACTTCAGAATAAATTTGATTTGATCAATTATTTGTTCGTTTGGGTTGACACATATGTACTATGCGATAATGCTATGCAAGTAATGCATGAAATAATTTGCTCGTAGAAGCCACTCGTTAATTTTGAAACCAAACTTTTTGGCTTACATTGGATCGTTTTTCAAGCTATACCGGTATGAAGCATATTGCTTAGCGATTTATATATATCAAAGAATTCAGCCAAAAAAATTGGAATTATATGACACTTATTTTTCCGTTGAATGACCCGCTTAAAGGAAACTATTGGAGGGCAGAGTTCAAAGTCCAGCATGGTTTTAGTCCAGTGGAGGAAAAAGATACAGAACATTTATTTAAAACTAAACTTTGCCGCTAATATTATACTTTGAATGGGTCATTCAACGGAAAGGTAAGTGTCGCGCGATTCCTAATTTTTAGCTGACTTTTTGATATACTCCCTGGGCAATCTTGGTATAGCTAGAAAACGGTTCAATTTTTAGTTTGACTTTTTCAAATTTTAATTTAAATGAAGCTTTTGTTCAAAAAATTGTCTACAAATAAATTTTTTGCTTTCAACCGGATTCAGGTTTTTCATCTTCAACGCACAAATTAAAATCTCGTCAGTCTTACATACATAAATACACACAAATGCAAGTCAAATTATTACTGATATTTTAGAGGAGGCAAATTATGCTTCAGAAGCAATAATTTCTCCGCATTTTTGGGACGTGAAAAGCATTTGAGGCTGCGTGGGGTTCTGTGACCTCCTAAAGAAACTCTCGTTATTATAAACGCCGCTTGCTGGCAAATGGCAAGTGACAAGTTTTGAAATGGATAAATAATAAATTACCGCTTTTGTTGGTAAATGGACCAACTTACTGCTAGCTTTCTTTGTGAACTGATTTACGTCGAAAATTAAATAAAAACTGAACTACCCGTTACCCGTGCGGGTAGTTCTCGCTACCCGCAGATAACGGGTACCCGCAAGAATCGTGCGGGTATGCGGGTAACGGGTACCCGACCCGTTACCCGCGGCAACCCTAATGATTATGTACTCATTTTGATCGTAGTCACGAAATGCCTCAGTGTTTTGCATGACAACTCATTTAGCAAGTAGTTTTCGAATGTTCTCAACACATTGTAGCAAGTTTGCAAACAAAAACAAGATGATTTTCCAGTTAAAAGTTTCCCCAGGTCTCGCAAATTTCGTGAAACTTTGCAGTTAGTATGCTATTTGTAAGCTATGTCAAGGTTGTCGTGACTATATTATGCCCATTATTTTTTATGGAATGATTGATAATAAATGTATTTTAATTATAAGTGAAAATTTTTACATGAAAAAATATTAAATATACAACTACTTATTAACAGATATATGTATGTACGTATGGAAAGTTTAAGTAATTTAAAGACTAGGAACATAAATTTCCAGAAAAAATAAAACAATCGCAAATGCTAGAAAAATCCCCATCAAATAGAAAAGTGAAATAATTTGGACCGTAAATGCTACCGGATTCATGCCATTATTTGAAACGCTATTTAAATGCATACCATTTCCAGCTTGCTTTCTGTCACCGTAATACCAAGATCTGACCAACTGATATATCCCAGAGTGATACAATGACTGCAAATTTCTGTACAAATAGCCAGACTGGGCTCGCGTGTACGGAGAAATAATCCAACTTGGCTTATCCACATAAAAATTGTCACTGCCCTTGGCAAAGGTCATTTTACACTCTGGCACACATTTTCCGGATTCTTGCTCAAAGTAGTTTAAATATCGATTCATTCCTAAATTGTCTGTGATAAAGGCCGTTTTATTGCAATTGGACACAAATTTAAGAATACTCTTCAAGTTATCGGGATGATAAGCAATGAGTGCGTTCCGTAAATCTAGTAGCTTTGTAGACAGGTCACTTTTGTCTTGAATTTCCCGTAGCCTAGCTAATTCTTCCATAAATGGGGCCAAGCTAAGGTTATATCCGAAATATGAATTTGTATTGTAGGTGTCGTTATACGTCGTGATTGCTACGGTGAAATTGGTCAGGCTTGAAATATTGGTGTACGTCGAGGTGACGATGGATACTGACGTCATTTCGTCACATGTTAGTATCGTTTTGTATAAATTATTTAGGAAGAAAACGACCCATAACCAAATCCCAAATAGGAAATATACCACCGATATCTTAATCTTGGATAAGCCTGTAACTATTCCTAATTGGATTCCAGGACCATTTTCGAGTATTTCGAGGGAAAAAGTTTCGAACATTTTGGCGGCTTTTTTAAAGAAATTTGATCTCTGATCCGACAATGCTATTATAGTCGACAGCAGAGTAAAGATGATTAAATCAATTCCATAAATTATCCATATTTCGAATTCTAACGGATCTAATAATGCACTGAAAACGTTGGAATTTTCGAACTTCTCCACTTTCTCCACACCATCACAACTGATCAAATTGAATGTTTTCGGTTCTTCAAAGATGACTTGGATTTGGTGAAATTTATCCCGATTGATGTACAGATATGCCAAATACGGCATTTGTTTATAACTTGCATCGTCCTCGACTGACGCGAGATATTTTTCGCCCGATAACCTCCTGCTTATCCCATTATCTGTCCCATTATGAACAATGCTCAGGAGACTGGTAATTATTCGGGTAAATCCTACCTTTAAACCATCCTCGTAAATTTCCACCTTAAACGGAGAAAATACTTGGGGTGAGTAAAATCCGAAAATTCTTTCCTTGCGGGACATACTTTTTCCATCGAATGTTTTGATAGCGACGGAAAATAAGGAATGTTTTCCATCGCCAAGAATTAAATTTTCATGCCCGTCAAGAATTTCCTTGGTTAGAAGTGACGACGTGTCAAGGAAAATGGCCACGTGGACTTGCAAATGGGCGTGACAAACACGACAAATGTAAATTACTGTTTCTACACTGTCGAGATATTCGACGACATACGTTGTCGATAAATAGTTATCGTCTGCATCATCTTCCCGCGCTATGAAACCGTGGTCACCATACATTTCTCGAGTTATGTAAATTGCGTAATGTGGTTCTCCAGAAAACGTTTCGAGAAGGTTTGTCCAGGACCAGACTCTGTTTACGTCTGTGTGCAAGCCAATCCGCCATAATACGAACTGGAGTAATCGACCGGAAGGAAATGCTGAGATTTTCCGTAATTCAGGCCAAAGAATGAAGTACGTGACACAATGTAGTCTTCGTCTTTTGTGGTGGGTGGATATGTTGGCGTTTGAATTTGCGAGAATCATGGCGTTATTGTTGTCGGAAATGGGAGGTTGGGTTGATTTTGAGGTGGAGAAATCGAAAATGGTTGTGATACAAGAAAACGAAAAACTGTGGATTAAATTGGTCAGTGGGTGTTCTACTTGTTGAGCGGTGACCATTCCGATGCTGGAGATGATGGAGATATGGATGGATAACATTTCGAAATGAGAAGCAGTTTGAAAACTTGTATTTTATTTGGAATAGATTTGAAATAATTATTCGGTAGAATATTTGGAATTTTTGCACTTAGCTTGTGAAAGAATTTATCGACGTTTATACATATCAGTAATACCACTTTAGTTTTTGACTGAGTTTACTTATTTAACATGCTGTTGGCAAATTCTAGCGTAACATATATGTACCCTACATGGTTTCAAGGACGCGATAGTTTCTTAATATCTGACGTCTCTTAAACACGAACGAATATTTTTATCAAGTGTGGAACTTGACAACGTCTTTATTGAAGGAGAACAGTAAGAGTAAGGTCACTAGGTCAGGTAAAAAACTGTCGAAACATATACTTACCTACATTAAATGTTTTATCGAACTTATTGTCAATCAGGAGAAAGTAGAGAACATACCTATTCGATAAGACATAAATATACATGCTAAACCTACACACGTACGTATGTATATATATGTACATACATATGTACATACGTTTAATGTTTGCAAATTTCTGAGCTAATCGAAACTCTATTTCAAATTAGTGCTGAATACTAATTTGGACAAGAAATAATACCTTCAGGTTATGATCGGACTAATGTTACTGTTTACATACATTTACAAATAATCAGACCTTGATGTTGGATTTTTTCTTGAGGGGTGGCCAATAAATGATGGCATCGGATTTTTTTCAAAACACTCTGCTTATGTATTTACATTATTTATTTTTGATTGATGTGAAGAGTACTTATTTGGTAAAAATATGTAACTTTTACATAAATGTAAGTGTACAGTGTACACTGTACACATATTAATTAGGTATGTATGTAGATATGCTTTCGACTATTTTTTAATTTTTTTTAATGTTTGCATTTGACATTTTAACCGTGATTTTGGAACCTTCCAAAATTATTAGGTAAATAAAAGTATACACATAAAGAAATGGTAAATCATCACAACCAAGAATTGTGCAGTGGGTCGTGTCCACAATTGAATTTGGCGCTTGAATATTCGCAGGAGTCTCACATTGCCCCATATTTATTTTAGTTACCGGCCAACGCCACCTAGCGGAACTTTGAGCAACCATTTTGCATTTTTCGGCGCTAGGGGGCGTTCTTCGCCGAAAGTACAAAAACGTTCTCAAAACGTTGCCTACACCAGAACAACCAGTGGCGCCCCGAATTGGACGAGACTTGAAATTCTCACCCGTGGAGTATTTACGTGACCTCTAAGCTCGGCACATTCCTTAAAATTGTTACTCAACCTGGGACCTACACATTAGAGTTGTAACTTAACCTTTGACCTACGCCCTTAGAGTTGTAACTTGAGGGTGACATGGAAGGCGCTTCTACCTTATGAAATAAAGCCTCATGTTTGCCTAGAGCCCGCAAAGCGGGCTACGGAGACTAGTAATAAAGAATACCAAAGCTCTTCTAAATAACGGAGATATGTGGTTAATGAAATATATGAAAATGAAAAATTTCATCATTATGAGCAGCATCAAGGGTGTTCGCTGCTATGTCTCTCAGTTGCGAAACGCAGCCAGGTTGCCGTACCGGAACTATGAACTTGGACCCTTGCCGGGCCAAAATTCATAATTTTGGCTGTAGGCACCTGTCTCTGGCTTAATTGACAATTCTTAATAAAATAATACAATTTTGTAGTGTTTAAAAAGTATAAACTTCGAATTTAAGAACAATTTTTTTAATTCGAAAAAAATATTTTAAAAAAAATAGCAGTTAGTGTTTAAAAATATGTTTTAAACACTCCAAAATTGTATTATTTTATTAGGAATTGTCAATTAAGCCAGAGACAGGTGCCTACAGCCAAAATTAAGAATTTTGCCCGGCAAGGGTGCAAGTTCATAGTTCCGGTACGGCAACTTTGGCTGCGTTTCGCAACTGAGAGACATAGCAGCGAACACCCTTGAGCAGCATGGTTTCCTGACAAATGTAATTGTCTGCAAGAATTAAAAAGCCAGAAATCTGTCCTCTAAATAAATAAATAAATAAATTCTTTCTTTCAAAACCAAGTAAACATGTAAATCCGGGTGGTCATATTTATTTAAAACCGTAGATTTTCTCACACCTGCCCTGGTAAAACAACACGGCAAATAAACAGAATTATGTTAAACTAATATTTTATACCCAAACTAGTCTCTTAAGCCCGCAATGCGGGCTCTAAGCAAAACAATTTTATTTAGCTTAGCGATACAAATTCCTGCTGAGTAATTTTTACACATTTATCTTCACACAGAGCAAAGAAGCGTTGACTTGATTGTCACGGTTTATAGCACGATCTTTAATAATAGACTTCACAACTCTATTGGTGTGACAACGAAAAACGTGCTGTCAGGACTCTAAAGGGTGTGACCACGAAAAACGTTCAATCACAACTCTTAAGGGTGTGACCACGAAAAACGTTCAGCCACGACTCTAAAGGGTGTGACCACGAAAAACGTTCAGTCACAACTCTAAAGGGTGTGACCACGAAAAACGTTCAGTCGCGACTCTAAAGGGGGTGACAACGAAAAACGTTCAGTCACAACTCTAAAGGGTGTGACCACGAAAAACGTTCTGTCGCGACTCTATGGGTGTGACCACCAAATTTGTTCAGTTACTACTCCGAAGTGTGTGACAACGAAAAACGTTCAGTCACGACTTTAAAGGGTGTGACCACGAATAACGTTAGGTCACGACTCTAAAGGGGGTTACCACGAAAAACGTTCAGCCACGACTCTAAAGGGTGTGACCACGAAAAACGTTCAGTCACAACTCTAAAGGGTGTGACCACGAAAAACGTTCTGGCGCGACTCTAGAGGGTGTGACCACGAAAAACGTTCTGTCGCGACTCTAAAGGGGGTGACCACGAAAAACGTTCAGTCACAACTCTAAAGGGTGTGACCACGAAAAAC